TTTTTAATCGTAAGTAAAAAATAAAGTTTACTATGACGAATTTATTCATTTTACGTTATTACTCATTATAAATTATAGACACTAAAGAATTTCATTACCTGTATAAAATTACAGATAGTACAGCTTAATGATGATTTGGGCAATAATGTTTTGGAAAATTGCTATTAAATCTATCATTATCTAGAGTATCTAGATGGCTTTATAAGATCCATCTATTTCCAAGCATATTAAATTTTAATCAATGCGAAATTACTTTCCTTGAACATAATTTACATATTAAGCAATGAGCTGATTTTCAGACGTTTATATCTAATAAAGGAAATTAAATTACTTTTTTGTAGATAGTAGACTACAGGGATTTCGATGTTAATATTTTACCATATTTTATTTAATTATTATTCAATTAGTACACAGATTGCCTTGTCTAAAAGCTGTAAAAATTATCTTCAATATAACTCTTCTGCACTATATTGATTTATTGTATGTGATATTTAAACTTTAACTTATGAAGTGGTCAGTATTTCTTATGATTACTGAATATACATACTACCAAGTTGTAATAATGTTTAACAAATTATTATCATCGGGATGAATTTTAGTCATAACTATATCATTAATAAGCAATTTAATAAATAATATTTCAGTTATGATTATTAAATATTCCTTATAATAACAAAAAGGAAATATGATAGCAAAGAGAAGGAAAGTGCTAAAAATTAATACTTTACAACTTGACGCTTCATCATACTGCAAGATAAAATCCACTATCATTGTGATGAAATAATATCATAACAACATCAAAATAATATACAGAATTCTAGAGGTGTTAGTCATTAGTTCAAAATATTTATCAGATCAAAAATTTGATAGGTAAAATACTTCGCTATTGTCGATACTCTATTAATGAATGATAGAGGCACGTTGTGCGTACACTTAGGATATAATACTGAGCACAAATAGAATTGCGTAACAAATTGTATTATTCAATTAAAAAGTTCTGCTGAAAATTTTCACCTCAATTTTCTCACGAATCATCTTCAATTATAAGTTCAACGCTTAAATTTTACTCTTGGATAAATTATACTGTCTTTTGTCTATTTATTTGATTCTCTGGTAGTTAATGCAGATTATTCATTTTTTACATCTAAATCCGTAACGTATACTACTAAACCTGAATTTTCAAATCCATATTGATATACAATATAGAACTGATTGCTACATAACTAAAAGAGCAGCTATATCGTAACTATTATTCAAGATCTCAAATATTCTTTATTTCAGTTGACTCTTGGGGTTATTCTTCAACGACAAAAATTTTAATGACTAATCAATCTTCAAAGTCACTTAGTGCTATAATTGATCACTATATTTAAAATCTATTGAGGATGGCATTAATCTTTTCATAGCACATTTATGTCACAGTACACACTATCAAGGCAAAAAAATCTCTGTGGCGTTATTTGTATATATAGAAACATTACATAATTATTAAACTTACAAGATCGTAAACTTACTGTCTCTATATATAATTTTTACAGTACAGAATGCCATTGTATCCAAGTTGAGAAAAATTGTTGATAGGTGTTACTTCCCGTTTAACTGCTAAAGCTAATAAAATTGATCTGACCTTAACAATCTATTATTATTAATGATTTCAATGCGTTGCAGTATTTTTAAATACTAATTTATCATAAATAAAACAAAAACATTCCGGATATTTAGTTACATTGGATCGATACGCTATGTTTTTATTTTACTTTTGTTTCATTTACTATTTGTTCCTGAGCATATGCGTACATAATAGTTATCGGCGTAATTTATCTGTTCCTAATTTAGGCTATTTATTTACAACTTTTTTAGTAGATATATCAGTTTAAAAATTACATCATTTTTGTTATAGTGACTTAATCGAATGGCAACAATATAACGGCGATGGGAATCCGCCAGTAGTGCGTCTTATTAAGTAAATAATTATGACTGCTATTAATGAGTTCAATTTTACTAATTAAATAGTAATTAATAATTTCAAAGCTGGGAATCTCATTTTAGACATGTTAAGTTTAGATAGCAAATTTCTGTAGTTAACATGGAAATTTTAACTTATTCTTAAAGTATTCCTTTCAGATGCTAAGTTAATTAAATCCTATCGAGTAAAACTACATTAATAGAATCGAATTTAAGATATTATCGAAATTGTGTCGTGACGTAATTAATGTAGATTACACTTAATAATGGCTAATTTATAAATTTGAGTCAATTAAGTTTGTCGTGTCAATCTATCGTAGACTGGCACTTAGCAAGAGAGATTATTCGATCCTATCCTGAAAAAGTGCTACCAACGTTTTTCTTATTTTGAGTAAGACCTAATTTACTATATCAAATGTACAATATCCATTTAAGTATTTTAGATTAGTGATAAGTTACTGAAAATTGTAGTCAATGCATCCTTTGGGATTATATTTTACTGTGAAGGATTTATTCTAGATCATTGTTATCTAATTTTCAATATTATTGTAATTCAATGAAAAAATTGATTTGTGTCCTTTTTGACTAGACTAACTACATACTAAAAGTTGTTCTATAGCGATACCATCTGTTTTAAATGAAAATCAATCATTTCATTTCCGCTCATTTTTAATCCTTATTCCAAACTTACTAGGTTAATAAGGATAGATCTGTATAATAAACCTATAAGGAAAAAAATTATCCAAAGTTTATGAATGAATAAGTAATAGGGATTGCTACAGCTGTAATTCAGGGCATGAATTTAGCTAATATCTTGAGATTAAATATCTTTTGGTCTATCATGCATGTATACAGTATAATGCATCTCTGATAATAGCATCTTCGCTAATGAGTTAAAGGTTATTGATATAAAATCAGTTACTATTTGAATACATTTGAAAAACTAGAAGTATTCGAGTCGATTTTGGGATGCTATTGTGTTAACATCTGAGCAATTTTGAATGGTTATAGACGTTAACATAAAACGAAATATTCCACCCGCAAAAGATTAATTTGATTTTTTTGTCTAGACATCTATCGAAAACTTTTATTTGTAAAATAACAAGAATTGATACCTACTTCTGGCACAACGGCTTTTAAACAGGTGCTAGACCAGATAATAATATCAATAACAACAAAAGACAATCTTCTATATATTAATGACAATATCTAATTACTAATATGGAGATGATGTACTTCAGTAGTTCTAATTGAAATGCTAAAAATGAAATTATCAGATCATATTAATCATTGCATTGTATATTTTTAATATATAAATATCGGCTACAATAGATTCAATAGGCGTTCACTGTACAACGAAATATATGTAGGTATATATAACATATATATTACGGTATTTAGGCTACTTTTGTAGCATTATATTGCTGTATTTAAGCAGTTAGGATATATAATAAGATATACGATAATGCTAGATAAAATATTTGAATAAGATTACAATGAAACTATAGAAATAAATTCATTAGCATCAAATTATTTACTACCGGTTTTAAGATGATTTTCTAAATGCCTGGTTGTCATATTTTCCTATTAAATTAATAGCTATTACTCCAATTGTTTTTTCCTTTTGATTTTGCTTACACTCACTTACGTCAATTCTTGCAACAAAGCTATTTGTGGTAATTATTATCGATGGTATTGTTTACAATTAATAAAAATCTAGACTAATGAGGCATATTATTGTGATATCATAAAATATCATCTGATTTTTTCCAAAATAGGAAAATGAAGTAAGTAATAGATATAATGAGGAACATCGATTATAAAAATTGGGAGAATAAATATACTTATATGTATTTCTTTATGTCGTTAGCAGCTTGTATAATATTTAATCCTAAAAAATAGAGTATAGTAATTATCACAGTTTAATTAGCCAATAGCTGATATAATTTTCCAATTACGCTACTGGCATAATCTTAAAATAGCAATTTGTTTTAGGTATAGAATAGAAATAAGACAGAGTAAAAACTTTGCAGATTGAGTATATACAGTATATATTATATGTTATTGTATTGGCATGTTCAAAGGCACTTTAATTGCCTTTATTAATTCTATTTTAAAGTTTTAGAATTTAAGACGAACGATATTAATTCTAATAATAGTTAAATCAATCAATTGTGAATACATGTGGTGTTGATCAATTGAAACGTAGACCAATACCAATAGACAGGTGATCAGTTGCACTTGAATTAAAAAGCTTACTATTAAATAAAAAAGCAAACAGTAAAAAGTTAAAGCAATACCATTGGGAACAATGATATACTTATCAATAAGATTGAATATGTGATCTACTAAGGTAACTTTAATTTAATCTTCGCAAAACAGTATAAATAGGATTGACTGATGAAAAATTCGTCATTCTCATTAACCGATTTTAATATTTGGAAATCCTTGTTAGCACAACTTATCGCGAAAGCAAATATATTATAGGTGAGAAAATTAAGAAAATCAGTTAAATTTTAATCATATCTCGTAATTCAATTTACAAATTTTGATTTTACCTTTGTAAATGATCTACGACATATGCTGTATGACTATATTCACATTGAGTTTATACTCCTTTCCAATATCTTTGTTGAAAATTTATCGACTACTCCAATTTTTATCTACTCTTTATTAACTTGATATTAGTCTAATTGAAGTTATAGAGTAGCAATTGAAAATAGTTTTATTTGCATTAAAAAATATCTTGTCTAAGTACGGTATAATTGCATCCAAATTCACTTCAACGATATCACGCATAAATATGAGATGGATAATTAGTTTTCTTTACCTAATATGAATTAGTTGCGATATGTTTTAATGACAAATGGTAAAGGAGATACAAGAGAAAATATAGGCATTCAGCCGTGATGATTACATGTTTATTTTTAGCATTAATTTTTATCCGCCATTGACTGTTTACTGTGTTTTAGGGTCAAAAAATAACTCTCACGTTATAAATCAGTAAATATAAGTAAATCTTGCTTTATAGTTTTATGCCTAGAGCAAATTTTATTTATTACATAGCAGATGCATTCCTTAAAGGTTAGGTTCATTTATAAAATGAAAAATTATCGTAAAGCTAATCAATCATGTTGTCCTTGAGAAATGGTTTACTTAGTATGATACACACATTGCGCAATAACTAAGTTATTAGTTGTTTTTTATTGTTATCATTATACTTTTTGACATTTTGTCCAATATTTTTATCTTTTCGAGTGATTACGCCTTATTTTTCTGATCTGAATTGGCTGATTTATGTAATAATACAAACCGGTTTAAATGAATCGATTTCCTGAAAGAAATCCTTCATTAGATATATTATAACTCTGTGTAATTTTGCATAATTATATGAAAATATTTAGTACTGTATAGTATTAGTTGCTTGACGGATGATCAATACTGCTTTCTCATGATGAATAGCTACTAACTGTTGGGATACATCTTTATCGGATATGTAACCAAAGTGAGTAGTCATGGCTACTTAATTAAAGAAGATGAAACATACTATTACTTTGTTTGAGTGTTATTGTTACGTGAACAACTGTTATCGAGATCTTTTCTCTAAACATAATTTTTGTTTAAACTAATTACAAATGATATGTTTTTCATTAGGTTTGATTTAGGCGTGTTAACATTGAACTATTAAAAATAAATGTATTCATGTATTTATACTATCTTCCTGATTATATCTTTTAGAAATGAAGCAAATTGCCCTCATTTTTTTCTTGACAGCAGCTATCGTATTTGCTACGGTTAATGCAGAAGGTGAGAATGTGTTTAGAATCCATTCGCTATATATTTTAGCAAATTATTTCCTTTAAATTCTAATCTGTTGGGATCTATGGCGAAAAATTGACTTTTTGATTTTTTGCCGTAAAAATTTTCTTAGCCACAAATATGATGAATAATACGACTTGTGTTCTTAACTACTTTATCTTTATGAAGTTAAAATAGAAATCCCAATTTATATTACGGATTCGAAACAAAAATAACTCCATCAATGTGTTATTGTTTAATTTTGCACAATCCCCATTATCGATCTAATCGTTATATAATGCTTTAGGAAATTTGGAAAGTATATTCAATGCCAAGCGCGAAGATCAGGCCAATTTAAAAAGTATATTCGGCGGTAAGCGTGAAGATCAAGCTAATTTGAAAAGTATATTTGGTGGTAAGCGTGAAGATCAAGCTAATTTGAAGAGCATATTCGGTGGTAAACGTGAAGATCAAGCTAATTTGAAGAGCATATTCGGTGGTAAACGCGAAGATCAAGCTAATTTGAAAAGTATATTCGGTGGTAAACGCGAAGATCAAGCTAATTTGAAAAGTATATTCGGTGGTAAACGCGAAGATCAAGCTAATTTGAAGAGTATATTCGGTGGTAAACGCGAAGATCAAGCTAATTTGAAGAGTATATTCGGTGGTAAACGCGAAGATCAAGCTAATTTGAAAAGTATATTCGGTGGTAAACGCGAAGATCAAGCTAATTTGAAAAGTATATTCGGCGGTAAACGCGAAGATCAAGCTAATTTGAAGAGTATTTTCGGCGGTAAACGTGAAGATCAAGCTAATTTGAAGAGTATCTTCGGTGGTAAACGCGAAGATCAAGCTAATTTGAAGAGTATATTCGGTGGTAAACGCGACGATCAAGCTAATTTGAAGAGTATTTTCGGCGGTAAACGCGACGATCAAGCTAATTTGAAAAGTATTTTCGGCGGTAAACGCGAAGATCAAGCTAATTTGAAGAGTATCTTCGGTGGTAAACGCGACGATCAAGCTAATTTAAAAAGTATATTTGGCGGTAAACGCGAAGATCAAGCTAATTTAAAAAGTATTTTCGGCGGTAAACGTGAAGATCAAGCTAACTTAAAGAGTATTTTCGGCGGTAAACGTGAAGATCAAGCTAATTTGAAAAGTATTTTCGGTGGCAGACGTGAAGATCAAGCAAACTTAAAGAGTATTTTCGGTGGTAAACGCGAAGATCAGGCTAATTTGAAGAGCATATTCGGCGGCAAGCGTGAAGATCAAGCTAACTTGAAGAGTATTTTCGGCGGTAAACGCGAAGATCAAGCTAATTTGAAGAGTATCTTCGGTGGTAAACGCGAAGATCAAGCTAATTTAAAAAGTATATTTGGCGGTAAACGCGAAGATCAAGCTAATTTGAAGAGTATTTTCGGTGGTAAACGTGAAGATCAAGCTAATTTAAAAAGTATTTTCGGTGGCAGACGTGAAGATCAAGCAAACTTAAAGAGTATTTTCGGTGGTAAACGCGAAGATCAGGCTAATTTGAAGAGCATCTTCGGCGGCAAGCGTGAAGATCAAGCTAACTTGAAGAGTATTTTCGGTGGTAAACGCGAAGATCAAGCTAATTTGAAGAGTATCTTCGGCGGTAAGCGTGAAGATCAAGCTAACTTGAAGAGTATTTTCGGTGGTAAACGCGAAGATCAAGCTAATTTGAAGAGTATCTTCGGCGGTAAGCGTGAAGATCAAGCTAATTTGAAAAGCATTTTCGGTGGTAAACGTGAAGATCAAGCTAATTTGAAAAGTATTTTTGGTGGTAAACGCGAAGATCAAGCAAACTTGAAAAGTATATTCGGCGGCAAGCGTAAAGATCGAGCCAATTCGAAGAAAAAATTTGGCTGTAAATGCAAAGGTCGAGGTAATATGAAGAGCATGCTCGGTGGTAAACGTGAAGATCAAGCAAACTTGAAAAGTATTTTTGATGGAAAGCGTGAAGATCAAGCTAATTTGAAAAGTATTTTCGGTGGTAAACGCGAAGATCAAGCTAATTTAAAGAGTATTTTCGGTGGTAAACGTGGAGATCAAGCTAATTTGAAGAGTATTTACGGTGGTAAACGCGAAGATCAAGCTAATTTGAAGAGTATTTACGGTGGTAAACGCGAAGATCAAGCTAATTTGAAGAGTATTTTCGGTGGCAAATAGAAATAGAATATATTATAAATTAGCTTATTTAGACAATAAACTAAACGAATATTAGACTGAAATGAACATGCATACACTAAAGAAATGGGGACGATTGCAATTATAATTCACTAAAAAATTAACATATCATATATTCTATATAAAATGATCGCCTAATCGCTTCGTATTACGGTTGATAACTTTTAATTCGGGATAATAGTCTAGTTTATTATCATCGTTTACTGCCTATAATCCAGAAAACCTCTATTTACTGGAATAAATATCATTGATTACTACCAAGATTTAAATATTAAAATTCGTTTTATGATCTTTCGGTAATAACTAAAATTTAAATAATTATCTTTGGTTCCTTACAACTATCTTTGTCATTACTTGATTTCATTTTCGTGAAAATTGTAGTTTATCTTGTGGTTCGCCGATAATAAATACTGATCAACAAAATAAAATTGTACTGTTATGAATGTTTTTCTAGTCTTACTTATTTTCATTAACCGCAATTTGAATGTGGATAAGCTAGTGCAAACGGCAAAGTCAAAACAGTAAACCCGGTGTCGCCGTTTACAGTAATGAGTAAAAGTATGATCATAGATGCTACGTATATGAGCTATATACTCTTATGTCAAAGTGGGATCGGGTAGTAAAAGTAACGAAAATATAAAATAACGTTAGACAAGCTAGTTTTAGAAATAGTGAACATTTACTATAGTAACATGTGCTGACTTGGAACAGTTAATCACTGATGAATCAAACTTTAGCGGCTTTTATTTTGGAGTGCCCCAAATTTTCTTACTGGATGCGGAGTTTACCAGACTCATACAATGATTGAAATTATTCCGCTACATTAAAGCCAATTTTTAAAGTCCGATTTTGGCAGATTGTTTAACAAGATAGCAGTCTGATAAGTTTAAGATTTTTATTAATATAATATGTATGAATTAAACATTGAATTTCAGAATAGCACATTAAAGAGTATGTAGCTTCAGCTCTAAAACCTATCAGATATTGATCGTTAGTAAAAGAGCGTCATATTTATACTCAAATAGTAAATACCTGTATTAAACCAATTACTCAAGAATTATAATTTTAGAATAAAGCACTTTAAAAACTAATAGTAAGTTATTTTAGTCAGTGAAATATTGATATTAAATGAACATGGAATAAAATTCATCGATTGTAAAAGTAGTCATTTACACAGTAGGCTTCATCCAATACATGAAAATTACAGTAGCATGTTCCAATTTAATATTATACGCGTATCTAATCATTTTATGAAGCAAAACCATCAATGCAGGTTCTTAAGCATTGTAGCAGTTTTACATGCATACTATGTCTCTCTCTCTATATCGTTTAATCAATAGTCCATTTACATACTGCATGGCAAGGTACAAACCTACTGTATTTGGATTGATACCATGATCATCCCGTAGATTATTAGATACATCTCGTCATTATTGTAATTTAATACAGAATATCATTATACAATCGTAATTGGTTCCACTAGGCTGCTAAATTGCAGGCTTGATTTAACCTCATCCACCACCTCCTCGAGCACCACCTTTACCGTGGATTAGTACGATAAATAAAGCAATAATTAAGGATCAATTAGCTGTTTAAAATTTGTAATTTTGGGGGTAGAAATCAAACTATGAGATCAAAAAGTCTAATCATTGAAATGTTCATCGATAGAAACGTATTTAAAATTGTACATTTGCATGAACAAAGTGATAATTTCGTTGTAATGTTTTCTTACTTATTACATTATAAATGCTTTACAAGCACAAGCGCAGTTAGAGAATGATAAATATAGTGTACCTGAACGGCGACTGGGCCGGTATGAAGACATTGCTCCACCTCCAGTTAAAGGATTATAATTATCTTTTAAAGAAAGCACATAAATTAGCTCATCTCTTTTTTTTAAGTATCGCCTGGTATTATGACTTACGAACGGTATTGTAATTATTTGTGCATGTAAAACTTATAACAAATCATTTCTTGTCAAGAATTATAGTTAAAAAACTAAGTTAATATATCTTAATGATGTGAAGGTCATGGTCAAAGTTAACGAAACAGCGTTTGATTAGAGTATTTACAAAAAATTTCTGATAATTCTAATTAAGATCATTATGGCAGAAATTATCATTTTAATGCATAGCTATTAATACTTCCGCCAGCAGTGCTAAACAGCCAGATGATGTTGCTATCTATTCACTGCGATAATACTCCGAAAAATGTTTACAATGATAGATTATGTGTTAATAAGTGGACCATTATTATCAAATATGGGTATGATACAGATATATCAGTTTTTGTTAATACGCGTGTACATAGCATTATAAAACCAAGACATTTAGCATCTTTCTACCATATTACCTCTCCAAGATGTTTTATTAGCATTACGTTTGTTTTGAGCTTTAGAATTCTAAAATTCGACATATATATGCATAAAACAGTACGAGTTTTATTTGACGTTCACTGTATGAGGAGTCAAGCAGTAGAAGTAGTATCAATAACATACATGACTTACATCAGGTTTATCCTTTGAATCAGGGTCATGTAATCTTCGACCATTACCGAGTAATTTACTTTCAAGTTTTAAAATATCATTTTGGCGTTTGATTTCATCTTGCTAATTGGTTTCATATCGCAAAATAAAGATTGTCATACAATACGAGAAAGGAAATTATTATCATTGTCATAATAAAGCTCTCTGCATATGATAAGATGAGTGTATTGGATATAAATTCACGAATACATTGTAATTTATTTTACTCTTATCATCTATCATCATGTTCTGTAGTGTATACTCAGTGTGGCTACGGATATATATAATTAATTACTATAAGAGCAAGTTTTATATTTTATAGCGTAATTTACAATAAGATCCTAGAAATAATTAATAAGGTCAGCGTGTAAATTAACTAGTTGGATGGCATTTATTGAGATTAGCATATCATCTAACGACATATCTTTAATGTAAACAGTAAATATTATATATTGTAGCGTAAAATATGGTAAAGACTCAACAGAGTATAGTATCCAGCGTGAGCAATATTTTATTTTGAAATTCAATTCAATTTAACTTACTGACCTGTTTCCTTTTTTCAATGTATGATTGCACATTAAGATTATAGTCTTCCTGCAACTTTGCTCGGGCAGCAAGCATTTTTTCATTTCTGGCCAATGCTTCAGATGAGTCTAATTTAAACAAACGATGTATAGCCAATACTAAATTTAGCCAGATGACTCATCCGTGTTATAATATATCAAGTGTATTAAATTGTGCTTTGAGGTTGAACTTTTTTGCACTACATACAATATTACTGTACAGTACATATTTACTCTGCGTTAATTTAACAAATACACAATTAACTTGTAATGTTATGTAAGTTCAACTTGACCACAACAGTTTAGAAACATTGACATTATGAGTCATAATCAAAAACTTCTTGTCAATAGTATCATACACATATCTGCATCTTATACAAGTATAATGTATGAAGCAACCATCATAGTCCTGTACTTAATACCGTCATTGGGTTGAATTCTTACCATTTTTTTTTGCATTGGCTGCCTTATTCTGGTGATATTGAATCTTTTGACGATTGCTGATTGCAGGTTTTAATTTATTGGTCCATAAATAGTACCCAATGGCAGCAACAATAACAGCCAACCAACAGAATATCCCAAGGTATTCTAACAGTCAAAATCTATCGATTAACGCTAAAGATTTTTTTTACATAATACAAAACTATCGAAACTATACTACGGTTACGTCATGGAATCAGTTACTATCATGATTATCTATCTTAGTAGTCAAGTGGGAAAAGGTATACTTTATCATTTTTGTACAACGTTTTTTTTTATGTAAATACAGATATTTTCATACTATCATTTTGCATAGAATTCTACGCAAAATGTCGGGCATATACAGTATATACGTAAGATTGTACAAGATATGTAAAAAATACAGAACGCTGATAGTTCGATTATTAATGCTTGCTCAGTAGAATTGTGAATGTCTACAGATTAATTCGTATAGTACAAGTCGATTTCTTGGCAACAATTAGAAAATGCATCCAAATGTCGCCCTAAAGCTTCTAGTATATTAATACCTATTTGCTACTAGAGAAATCGGATCACCCTGAAAGAACAACTCCTATAAATACTGTACATGGATAAGGAGCATCCACTTGCACAAAGGCAATCTAGACTTCGAAAAGACGCTTCCCCCTGCCGATACTTTTAGTAGTTTTACTTTACACTCATCACTCATGTCGCTTTTAACCCCTTCATTCATCAGTGGGTTATTATGATAATCCCATAGCCGTTGGCTAGCTAGTAGGCGATTATTCCTAGGTTGTCTCCAATCCGGTTAATAATAAAGGTCAAAAATTTGCTAGTGTACATCAAATTTGGTAAATACCTGTCGAGATGTAATCCGTCCGTTGACTTGAATTGTCTTCAAATGGGGGGGCATCATCTTGAGCCATTTTGCCAACTTTAAGACGCAACTATACTGTCTAATCCACTTTTAATAGTTATCTATTGTGCTGTAGAACATCAAGCGATGACAATTAATGTATTCTACCAGCTTGTAATGAGTTTAGCATTAACGATATACCTACCAATGGCAATTTCATTAGAACATGTCAAGGAAATCTTGCCGGAGTCAAGGCAACAGCCCAGGAGAGTCAAATGGTTCTACTGTGATGCTGACTCACACCGTGATGAATCAGTTGGTGTCAGCCCTCAGTAATGACGTGACATCGCTTCAACCGTTCAATGAATAAAATGAGCTTCCCGTACACAGTACTGTAGTATACAGTACACAGCACAGTACTCTACAGTGTAGAGTACTGTGCTATCAGAAAGAAAGAAAGAGATTGAGTACAAGCATTTGCTTCGTCAAGCATTTGTGATGTTATTATGGCTACTAGGCTACTGATAGAGACATACAGTATTTAGTGCTGACGCCACTTGCAGAAATCATGACTCAGTAGAAGACTAACATGATTTCGCAACACCAATTAGATTGCAGTTGCAGCCATTTTAGCTTCTCGTTCTTGACCTTAGACTAGTAGTGTCCCAGATCGGATGCCATAGTGGTAATAAAAAAAGACTCTTCACCTTTATAGAGCTTTTACTAGTCTTTCTATGTGGCTAAAAGCAATTTAATTGAATCAACCTCTCTGTTCTTGGCATAAAGCGAGACTGTAGAAACACGTTCCTGTACTACAGCAGTGGTTGAAACGACTGCATGAAATCTCCTCATCAACATATCCATTATCCAATTCCCTCTGTGATATCCTCTTGTAGGAATGATATCAATGGAGAATGGATTGAATTTCTGAGATTAATCACTGCTATGACTTTACTATTAGCGAGCTAGCTTGAATTGTACTATCTTATCACAATCATCATGCCCAACGATAAGGATAAGCACAGTGCCTGCTGTGCTACTGCTCATTTTGGCCTAACTCAAACATTAGATGAAATGCAATTTGATCGAGGAATATGGGCAAGTGCTGTCAATGGTGACTTACAACGTCTTAAGCGATTCTTAGCTAAAGGAACTGACGTCAATGTTACCGATAAAGCCGGCTATACCGCATTGGTAAACCATGGCTAAAAATAAGTAGATGTAAAACTGTATAACCATGGACGCCTTTAGTCAATACTCGATGGGCAGTGTACTTTACTGAACTAGATACTAAGCATAAACCAAAATACATATTTAAACCATGCATTCTACGTTGTAGATGAGCTGAACTACACTTGACGACATGTACTGTATAGCAGATAGCATGCACAACTTAAATAAATATAATTACACATCAGAATGAAGGTCGTTCTCATGCTTGTTGATTCAGTTGTCCTCCATGTGACTATTATACACGTACAGTATGATTGAACATTAAATTCAATTTAATTTATAGAGCTAATTTGCTCCATCAGTCGTTGCAATTGCCTAGTGTAAACTACATAGATTTATTCAATTGATTAAAATGTTACTATGAATTTGGCTTACTTGCTCGTTTGGTTTGTCCACCTATAGCATTATGCTAGTCGTCATGGACACTATGAATTTTGCAAAACCCTCCTGGAGAATAATGCCACAGTTGATTGTTTAACCGGCAGTGGTAAATCAACTCCTTTGCATCGTGCAGCTGGCCAGGGACATTTAAAGATTATAAATTTACTCTTAAAATACTCCGCTAGCTGCAGCCTTCAAGATGCAGATGGCAAGAATGCTGCTCATAAGGTATGACATTAATATGACTATAAAATAAATCTGGCGAAATAGTATAGCTATACAGTACAGTAGTTGCACTTGAGTTATCATGGGATCACTAAAGCATCATGATCCCTACAGAAGTGTTGTATTTTGTAATCGATGCAACAGTTTGCAGATTACCATTTTCATTTAATTCTAGCTATTCTAATTCTCGGATCATCCGAGTCGGATGTTCCTGCTGGCGTAATTGTATGCCTGTAAACTATATAGAATTTAAGTACAGTAATTATCACGCTTGTAAGATGATATCGAAATTGGTTACAGTAAAAATTCCTATACCATAAACATATTGCTCTGTAATATAAAATGACTCTTTCACAAATGATACAAGTTTATTATTATATACTGCTGTAGGCGGCGGAAAACGGATACAAGGATATTGTCTATCTACTACAAAAATACAATCCGAATGTACTGGAGGTCAAGGATAACAAGGGCAAAACACCTCATGATTACCTTCATGTGGAGCATTGAAACCTATTTTCTGAATTACTTTGATCTTTATTAACTTTAAAATACACATATGATATCGATAGAAAAATTTTTAAATTAATTATTAAAAGAGTTTATAAAACTCCTTTGCTATCAAATATTTAAAACTATTGCTCATTTTGATATACTGTACAATGTCGCATTTTTCACTACATGCAGTATACTAATAAGTCATATAAATAGTAATAAATATACAGGAGCATAAGTAATGCACCTATCTTTACACTTTTAAGTTTTCTTCCGATATAAAAGTAATCATAAAAATATAAGAAGAAATAATTTGCATCTTGGGTAAAAAATTAGGTCAATACAGTACATGCGGTCGATTGGTACTGATTCCGAATGTACCGGGGTCATGAACACGCAAACCACCTAATCCAAACTAGGATAAGAATTAATTGGCTTACGATAGATTAGACATGACTCCACATATGTTCGGACTGTAAAATCACATTAGATATATACGTGTATATATACATACATATTATACATACTAGTCAATTAATTATTATAACACAAGTACTATCTCGGGTATCTCTGTTGTAGTCTCGATCTAGCATGTTTTGGTCCGATAAGTGGATCTATTTTTGAACATAGAATCATCTTTAGCTATCATCAAGACAATGTCATAACATTTCCCTTGCAGTATGCCCTATGGAATGCAAGTGATCCGACGAGACTTTATAGAATGTCAATATTTTACAGTATTAGCAGCTTCTCGACATTGTAATTAACAATTATCATACAGTGCAATTACAATTGACATAGAATCTTGGCTATACCAAGGCAACTACAGTTATTGGCCAAAATTGGTAGTAATATACTGAAAAAGTCAACTATGATTTAACGTTACTTCTTAACTGTAACGCTAACGCAAACATTATCTTTGATGTAAAATCTTAATGGTTGTGATGCCCAATAATTACCAGCATATTCAACACCGATTCTTTTGGCACTGACCAATTCTAGCTGCTTATCCTGTGGTTTAGGCTGAATCCATATCTCGTTACTTTGACATAAGTCAAGACAATTTATGGTTTTATCTATAGCCAAAGCTTGGCATAACTTGGCTGGTCCGTTACATAATTTCTCGACGGCTGTATTTCTTTTATTCTTCTGCTTACCGTTTAATCTCAATTTAGTCATGTGGTCGATTCCATAAGTAGGTTGAAGAGCTCTAACCAAAACAGCAGCACCATCTCCTCGACTAGAAATATTAAAGCAAAAGTGTATACCGTATATTTGATAAACATAGGCGGTACCTGGTGCCATGAACATTGCTCGATTACGTTCAGTTGCTTTGTTACCGCAGGAATGGGATGCTTTGTCATCACCGCCTAAGTAGGCTTCAGTCTCGACAATTCTTCCTGCTACCAGGCTATCATCTTTTAATTTACGAACTAACTCGCACCCAAGTAATTTTTGACTTAAAGTACTACAGTCTTCATCAAAGAATGAATGATCTAATTTTGTTTGGCTAGATAGATTGAACATGGCAGACTGCTCTTCATCACTGCTTACAGCTTCGGTCTTTCGCAATTTCTTCGATGTTGTAGCTTTCCTACTTTCGATCAAATCAAGTTGATTGCCAGAGCTGCAATCTAATTGTCTTTTATAACTTGCAATTCGTTGCTTAAATTGGCGCAGATTGGAAGTATCACCATCGTCCATCCTGAATCTTACGTACGGTACTCCTTTTCCTAATGCCTATGAGGCAGGCGTAATTAAACCCAATGATAATAGATAGAGAATAGCTAGAAACACCTAAGATGAGAAAGCTTGAAATGCAGTTTAGACCTAGGGATGCCTAATGCATAGCTGCAGAGTTTGCTGGCTTGCTGCAACTTCCTTGCAAGAGTAGGTGGGATTGGCAATTTACATACAGCCGAACTGTAGCCTGTAAGTAAGTAATACTACGTATACAGTAGTAACTGTCTACGCATGTGCATTACCGCAGTATTTCCATCTTCAATGCCCTATTAGGTACTGTATCAAACTGTACACTGTACAGTAGTCACTGTCTACGCATGTGCAATATAGTAGTATTCCCATATCGAACTCGACAGTACAGTACAGTAGTCACTATCTACGCATGTGCAACACAGTACTGTAGTATTCCTATCTCCAGTGCCCTATTACAGTAGGTACCGTATCGAACTGCTTTCCTCGGTGTACAGTGTACAGTACTGTAAACTGAAGAGGGAAGATACTGTAGATTGGATTAAATCATCACCACTCGCCTTGTACCTTTACTCAGTTCGCTGACTAGCTAGCAATAATTGCAGCTTTAATCTTTAGTCATGAATTTACTGTGCTAAGCAATGGATTTTCTTACACTGTTATCCAGCATTACCTTTCGCTGCTTTTAATGTTTACGGATCCTGATGGCAAGTATGTATCCTATCGGTAGGATGATGATGTGGTGGAGAATAGTTGTGATGATGATGATGACAACACATGCGTATGCATTACAGCTCTTCCTTAGCAATAGTCATGGAGACTTCTACACACAAAAGATAATTGTTAATAACGCTAACAACATGGTAGAGATGCAATGGACAACTCAAGATGAATCTCAGATTTCAGTTTTTATTAATTATCACCAGGTTAGTCAAGATAGATTGACTGTCAACACTTAAAAAGATAATCAATAAAGCTAATGACACATACAGTTTTCTGCGATAGACTACTTTACGCTTACTCGAACAGTCGGTCCAAAAGTCAAAGGGTACCCTAGGAACTGTGATTTGTTTAATGTGGAATGTTATAGTAATTTAATAACCTAATGGTGGAATATTACAATTGCTTTAGAAGAATCACTTACGATTATTCTATTCAGAAATGAAGTTACCGGGGTGACTACTTGAAAATTCTTATTTTACATGATCAATAAACCTCGTGTATTCGTAGTACTCGTTGTGTAGCAATAGTTTGGATTTCAATTACAATTGTTAAAGATAAATCTTGTAAACTCAGTAGCAGTAATCACTGGTACTATAGTACTCGTTAGCAATATTTTGAATTTCAATCAGAATTGTAGGGGATAGTTTTAGACATTCATGCTGTAAGACGTTTACCAACATGATCCGAATGATGTCTTACTTTAGCTAATTGGAAGAACATCAAGTTCTCTAACTTATCACGCTACTAGAAATATTGTTTATTCATTTCGTTATCAGCCATGCGACAAGTTCAAGTATGCGACAGTAAAGTTACTATTGAGAACGAATATTTTGGCTGATTGATATCAATAAGAAAGACATTATTAAGTGAATAGGAAAACACAAGTCTAACAATATCAATCCTTTAAAAATCATATTAATTAACTTGATAAATCAGCTTATAAGCGTTGTTCGATTGACTGGGCTCATTTCTTACCGGTGTTTGATCTAAAAGTAAAATGCGAGTATTTTGTACTTTTTAGTACTGGCAAATTTTTCGGATACGAACTCTAAGGGAGATGGACTATTACCAACACACTTCTGCGAAGCTCTCTACGTTCCAACAGCTTTGCTTCGTGAGAAAATTTCACTGGAAAGAGTTTATAGATTTCGAATCGATGACCAAATTATCTCATGTAAGTTTCTATGTGGTAAACGCTCGTACATTTAAAATCAATTTTTAAATTAAAAATATAATTCAATGATTTTTATCCGTTGTTAATTATTCTTTCTTGCTCTTATAACTGCAACAGCAACATTCACGCAAGATTAATAAAGCTGATGAAGATCTTGGTGTAAAGAATGTTAATTTTAATTTTTCCATTCCTATGAATAAGATTATAGACAACAATATTAGGGAAATTTGCCATGGTAGCAAAACTGTCTTAGTTAACAATATAACGATTGTAAATTCTATTTTAGGTAGTAAAAATGTCAATGACAGGACTACGATAAGAACTGCAAACAAAGATAGCTTATTTTGTTCTAAGATTACTGATAATATAATTTCACATCAATGTTTGTGTAATTATTCGTTATGTTTAAATTGGTATCCTTGCAATTATAAGAATTGCAAATTACTAGATAGTCAAGGAAGACAATCTTGCAGTATAGCAAGTTGTAAAAGATGTTATCATTTTCGATATACCAGCGATAGCGTGATGGATTGTTTATGGGACATTTAAAAAGGTGTTGGTAGCTATTGGATAGCTTGCTTGATGAACAAGTAAATACTTGTTAGTGATGGACAGTTTTACGTCATAACAATGCCATGTCTTACTGTATTTATTTGTAAATTTTTATCTATGGAAAGATCTTCTGCCGTCAGGGACTGCACTTACTGGTTAACTTACCAGCTGTAAATAATAGCTAGTGTAAATATTCATACTATCTATGATTATATTATTGGTCTTGAATTGGAGTAAAAGTGAACAAGCCGCGATGGAAAGGATACTAAACCCAATCTGTATCTAAAGATGCTATCAATATCTGCTGATAGTAGTTAGTCATATATAATAAACATCTACTACACTAGTATAGCGTGGATATAACTTATTGCTTGAATGGCATCACTTAGCCTTAGACGGAACCTTAATGCCGGGTATATAATAATGGTAACCATTAGAGGTAAAAAACACTGTTGAAAACAATGCATGTGAGGGCAAATCGTTGACGATACAATATTCGGGAGACATGATGCAAGGATAAATATATAGATTAGATTCTTATTTAGTTGCCTTGCCACATGTTATTTATACAGTTCAATGCAAAACAGTGTACTGCGGTACGATATAATTTACTATTACATAGTAAAATGACTTTGTTAAACAAAGATTGCAAAATATACTGATAAAATAAGAACTATATGTAAATGTCTAGATAATATCTTTAAAGCTGGTCTGTTTTATAGTTTAGATTTATTACATAGTAATTGGATCTGAAGAGTTCTAGTCTATTTGACGATTATATGACTGCATTGTTATCTTTGCGTATCAGCTTTCCCGGCCAGATAATTAATTAATTATGCATATAAGATCTCTACGCCCATAAAACTCTTCGGTGTCCATAGCAACGAGTGCGGGTGGGGCAAATTAATTAATGTGCTTTAGTAATACATATATGTTATATTAACGAGAGGGGAAACAGTGCCTAAAGATTTGTGGGTTCCTAATCTACTTACTGTACCCTTTTGATAGAGCAATTACCTTCGATGTGGCAACTTGTAGTTCCTAGTCAAGACAGTTAACATTGATTTTATTGCTAGATGTTTCTAGAGACGTTTTTAATCTTTAATATCTAGTTTTTAAATACAAGCACAAACATATAATTGCATTAGCTCGGATTAATCATCCCTTATAAATAAGTGAGAATCAATTCTCAAATTAACGCAACGCAGCAACTTATTTACCTACCTACTATGTTATTTTCCCGCACAGTGTAGCATAATGAGTGAACTGATTTGTAATACCTAAATAATACATAGTTATTACGTATTTTAAAGTTGTAAAGTTAACATTCGATAAGATTCGATTATTGCGTTTTCACAAGTATAAAATCCGCTAGTTGATTGCCAATCTTTTGTAAATATAGTTGGTTTACGATGGAAAATAAATACCACCAAACAAGAGAAGATCTAAGTACATCATTAGGCTATACTGAAGAGGTTAGAAATTCGCTGACTATTTCTAAGCCAAATCTAGAATTAATTCGACATGATCGCCAGGAACGAGTCAATAAAATTATGAAGGTAAGTTTAAATGTAATACTTTAAAATAAAATAGTAATTAATAGCATAAACTTCAATATAGCATTTTATCCAAACTACAACAAAAATCTCTTTTAAAATGGATGTATCAAATATACTAAAATTAATTAACATCACGACAAATATTCTAGGATGCAAATCCCTACGTGGCGAGGAATATCATACCTAAAGTAGGATTGATTTAAGTTGTAATTTTAAAGCAATAATTATTAGGCAAATTTACATAAAATCAGTACAAATTTTATGAGATCTATTTAATTTACTTCACTAAAAGCGGAATTAAATGTGCATGTATCGGTTAGGCTAAACTATCTCTCGAGGCATCAGCTGCAATCAAAATACAGTCTTACTTTCGCGGAATGTTAGCCCGCCGAGAGTATCTTAAAAGGCTGATACAAAAGATGGAAGAGGTAAAATGGATTGTTATATCATTGTAATCTAAAAATTAAAGGCTGCCATTCAGAAGTACACTGTACATTATATTTCGATTATTTTGAATATATTTGCACTCAGGAAGCGGAGAAAATGGAAAGAAAACGAATGGCGCAAGTTGAAGAAGGCGAAATGTTGATTGAGAAGTGAGTTTAATTTAAGTATATTACTGTAAAATGCCATTACAGCATTTATAGTCAGGGAAATAAATTTGCTATTTTAATCATCAGCTATCGCTTGCGAGCAGAATTCGAAGACAATAAAGCAGTAAGAAGGAATAAAAAAAGATTATATGAAACACAGGTTACAAGGTAGCAACTAAATCAAAACTCTATAGATTACAACTTACCTAATACATGCAGTTAAAAAGTTAGTTAATCACTCTTGATTGATTATGATTTAAACATAAGGATTCAACGGGCTTGGAGAGGATTCAAACGTCGACAAAGTCAGGCGTCGCTTGCTGATGAAGAAGTCAATCAAGAAGAGAAACCTATTGAAGATGATAAGAACGAAAACTCAAATATGCCATCTAAAATAGCTGAGCTAGTTGCTGAAGACGTTAGTGATTATAGTGTTACTACAAATATAGAAGAACAAGTCTTTAACGGAGGTCAACCAAAATCAGAGATGGACGTGATAGCGATATTATTATCAGAGATAATTAATAAAGCGATAGATAACGAAACAGAAAGCCAAACCGAATCTCACACAATTTCGCGAGATCATCACTCAAAAATTAATGAGCACAAAGCAGTTTTTGACGACGATAAGTTAGATATTTCTTCTGATGAAAAAATACAATTGAATGCTACTCCATTACCCAATGACAGTAATTTATCTAATAAGGATATTCAGTCTGAGGCAGGTTAGTTATATTATACCTAATGTGATCATTTTAGTAAACTGTTATACATAACCATAGGTATTTTTAACACTTGTAATAAATCGTATTGTTTTTTTCATGCTGCAATTACTGCACTGTGTATTTATATTTGCAAGGATTGAATATCGAAAGTATCCAAAAGTCCTTCGGTGATGGCTACAAGCCATTACTCAATTATTCTAACGATGATTTGAGTGAGAAAAAAGTGAAACTAGAAAATTTGATCCAAGGTTGTTCTTTCAGTCTGATATTACTTTATATAATTTTTTAATTATGCTTGTGAATGCAATAATTTCGTAGCTAGGATAGCTAACTATAATTATTTACGTTAATTTTGCAGATACGTCCAAAAGCCTAATCCTACTTCTAGTAGAGCAGGATGAACTGAAATCGGCTAATGTTGCATTAACTACTCACGTTGAAGAGTTAACTCGGTAATAACAAATCTCATACGAAAATGAATAAAAATCAGTTAAAATGCAATTTTAGGATCCGTTTGTCTTTAAATTTTTGATTATGAACGCTCGTAGTGGAGAATAAATCATTGAACGAACGCTTCTTTTACTTGATTATTTACAGAGTTGTACAAAAGCGAAACTAAAGTTGAAGAAAGACATATTTTTAAGATCTTGAGAAGGAAGTTGGTATAATGACAATTTGGATTGTTTCTTGCTTTAGAAATTCGTATTTGCGATGCTGATTCATCATGCATGCTTTCATTAATAAATCAGTGATTAATAGATATAATCAGAACTGATAACAATGTTATGTTATACATTGCAATGTAAAGACATTATCCAAAAATTTAGGCTCAAAAATGACTACTATAACAGGATCATAATGTTTATTTGTCAGTCTGTATACAAGGTACAGAAAAGTACGGTACAATTTTTGCATTTCTTTAATTAGCAGTAAGTTAACTTTCCTAACATTTCGTTGCCTTTTAAAACAAAAAATCGTAAATCCTATTTATTTTTTATTCCTACGCAATTTGATGTAATAATTTTAGTATTGGCATTCGATAATGTATTTTTCATTGACTCTTGATTTTTCTGACGAAAATTTAAGTTAAAAGTTCAACCCATTACAGTGCGATAGATGGGTATCAACGCTTACTTGTCGCTTACACATTCTACAAAATTAGACATTCAGATTCACCATTAAAGATTTTAAGATGTAAATGTCAACGTAGTACGGTCTTCGCTTAAAATAATGATTAGCATCATACACATCTTCTAGCGCCAAGATAGCGTGTTATAACAAAATTTCAAACAGTTTAAAAAGAATACACAGTTAAGTATATAGATCTATTAGAGAGCGAAAATCTGACAAGAATTAAAAATGACCGATTAACGGTCACAGCTTTAAAATCAATCTGTAAAAATTCAAGTAAACAGCATATTCCTTAGAATCACAGACAGACTTGAGATATAATATGATCAATTAATACCAGCATGCCTCAGCTGATAATGAGCTTGCCATGTATCGCCTAAGTGGATTCTCTTATAACGTTAAACACGTCTTATCTATATAATTAGAATTGTAAACTTACATTCAAAAATATAACAGTAGACAAATAAAAATCGTCTTGCCTAAAGTTTCACTCCCAAGATTATTCCTTAGTTAATCTTGATTAATTTTAAGACTACTTTACGTGTATAATTTGGAACGAAAATTCATTATGATACATTACTGATAAAGGAAATTTACTGACTCGATCCTAAGTGATCCGGTACCTAATAATTGGAAGAGTAAGATTTTATGTATAATGAATATTTTTGAGCTATAAAATAAATGTACAAGGTAGAAGAATTTCTCACCTCCGATCCTACACGAGCAGTAAATCTGTTTCTAACGTCAGAATCATAGCCCTGCTTGAAATCAACTTCGCTAGGATGGACTAATTGCGGATCGTTAATTGACGTAGACGCTTTTCTAGAAGATAAAAGATAGGACCTCATATAAGAGAAGAGTCACAATAAACATTGAAAAATTGATGTGAAGATTAATGTGACCGAATGCAAATCTTTCGAAAGACTCTTCTATTAAGTACATTTAAAGTAGACACTTACAAATTTTCTGCTTCAGCTAGCATATTGCGTTTTTTCGCACTATAATTCAGCGTGCCACCTATCATTATGGTATTATTGACTTAGGATTACATTTTCTCAAATACCTATGTGTAGTATTCTTTACTACTAACCTCTTGCAGCATCAACAAGGTACAATGCTACAGCAGCAATAAGTGCAACTAATAGCAAAAAGGAAAGTGGTTACACTTGAAAATTTTCATATCGAAACTTAATTCCCTTTATGTTAGTTATATCACCGATGAGTTATATAGTAACTTACTGCTTAAACAGCCTCCGAAAAAAACTTCTAAGAACAGATAGCCTTTCGAATCGACAATATCCCCAGCAACTATAGCAACAACGGCCAATCCAAGATTTTGTATAGCTTGCATGCTATCAGGAGAAATTTTATTTTTATCAATGTACAAATGCAACAAGAAATTAAATATAGATTCAGAGTACGATTTAAGATTATTACATGTTAGAACCTACATTCCGTAAGCAGTTCCTAACTGATGCTCTGGTATAACATATGCTACCATGGGCCATAATGCACAAGCAAGTAAAGAATAAGCTAAGCCCATGGTAACCATAGCAATATAAGGATTTAAGAATGTAAAAGCCATCAGCATGTGGCTCCCAAGAGTTGCAACAACGCCCAAGATAACTGCGATTTAATGATTAAATTAACAACCAGATTAGAATTAAATAAAGGAAATTTCAATCTATTATTTATGTTTGATTTTCTTCGGATTCATCTTTACCCCAATATAAATTGCGACCCACTTTATCCACAAGAATACCAAAAATGGGGGACATAAATGCTGATAGGAGGTACACAATACTATCGCGGTAGAATATTACGATTATAATATTAATATCAATTTGGTTATGAAAAGGTACTCTTATTCTTATTATGTACCTGTTTACCGCACTTGCAGCAGCGGGGTCTAGGCCAAATCTTTCTTCAAAAAATACTCTTTAACAATCAAAGTATGGAGAAAATTATAAAAATCTTTTAAGTATTGATAATCATTACCGAGAAATTACGCAGTTGAATAATTATAATTCACCATCAGTTTATATACGCAATAACTTACAATCCTAAGCTTATGAAAGGAAATACTGTTACGTAGTACGCGACACAAATAATAAACATAAGCCATATCTGTAAAGAGAAATCTTTTACATCCAGAAGACTGACTTTTTCTCCTGAAAAAAGACCAATCCAATAGTATATGATTACTTGATGTTAATAACAAAAGGTAAATTTTCTGAAAGTTGTTATACCAACCAGTCTTTTCATCATCTTTTCCAAGTAGTCTATTTGCTCTCTTGTCGTAATAAGCCAGAAGGACAGCACAAAATAGTGACAATATGCAAAAAGCGCATCCTAGAGAGTAAAAATATAAGGTTGTTGCTTATCATTCGTAAGCTGTGAGTAGTGACACTAGCGGTGAGCCATAGAGTTGAAGTAATTTATTGGCTCATAAAAAAGGCAGTTAAGTCTGCTACGTACCAAACCATAATGTAGCACCTAAACATTGGTAACCCGATAAGTAATTGTTCAACCAACGATAAATTGGTCCCATGATGTTTATATTGACCGTACTACCCTATATTGCAGCATTAACATATAATTGTAAAATAAATTCAATTTTTATGTAACTAAGGAAAGTATCCTGATAATTTCTACAAAATTGAATAAAGTTATTACCACTCGAGAGAAACTGAGCTGCAAACCAAAAACCATATTTAACTCTTTGCCTTTAAACCAACTAACTGCATAGGTATTTTGGCCCACTGCTAAGGATTCTCCACCAATTCTAGATTACGGAAAAAAAATTTAATCTGCTTAAGATCTCGATCGTTACTTGTGATTCACTTGGTAGCTAACATTGTCTATACATTTTGAAATAATTTCCGATAGTACAATTTAAGACTTATGGTGATGCAGTGCGTTTTTTGTTTTATAAATTTTAAAATTACTGTTAGAATAAAAATGTCAATATATAGTTTCCTATTAATGGGAGCAAAATTTCGTGCAGCGACAGAATATAGGTACTGAATGACCTATTTACCGAAAATTGAGGTCGTTTACAGCAAAGTCTTACCCAAATACAAATCTTCCAACACACATTAGCCAATATTTATCCAGTTGAGCACCTATAGCAAATATGATCTGTACAGATACATGATATAGATAAAATACATGATGTTAATTCTTTTAAATCATGAAACTGGAATGATTAAATTATATTATTAGAGTATACATTTATGACTGTCTTGGTCGTCTATGCATTTTTAAGTAATCTATCAGAAATGATGATATGTAAGCTAAAGGCAATTAACAATGTTAACGTACTTGACCAACTAATACGAAAAGGGCGAATACAATGGTTCCAAACCTACAATAAGATAGGACATTTTCATACTTAAATGCAAGATCAGTGACAGCCAAGATATATAAATTAAATTACAGTAGTATCAAATCATTCCAAAACTACTTAACAGTACTATTACTGATTTAGTTAATTGGAATATTTGGGAAGATTATTGCAGCTATTTTACAAGATATAAGCTAATGCTGGTCTACGCGTATTAATCGATAGTAAATGAGAATGTAGGCTTAAGCTATTATCATTCTATTATTTTTTCGATTTTCTAGTTATATACTGTATGATATAGTGATTACATATTACTAAAAAGGATTAATCACATTCTGTTGCTACTAAGCGGATATTATAGATATAATAACCTCAGTCCTAAAAAGGTATCGAGTAAGTAACCACCAAAGAAGCAAAGAACAACATTAGGCCATGAATATAAAGAATATAAAAGTTCATAGTTGGCAGCATTAACCCGCATATCCTATCCATATAAATTATTTGAAATGAGAATACAGGCAATTTGTGTTAGTTCAACGCTTACCGCAAGCGTGTTCGATTATAGAATTTAAGAAAAAGTTTCCATACCGTTTCAATTTGCTTCTCTAATGCAGCAGGATTATCGTAGACGAAGTAGCTGCCTGTTATTATGGGAGAAAGTTGATATTATTATTTAATAAGTCACTTTATTTTTATCATTTACTCCATGCGGCAATCGATTAGATACGTAGATGTAATGCAAAACGCTATATGCAATCTACACTCCACCGTAGTCTCTATCCATTACACTAAAGGCTAATTGATTGCGATTTACCTAATAGTATTCTTAATGATTAGTCTATCTTGGTGTGATGAATATTATTACTGTATACTGTAATTTGGCATGCTATAAGGTACCTCTGTTAATACTGTACCTTTCTTATAGGCGGTACAATAATGTGTGCATTAAATTACAATATTATGCAGGACTCTCTAGTGGTTGACTGTCGCCTCAGCGACTAAAGACGTAACATTCTTTTCTTTCCTTGAATACTAATAGTCAAGATTGACTGGATCTGTATTCTTCGATCAATCTAACGCTATGACTGATAGTAAGTAATAATACGATCAGAATGAGACAATGTTTGTACTTGTCACGAGGCGACGGCGACATGCTTCCATAATGATTGGACTATCTCGTTACTACTAAGCACATCGATTGTAATGTACGTACTATATGTATAAGTTTAAAATGTTTTTATGATAATCCTTTTACGATTATACGAACCAACATTTCTCCCACAGTATACACTATGCTCCATTTCGTATCATTGGTATATCGATATAGTAGTATACATAGAGTACGATTTTGCTAGAATCGGTAGATATCTTACCGAAACTTAGAAAGCACATTAAAATTAAAACCAAATAACGATGTAATGCACGTCGAGGATCGCAAGCCATGGTGGCCCCACAACCCGTCAATTCCTCAGTTAATGGTTGCTCATCGGTGGTAGTATTGCCTTGAGTTTGTATCAATGGAGTATTCTCATCGATAGCCATGATGAGAATGAGTATGAATTAATTGCAATGGAAAGACAGAGTGATTTAATGAATTATAAATATCAATGCAAGGAGAAGATGGCCACAAAGTGATTTTGACCGCAATGATAGACTAGTCGAGTCGACGTTTTGCTTTCATCCATACAGGACCACAGCCTCATCTACAGTGCACTACTGTACAGTGTACAGTAGATTCGTGACGAATGAGCTGATGGTACTGTACACTGTACTGTATGACTAGTGTCAATTTTTAGCGATACTGTCCAAAGCCAAGGACGGTATTCAGTTGATACAATCACTTGTATAGCGTAGTAATGTTTACGTAGGTCGAGAAGTATGGTAGACAAAGCCGTGTGAAGCCGGGGTCACATGACGCTCACCAGGCTGTCGCATCACTTGCATAGGCTACAGTAGCAGTAGTGTATCATGGACTTCGAACCAGGGGACTTTATCCGCTAGTAGGACATTGCTAGTGAACGATGGTTTCTAGTCCTTCTTTCGTTGGCTAAATTAGCGATTCTACTGTAGGTCTGGCAGACATTAGCCATCGCTATCACAGAACCATTCTATTCATAATATCTTTTACGGTAATGGTAACCCTCGCCCTGGTACCTTTTCGTTAGTACCTCTTTTACTTTGCACCTGGCGTTTCCTAGTCGTTACGCAATTTTACTGTCTACAGTATAAACTAGTAAAGGAAACTTGCAGCATCAACGACCAAATGCAGTCCTGTATATCTGTCCAGTAGTCCATGCTTAGAGTGCCATGTCTAGTCGTCCACTTGTCCATCGGGAGAATGTTGAGTGAGCACTGAGCAGCATCAACGACCAAATGCAGTCCTGTATATCTGTCCAGTAGTCCATGCTTAGAGTGCCATGTCTAGTCGTCCACTTGTCCATCGGAAGAATGTTGAGTGAACAGCATCAACGACCAAATGCAGTCCTGTATATCTGTCCAGTAGTCCATGCCTAGAATGCCATGTCTAGTCGTCCACTTGTCCATCGGAAGAATGTTGAGTGAGCAGCATCAACAACCAAATCCAGTCCTGTATATCTGTCCAGTAGTCCATGCTTAGAGTGCCGTGTCTAGTCGTCCACTTGTCCATCGGGAGAATGTTGAGCGAGCCCCCCTCCCCCCTCCCCCTGTGTAGTACTAAAACAAATGGACGCGTTTGACTGTATACTGTACACTACAGTAAAACACTTGTATAAGACCAGCGACTACTAGAAGTCCATCATGTACTGTGCAGCAAAATTGATTGCCAGCCATGCTAAAGTAAACAACTTAATCATTTGATCATAGCTAGAAACTATGGCAATATCGATCCAACAGCAAGATGTAATGGTTATGAAAAGTGATGATTAAACTACAACATACGCACGTATACGAGTAGAATACTGGAAGACTATCCAAAAAAAAAAAGAGCTTATTGATCAATACCGGTTTCCCTTTAGTCGTAAAATTACACATCAACTAGGCTGGAAAGGATGATTCAATCATGGGTTAAAGTCACTATAACATTATGCCTTTATGGCTTCTTTAAAGAGATGAAACCATCTGAGCCGTTTTTAACACCTTTTCTCAAAGGGTTGAGTAATAATTTAACTGAGAATGACTTAGAGCAAATTTATCCTGTTTGGACATACAGTTATCTAGGCATGTTAGCCATCGCTCTGTTAGTCACCGATTTAGCTCGTTATAAACCGATTATTATCATTGAGGCGTTAGCTTACTTGGCTACTCGTATCATTTTGTTAGCTGGCCATAGTGTGCCTATAATGCAACTAATGCAGTTTGCTTATGGCATAGCGACCGCAACTGAAATTGCATACTATGCTTATATATATGCTGCAGTCTCATCGCAACATTATCAAAAAGTAACCAGTTATACACGCATGGCTGTATTATGTGGTAGATCATCGGCAGGTTTTATTGGCCAACTATTAGTATCATTGCATGTAGCCAATCTTTACGCTCTCAATGTTATTGCTACCTGTAGCGTTTGTATTGCACTGGTATTAGCTGTATTACTTCCAAAGATTCATCCTAATGATTTGCAATCAAACCAAGATCCACCCCTAATGGTATCCATTAATAATCGTGCCCTAGAAACTGAGAGTCGACATGATAATAGTCATCAACAACATCAAGATTCCAAAGTAGACAATCGTGTTAATACGGCGATGTTTTCACAAAGTAAGCCGCAAGATACTGACAACAACACTACTTCTTTAATCAAGGATAATAATGAAGATGAAAACATACCTAGAGGATGGAAGCAGCAAATAACCCATTTTACTTGCACCTTGACCAATCAAATTGCCTATATCTACTCCAATCATTGCATATTGCGATGGTCTCTTTGGTGGGCATTAGCTACATGTGGTGAATTACTTGTAGGCAACTATGTAGAAAATTTATGGGACGTTATCTATCCCGCCCGCTATCATAATGAAGATGTCTATAATGGCCTAGTTTTGGCTGTTGCAACCTTGTTGGGAGCTGGTGCTGCACTAGCTTTAGCATATGTAAAATTTGATTGGGGCTTTTTCGGTGAGCTAACGGCTGGTATTGTATCTGCCATCGATGGCGTTTTACTATTAATTATGGCATTAACCAATCAAATTTGGCTATGCTATGGCTGCTATGTCATATTTCGTACCTCGTATGCCTTATTAATTACGATCGCAAGGTAATTAAATTGATCTACATCTACTTTCTGCTTACCCTCAGCTATAAAGTTCAATAGCATACTAATGACTAATTTAATTTATACTGTATTGAACTAATTGCATGATATCTGAAACATAATTAATTTTGATTCCATTATCTGATCTTCTTTTAGTCTACAGATTGTGAACGAAATTAAAAGAAATTGCTATGGATTAGTCTTTGGTATAAATATGTTCCTAGCATTGAGTCTTCAAACTATACTCCAAGCGGTCATACAAGGTTACAAAGTACATGTCGTTCATCAATTTTATACGTATTCTGCCTACTTTGGTCTTCTTGGATTAGCGTTTACTGCTGTTGGAGCTTACAAAATTGGTAAGTTAGGATGGAGAAAAAGCTGGCAATTCTCAAAGCTAAAGTATATTCAACGAGCGTCTGGCAATGAATCTGTTTCAACAATTGATAATAATAACGATATTGACAGAGTTTAACAAAAATTTTTTTCTGTATTCATTTTATCAAAACTCATAAGCAACACTTTGCTAAATAACTACGCGTCCACATGAAATAAATGTAAAATACAAATTTTGTATATTAGTGTTATTAATAAAGTACGGTAAAAAGGTTATATTATCGCATTGATTAGCATGAATTCAGTTGTAACACATTTACTGCTTTAGTTATGTATCTTGAAATCATTTAGTTAAACTTCAATTTTCATAAACTATCAATTTATTAGGAATATTTAGTTATTGAACTGGCTGTCTTTATGATCATAGGCCTAGCGTACTATAATTTAATGATACAGTTTCATATGTACCCATATATACTCGTATATAGGTTGAAATACGTTAACTGATTATATTTCATGTAATTAAATATTTTCGAGCTTTTTTTCGCTGATTTAGCAAGGGCAAACATGATTTTAATAATCTAAATTATCTTACACGATCACTGTGCGTTAAACACATTGTAGTTTAACATTGAAGATTTTATTTTTAGAATAAAGTCAAAGGATAAATATATCAGTGTGCTACGTTTGCAAATATTAAACTATGAAAGAATAGCTAAAAGTAATAATATTTCGCCACACATTCAATTTTTTTACAATTTTTGGCATATTTTTAACTATTTTAATGCTGTATAGAAAAATTTACTCAAATTTCAAATATATGTAAAATTGTTTATTCAATTGCTTTAACTCGATTAATTTTAAACAATAGCATAATAAAGCTATGATTGTTTTTGTTACAAAATTAGTGATGCTAATACAATTTCTATATTATAAGCTAAATGCAAAGTTTAACCCATTTTGTTACGACTATGATAGTATGTCCACTTAAGCATAAGATTTGCACTACATAAGTCTATTCTGTTACAGAATAGAAGAGTTTCGAAAACGTAACAGCAATACAAATTGAAATTAGTCTATTCTATAATCTTATTTTCAAGGCATAATACAATGTATAATACTGAAAGTCTAGTCTGTAATAGAAGGACACTAAAATAAAATTTATCACCATACTAATATAATCATTACCTATAACATTGAGAGCACCAACAAAATGATAAAAACTAACATTACTTTTTGTTATGCATTCTTAATCGACATTGACACATATTTACTACCGTTTGACAGAATATAAGAACTAAAATTTATCACCTTACTAACGTAATTATTATTTAAGACATTGTAAGCATCAGCAGGATAATAAAGACAAACACTAGTTTGTGTTATTCTTTTTTAAAAGAGTTTAAAAGAATGCTAAGCAACATTATTTCTATGGTTGCGATTTTAATTAAGCTGCAATATTTTAGTGAAGTAGGGCAACGAGATACTAAAAAATTGCGATTGTAGCATCTATCGAGATTGGAATACCCGTATATGATTACGTATACTATCGTTCAAATTAAAGCTTAGTTATTTTGTCGTATACCGCTTCAACCACGCTTTAGATACGCTCACATCAATCGATTAGGGATAGTATTGCATTTGATTGAGATACTGTAAAAGGAAGTTTGAGGATGTATTAATAGACAATATTGCTGCAAGTCTGATCTAAATCTTAATATAAAATTATATAACAAATATTTTACACTACAGAATAACTGTATACATATTACTGTCATAATTGATCCATGATAATTGCAGATATAAAACAGACTTACTCCATGGTACCGATTTCGTCGTCATATTGCCTAACCTTCTCCGACAAAACACTGTATCTGCCAAATTGAATTTTTACCAATTGGAAGACTGCACTACCTGTAAATATTATTTAGATTAAAATAAGCTAATCCCATTGAATAGCAATTAATACAGTAGTTATCTATGATACTATATCCATTAAAAATTACTCAATTAGTAGATCATTCTTATTAATTTTATTCTTTACCAAAATAATCCTTTTGGTGTGATTTACTATTGACACTGTGGATAGCTACAATCAATAACTGTTGTTTCAACGAGATTTGGCTTCCATAGATAGGGACTTTTAGCTATTATCAAATAAGAAAATGTAAGCTATTAGGGTTGAAAAGCTACATTGGAGAAGCTCAAAAGTTCTTAATACAGCATCATGAATTCCATCTCAAAATGTACGGGTGTATTATGTCAGTAATTGGTACCGCTAGATCAAGATGAATATCGAAAAAGATTAAATTGGAGTCTATTATTATTTTTGATAGGCAAAACATGCTATACCCTTTCAATTCATCTTGTAATAATTATTTATCGCTTGATAAATTCTACTGAAATATCGATACCTGCTTAACAGGACTATTTTCATGATTTGACCAATGGCATGAAACCCTATCATTAGTGATATGTGTTGCATTACCACTGTTGAAAGATTGATCTTGGCTTGTATTTGTTGACTCACTAAAAGTTACTTGACTATTCTCTATTAAAATGATTGAAATGTAGAAAAAAGCATATATTATTGCTACGACCAAACTCATTTGAATAACGATTAATGTGATTAGAATGTGATATTTTAATTATATAGGATTAAATAAAAGAATTCGTTAAATTAATGTGCTATCTTAATTCTACTGAAGTAACGAACAGTAAATTAACAGAAATTGATATAAATTTTGTTAATGAACTTCCATATTGTACTTTGAATATGGTCAAGGATAGTTATGGTTTATAATAATTTAATTGATAGACCTGTTAGATCTAATCAATTACCGTTACATCCTATAATATATGCCTTGATTTGGATCTTAATGTTTTTTTCTTGACGCTTAGTGCTAAACTGTTAGATTGATAAATTAAATTAAGATAAAGAAATTGTGAAATGGTTTAAAAGATCATGAACTGTCAATTTACATGTATCGTACTTAAGTACGGATCCATATTGAAATAGTATAAGGCAGTTAATATCACTGACTATTGTGCATATTTTTTGCTTAAGTTAATTAAAGTATAGAGTAATATAGTAATTACCGTAGTTTCGATTTCTGCAATTTCAAGATTTACATAAGCACGACTCTCTATAAAGATTACAATGGATTTTTAATCTGTTAAATTCAAGATCAATAATAATAATAATTGTGTAATCAGATACAGGTATTTATAATTTATAGATTGACTAATTTTACTTTAGTAATGGATATACATGTAAAATTAGCTATATAGCTATGAATGTTATCGGTATTGGTACTGATTCAAGCCTAATTCTGGTATATTTCAACTTTGATGTAGGTATAAGATAGAAGTTGATCCTGGCATATTACCTTCATCTTTAGGCGTTTTAAGTAGGAATGACGAAAATACTGGCCGTCGATTAATACCATAACTAACATCTGGACAGCCTAATTTTTTAGACAGGAATTGGTGATCAAAATTGCTTTTTTTATCAACTTAAGTATCCAGATTGAAGCTGTTGTTAGACAAACCATAAATTGTATTGCTGATCGCACCATTCATGTAGCCTTTCTTATACAGAACTCTTCCACCATACCATGCCTCAGGAGTATTCTTTAAAAGTATGATTAAACCCATATGATAATTAATGAAGTACAAAAATGTAGGTATGTAATAATATGATAAGCGATGATACTGCTACATACAAATATCATAGTAATGAGTTGTTTCACGGTTAATGATCAAAGTTATTATCATAGTGAGTTATCAAAGTAATACTTCACTTACGAGCTTGTCTTTACTTTCGGCTGCAGTTGCAGGAAAATTACATTCAGCCTCATCTAAGGTTTAATAGCCAAAAGATCAGCGAGTATTTAAAAAACTTTATCATTACTACTAAAGTATACCTATAACGATTAACCTACCGAAACTTGGTAATGCAACTGGCATTACTTTTTTAAGTTTATCTCTCATTTGCCAAACTCGGATAAGATGACTTAATTCTCTTGATGGATCAACTCCCTGTTTTAATCGGTTTCAAAGGCAATTAATATCATTCTTTAAGTTTATCTTTTCAGATTGCTACACATTAACAGCGTTATCGATCGACGTAGATATAGTAGTGATATATGTATAGGATTAGAAATGAACAGCCAGCTCGTTAATTACCATTTCAACTTTAGCACAATTTTGAGTAATATCTCCTAATATAAAGATATGATGGAATTGTTGCGTTACATCATAAATAGGAATGCCATTACCATCAAACTTGATCTTTTTTAGTACATCCATTACGTCTTGTTTGACTCTGAATAGAAGTAAAATAAACGTTATTTCTATTATTTTATTGATGAGCCGCTGTTTTTTGATCAATTTATGTTCCTGAAAGCAGTATCATGCTGTTATCTAGGTATGACTTAATTAGAACTGCAGTCCATATAGCTATAAAAATGGCAACATACGTACACGTCACTATGAATATGTTGCTTAGTGTCGCAAACTAGCTCTATGACAAGACAACGAGAAGCTAAATCTACATATCTTTTCCCCAACCAACATATCAGGGTACTAAAAACTGTCTATGGAATTCTGTGGATACTTATCCCTAATTTTACAAATCCGTAGTTATCTGTACGCCTTTAACTTTGTGTTAAACACTAAACTTATAGAATAATATTTTTATGCAAAATACCGGATTTATGTACTTTTCTGCGATAATTAGAAGTTACAATTAGCATCAATAGTACCTGTAAAATCAGGTACTAAATTTATATTTCAATGCCTAATTAATGCGGTAATAGCAAGTTTAAGATCATAAGAATTGCAACAGCCACGCTTATGTATTTGTCGCCATTGCGTTGTACCACAAATACACAGAATCATCAAGTCATAATACACATTAACTGATAATTAGTCACAATCACACATTACAGTACAAGATGTGTAAAGTATAAGCTATCTTGTAATCTACGTAAAATAAAGCTATGCCAATAAAACATCGCCTACTTCTCTACGGTGAAATAATACCGTAGCTGCCAGAAAAAAATTCACGTACTTTTGGTCTACATCAAAATTGACCTTCATCTGCAGATTAAGGAAGCAAATATGTCTGCTAAAGATGGTGAAAGATATTGCCGTTGCTAAAATTCAAACAATATAATTCAATGATATTTGTGTATAGTGAAAAATTGTACCTTTTTTGTATCTATACACGTGCTTAAACACAGTATATATGTCCGAATACATGTTTTATAATCGATCTTATTTAATTAATCAATCTCACCATCCGAACTTTCTGCTTTTCGTATATTATCGATCTTCCTCAAAATATTTTTGCGAGCAAATATCATTAATTTTAAACTAGATGACGATAAAGCCGTAGAGGCGCTGCTACTTTCGCATAGCTATCAATTTATTTAAAAAAGTCAAGAATACGTTATATACCTCAGGACTTTCGTAACGGTAAGCGATCAAACTATAAGTAGAGAGCCAAACTCTTCTTCACTATTGCTACAAGCCATAAAAATTTCTTACCTTTCCATACTCTTGGGAATCAGGTATCGCTTCAAGTAAGCGCTTTTTCCCTTGGACATCATTACAATTCTAAAGTAATTCAAGATAGGCATAACTGCGATTAATACTGCTCGTACAAGTATGTATAGATCACAGAGTTTCAATTATTGTTATGAATAGCAGTCAGTAAATATGTTAAATAAATCAATACATAATTTTGGAAACTAGCTTAAAACTTAAACTATGATTTTCGTAATAGTTACGTTACTTGAGGTCTGAAAATAAAATAAATCTCTGGAATATTTATAGTAAAGGGTTGTATATGTTTTATAAGTAATATCGAGTTATTCTATATACGTCGAAAATCTTACAATTTATCCAGCTCTGTAATGGTTATATAAATATGGGATCTCAAAAAGTTAATCATGAAAGCGAAAACGACTCACAAAACTACGCTAGTACAGGTAAATACCTTTCAATTCTGATTTGTCAACACTGCACCTAATCCGCTAGCTACTATAAAGCTTGGAAATTCTATTAACTATCAAATTAAGAAGAATTATGATGCTAGGGTATTAATGCTATAGCATAAGAGTGAATGTTATTACTGACAAATCAAAATAAAAAAATCTGAAATTTATTAAATCAAACTAATACATCATTGTTGTGAATGGTATAAGTATGTGAACTAGATCTTGGCAGAGTTACTTACGACAGATGGTATAATTAAAATATCTATTAACAGTTCAAAAAATATATCAAAATAATAAGGAAAGAAAATAGTAATACAGTTATTGCCGCAGTGAAAACCCATCAAAATTGGACAGTTAAGTACTTTAAAACTTATTGAAAGGTTTCGTTGAAATATAACAAAATCAAAAACTAACACAATATAAAACGAATATTCAAAATAGACAACCATATTCATTTTACAGTACCTGTAAACCAATAACGTATATATCACTTGGTTTATAGCTGGATTCAATCGTGAGATCACTTCGTGGATGTCCTTGATTTGTTAGCCACTTTTCGATATTAACATTATTAAAGTTTACTCCCTCTAATGGAAACAAGAGGTAGTCGCTTTTATTAAGTAAGAGTAACACTGAAATCATATCTAATCAATATACTATTTTTAGGAAATATCTAGGATGGCTAAAAGATTCAGATGGGCGTATAAGGTTTTAAATTAATATCAATTCTATAGATTGAATTATTAATATTACTTCGTTATAAATATAATATATAAGCGCATATAATAATCTTCGAAAGAGCAATTTAATTGATCCACGTAAAAGGAGAGAATAACTTTAACTGACTTGAAGCGAAGGTCCCAATAAATATCGAAAGCTCATTCATTTTCGCAAGTGACCATTTATCGTATAATGTATTCCATACATTTGTAAAGACTTTATAATCCTGTATGGACAAGACAACATGGCCTACTTTAACTAGATGTAACGATTAAAGACTTCCATTATGGTTATGAAATAAAAAACTATTAGCATATACCTGAGTCTGCTTAAAGCAAATAGTCAACGTTATCATCGGGTGAATTTTGATTTGGCTCATGTTCACGTCAGGATTTTCAGTAATTTCTGATACTAAGATTAAAATCACTATCATTACATCAAGTTTAACTATATATTTTTAAATAGACGAAAAGTAACGAGTTTATTTATTATGGTATTTGACAAAAACTTATCACTGACAATATTATCGTTAGATCTATTGATAATACAACATATTACCCTGGTCTAAAGAATAAACTTCTGTATTACGATATTGCGGCTGTTGATTTTCGTATAGGATTGCAACTAGAAAATATAATTAATATGCCAATAATATATCATAACATAGAAATTTAAGATTTTAATATTTTAAGATTAAGAGTAGAAATCCAAGAAAATTTAATGTAACTGTGGTTAATTTCCAAAGTAATTTTATAAGCTACTGTCGTTTGTTACCAGAAATTTGTATATAACTGATCTCTTTGGTATTTTACGAAAATGCAGAAAATGTTTACAACCGCGTATATAACATTAAATGGGCGTTAGCTAGTTTAGATATAAAAGTTCGAGGACTTACGCTGCTCAAAATCAAGTATTATCTTTCCCGGATTAAATGTAGCATCATCATTATTAATATTCTTTTTAATACTAACCTATATTTAGATAGGTGTAAATTAAGATCTAGTTTAGAATCTACTTTCATTGTAAGAAAGAATGAAAATCAACACCATTCTATTTTACCAGAGAATTACAATGTTAGCTTCATCGTAAAGTACCCGCATGCTAAGCATCGCTAATGTTACAGTCTATTTATAGCATTATATTTTTCTTATTTGACAAGACTTCTAGAAATTACTAACTAAGATATCTTATTATTCATTGGTAAATAGAAATTATAAATGCCTACGTGAAAATTCCTTTTAGTAGGCGAAACTGATTGTTCAGGAGCCGAAAATATAGAAAGAATTTCGCTCATATATTTTTTTACTTCAATGATTTTCTTCTCTAGACTAACTAGGGAAGCGGAAAGATCTTCACTCTTTCGCTTGTTATCTATATCCTCATATATATTATTGATCGTCTAAAATAACAATAAAAATTGAATATTTTATAAATCATCGTAACTCCAAAAATATTCGTCGTACGCATACGCCGATGTATTTTCTTAATTTCGCTTATGATACGAAATGTGGAAATCGTCCTAAAATTATGAAACTATCTACATTGTAAATAATTTCATGTTATCATTAGTGCAATTATTGCAGTGATATTATATCTTTTACCTCATTAATTCCTGTATTAGCTTGCTCCTAGAAGTAATAGAAATACGTAATAATAATTTTGTACATATCAGTATGTAAAGGCGATGTTAAGATTGCTATTCTATTAGGCTATAGAAGAAAATGCTAGTAATCTCACATCATACTCGAAAATAAATGTAATAGCAAATGATAGAGATCTCTAATAAATACTAATAGAAAGGATAAATTAAGTCCAAGGGAAAATTTCGCGCTAAATCTAAGAAAAAATTATAGATAAAGTTTATGGTACCCTATTCTCAGGATAATCTGACGCAAGCCGTTGATGAACCCGACAAACCTTCAGGAAAGCTTCCACTTCCAATGTAAATTTTGCAGTTGCTCTACAGAAAGATAAAATCAGCATATTAATATAAGCGTTAGCATTGAGGGCAGCTCTTACATGCTGTATGATATATCTAAAAATTACTAGCAGAAATAGATAGATTACCATTTATTATGTGCTAGTAATTTCTTCTTAACTATTTTGGAAATGAGAATTCTCTATTATACCGTAAGTCGATATTCTATTTGATTTGATTTTGTTCCGCTATTATTGACATTTAATACTATAATCTAGCGATCATAGTTACCAGGATGCTCGTATAATATATCTTTAGTTAAGGCTTATACAGTAGATAATCTAAACTCTAAGATAGATTTTTTTGTAAATTGCTAACATTAGATGATAATTTAATATCGCGTAAACTATCCCTATTTGTAGATATTCCGTTTATAGTATTATCAATATGATTAGTTGGCTGACAACTCTCAGTCTATCATTTTACTTTTCGATCTAAAATTAGATTTAAAAGTCCTTGCTTGATATGATTTCAATAAACTTTGAAGATAAATCTCCACATGCAACTAGTCAATGCAAAATAACAGTTAAAATTTTTAGAATCTTACGCATAGCAGTTAGTTTTCTTCAACAACTTCTCAATTATACAGTTAGCATTGTCTTTCCAATTGCTTCTTTCAAAGTGGAGATCTCGTACATATTGCCTTGCTAACTCTATATCTGGACATGTGTTTGAAATTGTACCCGAAGGCTTAGATTGGCTATTTTGGGTGTTTAATGTCATGTTATCTGGCTTATAATTTTTATGTACATCTTCACATACTGGACTCATTTTTAAATACCCGAAATGACCAAAATTACTCTCATTGCTAGTAGGTCTATTTTGTCTTAATATAAAATCATGATCATTTGAAAAGTGATGGATAGATGATGTTGAAGAAGATGTATCTGCCGTTGATTTGGTTACTTCCTCATTCGAAAAGGGGCTGGTAACTGGTTTTGTAGAGGTATAACTCATATTTTCAATTGAAGGTGATTTGCTCAGAAATGGCCGTCTATTAGAAGTTTGATTGGTAGATTCCTGACTGTTAGGAGTTAATGGAGGCCCATTACATCCTATTGGGCTGTTAATTGGTAACTGAAAGGCTTGACTTGTAGCATTGATTAGAATTGGTAGATCACTATTATTGATCTTATTAGCCTCTGGCTGAAAGTCGCTACTAAATGAAGAAGAATTTTCGTGTATTGGTGAGTAAAGACCAGCCCTATACGCAGAGTTAAAATTATTCGCTGAGTTGAAATCGCTAACAGGATACAGCGTTTTAAATGGTAGTTTATTGCTCTTGGTATAATGATTTGCAATCTCAGACAATGTTTGAAATTTCCTTTGAGTTGTTAAATCTTTGTCTTCGGTCTATTTAGAATAAATCGCAAAACTCAGTACAATAACATTGTAGTAATACAATCATTGAACTGAAAATATCAGATTATTTTTAATGTATATCGTACAAGACTTTAAAATATATTTTTATTCTGCGTATAAGCAGTATCACGTTATTTAGACATCCGTACCATTAAAAAATATATCGTACTGTACTTTATTTATGTATAGTTAGCAATTTAGGAGTATTTTAATTACTAAAAATCCCTATATCATGAAAGAGGTTCTAAACTTTGATATCATCATAACTTTCAGTATTTAAAGCTAATACAATGCTGTCAATATTTTGTAGATACATCGTTCATCATTTTTGCAGTTAATTAATTAACTAATATATATATCGTTTACCCTAAGCAACTACATCACAAAACGACAATTTACATTTTAGTACTTATCTGGCAAGGTATACGTACGAGTTATATAATCAGCAAGACTATGGCCAGTAAAAGATACTTACAAGCTCCGGAACTATATAATGATCATTATTTCGTATGATTCGGTAATCGTAAATGGTCCCTTCCCAACTATAATATTAATTGCAAGACAAATTAAGGCATAAAGTGAGTAGAAAAGAAAGAATTTAATTTATACACAATCAAAACTCGAATATCAGTTACAATTAGAAATTGCATATTAATTTAGGAAATGCAAGAAATTAGGTGGCTAATATCGTATTATTAACTTAAGGAGTGATGACAATGTTAAAGATCTTGTACAAGAGGGCATTACAAGTCGATTCCTTATAGGACTTTGACATGTGAGAACTGGAGTAAAGTACAATAGTAAGAGAAATGATTCCATCCTATTCAACTTACTAAACATTTATTACAATAAAGTTCATAGACGTTACACTATATCTGAATAAAAATGCTCCGTCTCTGCCATCATTTTCCAATCGAGTACGGGCGTCTACTGCAGTAATATCACGAAAGAAAGCAGGATAACGTAAAAGGTCTTCATCGCACATTTTGCTAACAAAACTAAGAAATTTAATTCCGATTTCTAGCTGTAATTCGCGATAGCCGCAGCGAGTTTCTTTATTAATGAAGTGCTGGTGTCTAGTAAGCTATTAATTCCGATTTCAAATGCTTATGTTTAATCCTATGCAAAAAATAAAAATTAGATTAAAATTTTGTATTTCAGTGCCGTAGTTTAACACATTTGAAAAATACATTGTATCTGATGAATTTGTTATGCTCACTACTATTAACTTTAAATTTTGCTCAGTCTTCATCTTATTTGTACTGTAATTTCGAAATTGCGTATTGGATTTAAGGGGAATTGTATCTTAACTTTATTTTTGGATTGCGCATCAAAATTTGCTATTAAAGGAACCAAATACTAGAAAATTTCAACAGTCTTTGCTCAATCCATAAGCGTTGTTTACTACTATTGTACTGCATAAGTAAATGGGTATCAATACAAAATAAGGTGTAGATAATCAGATTTTATGTAATTTCAAGTCATTCATATTTTGATATATTTTCTTCATTAAATTTATCAAGAAACATACTGAAATACAATATAATATAAATGACAAAATTTTGCTACATGCCAGTTTTGAGGTAAATATTTGTAAAAGTTAGCATTTAAATCAGATAGTTATGTGTTCTAGACGCAAGATAGCTTTTAAGCAATACCGTAGTTAAGTCTATAAATGTGTATGAGAGTAGTAGATGAAATAGTTTTTCACTTAAGCAATTCGATACATGATTTTAGTATCAGAGTTCTAGAGATAGTTGGGTTTTACAGGTCCTACAGCTAGTAATTTTTGGCTGACTCCCTACTCTAGTATCACCAGTCTTAGTTTTCTATAGCATTATATAGCCTAGCTATAGTATCCCCTTCCCCTAGTCTTAACTTATGCGGAAGTTGATTACCATTTCAATTATTTTCTATTTTCTATGTTTATCACTTAGGATTTCAACTTTCACAGTATTGAACTACGAGTACATGACTGTATATTTCAAGAACAGTAGATCTTGTCAAGTTACTTCAATGTTGATATTCTCCGTTATTGCTGAGTCATTGAAACATTTCCTATATCTATATGATTCATAATATAAGGAATGTATTAATGTTAATGAACTCCTGCTACACTTAAGTAATAGCGTGTACATTTCTCATCGTTTTGTAAACTAAAAAAAGTATGTTAGATTTCATGATTTTACATTAGTGTTCTCGCCACTAATATTATCGAAAGGGAGTGTTTTACTTACAGTCTTATCGGAGCAAAACACCATTAATACAGATATTAGTTGTATGAATACCCAGCTAAATGTTAAAGTGTATAGAAAATTTGCACGCATTCAACATTGTTCCATGATTCTGATTAAATTGGTTAAAAACTACTATTAATCAGTAGTAATATAAGATATGATGAATACGATGCCACGCTTAATATCATGAGCTTGAACAATTTAGTCAGTTAAGAAATACTATTAAATCGAAATTATTAGCTCTATCTAATTTAAAGGATGTGATATCGATAATCACTTGTCTAGGTGAGGACTACTCTCCATAATAATAGAGGCGTCTAACGTAATAAAGCCAAACAGTTTTAATTTTGGTTTTATTACGGAACATTTGAGTTTAAATGTGCCTACAGTTCGAGGAAGATTACTTTACAACTACAATAATGTCTTATCTTGATAGTGGCTTATGTAGCATACGATTTACGATAAGCATAAACAGTAAATAGATGATAGAAATTTAGCCTCAAAGTACGGACAACTTTCTGTACTATATTTGAAAAATGGAGATAAAGTAATTCCTTCGCAACATGTTTCAACTTCAACGAAGAAACTTATTTGATCATTTTAGAACGTATATGAGTTATAATATATGTAATATTATTTTGGGAACGATATAATCTTAATATGAACAGCAATATCTTGATGTCGAAGTATTGAACCACGGTAGTATTGAGAAGGATGCCACCACTCTCATCCCTCTACTTTCTAGAAGAGCTAATTCTGTATTTAGTAGTCATACTCACTCATACAGATGTAACCCTTTTGATCTCTTTCAAGCGGATAGAAATTGGGAATTGCAACCCGTACGAAATTTGTTACCCAGAAATGATTATGATCATCTACGGCAGTATAGGATTTGATGGATAGCAAACGTACAAGTATACGCATTCGGTAGAAAAAACATGGCTAACTATCACTTTTGTATCATCCTTAGCAAATTGTAGTAAAAACTCTCAAAAATTGCTTTCATAAACGAAATATTTCAACTTAATATCAAATGAATTGAGAAGCCGGAAATGATTTAAATTACCACCACCTGATGATCATACAGTAACATTATGTCACAAAATACTGTAATATACCATCGCCAAGAAGGAAGTAATCAATCTTACTTTTACTATTGTAGTTTAATTTTACACTATAGGTGCTTAATGAATTTGATATAGATAAAGTGTTCATAGTAAAGAGAGTCGATAGACACATATTATTTTATCACACTAGTATATTAGTAGATATCGCCTCTTTTGAATTAAGATATCATATGGTTACATTCAGTAAAATTGCTTGAAGTTTTTCACAATTTTAGTTTGGACTAATAGGAGCTATCGTAATATAACGGCTTGGAGTTAACGAGAAACTGAATCGGTTTGTAGTATTTTAAAATTGGCGTAAAATTATAGTATGGTAGGCTTCGATGTTATATTAACATTGAAGAAAATTACCCATACATTTGCTATGAGAGTACAGTATTGTATGTACTTTCCTATCAGTTTATTATTAGTCAAAGCTTAATCATTGCCGAAAAAAGCAAGATCAAGTTGAATAGAATTGTCATTAAGATAGCTATTATCTCGGAAATTAAAGTCTGAAGCTATCCATAATACAGTACCATAATTGACTACTTCAATCTAATCGTAGCTGCTCATTTTAAAAAGCACAGACATAGATTGTACTAGCTCTTACCGTTTGTGCCTAAGTCATTTTTGGGAAAGAACCCAAGAATATCAGACCAAGCCTTCCTACAAGATGATCAATTGAACGTGATGATTCTCCTTATATCGGGCAGTATTCAGGCTAGTTTTCTTAACGATAGTAAGAATAGCTATTCTTTCGATCTTTTATTTCCGTAAGTTTATACTTTCGATGGGGATAAAAGATTTAATATAGTTACCAGTAAAACGTCAATTACTTGCGTAACAGTGATTGTACTGTATATATTTGAATAGAGTAGTACTTCTATTATATAGACAATGCGATCGTAGCCAATACTATATATAAATCGATCAAAGGAGGTCAAGGAAGAATGTTAATATTTGTACTGAAGATGTAGTTCCTATTTGGCGCTTATTGTGGTGCAGTTTTATGCAAGTTTGCAATACACAATTAGAGGCGTGGTATAAGTTAGAGCCTTGGACTTCATAATTTGGTTAGATAGATGTAAAGGAACTACATTTAGCTATATGAAAGTGCATATAACCGGTAGTATTAAAATATGGCACCCTCCCTATCAAGAAGAATTTAAGCTGACTTGTTAACTAGCTATTTAGCATAATAAAGCCCATTATTATTTACCTATTCTAATTGAATCAGAGCCCTTTCTTCTATAATTCACTCATTGTATTCTCAAATATTGTTTATATGGAAAATGGAATAGAATCACAACGAAGTAAATATTTTAGTTCGTATTATTTCCTTGTATTTTTTCAATATGATTGAATGTGATGAAGATAGAATTTCTTCGATGACAGTAATATGGAACATTGATTACATTACGTTATAATAGCAATTGAGTAGTTGAACTACGGAAAAAGATTATTAATAATACTACGATAGGACGTTAGGAGCAGTTTATCCGCATGCAAATATTAAGTGCATCGAATACTCCAATTTTTCTTACTGTTATCGTTAGTTATTTCGTATATTAGCATAGTAAATTAAGGGCAGCTATTCTACATTTTCATAATTTCTTTTAGTTATAGTAATTAAAACTACTTATTTCTCCTAGTCAAACGATTTTTTGCTAAATATGGGTTCGTCGTTGGTGCAATTGTTACTTTGAAACTGCATCTACTAACGTCTTTTAAAAATGAACTTGATCTTGTTGGAGCTATTGTTTTACGTTTTCATAATATATTTTAGGGGTAGTAATTAAAACTACTTATTTCTCCTAGCCAAACTATTTATTTCTAAATATATATTTGTTGTTGGCGCAATTATGACTATTAAATTACATCTAATGCCGTCTTTTAAAAATGAACTTGATCTTATTAAAGCTGCTATACTATATTTTCATAATATCTTTAGGGGTTATCATTAAAACTGCTTACTTGGTAATTTAAGAGAAGGGATTGCTTACCCTTAAGTGTTTTTAAGTAAGAGTATCATGTCTAAATTCTGAAATTCGCATAATTAAAAAATTACTATACGTAGCGTATACAACTGCAACATATATAAGCAGTAGTATAATCAATATCATAAGGGTTCTATTACATATATCTTGATAAAAGAAACCGCCATCGATACAATCTATTCTAACTGTATACTACTATTTCAACCATATATTACCACAGTCTTATCGAATTTATTTATAATTATAGCATACCGATATTATTATTAAACAGTATCACATAACATCACAAATTAAAGCTTTGAATCATGTTACGATACTGTCACAGTACTATACTATCTTACTGCCTTACTATAAGTACGGTACTGGTAGAAATTATGATGTTAGCTTTTATAAAATTATGACTTCATCTACAAACCTAAGTCGCTAACTATGGCATCAGTATCAATTTTTCTGATCCTGAAGTATTCGTACCGTATTAATACAAGGCCTCAGTAAAACTTAGCTTCAAGTATCCTTAATAAACACAAGTATCTATAAACTCCAACAGACATGAATCAGCAGTTATGGGCAATAACTATAAGAGTATATAATAGTTATACCGTGTATCGAAGTTTAAGCTTCAGTTTATAACATTTACATATTATAAAATATGAATTATTTACCTCAGTCATGAACTAAAATGATTATAGTTTTCTACTTTCTAAACTGAGATTCTTTTACTGTATTACTGCCGTAAAATGGAGCATGAAAGGTATCAAATGCAGGATCTTTAGGGACTTTTTGCTTCCTGTCTAGAATTTGTATTCTTTACGAAGTGAAAACTAAAACTAAAGTAAAGCAAAGAAGTATATTACCACATTAAAATCTAACCTAGGCAATTGAATTAAATTTGACATTTTTAAAGCTATAATGCGTGTTGACGATGCAGACATACTCTATTTTTCCGATAAATTTTCCATAATATGATAGATCAACCGCTGGTGTCCTTTTATTATTTTGGTTGATGATTAAATTGAGAGGTATGCAACCAGCACCTAGAGCAATTGAATTAGAATTTTATAAATTCATATTGCTTTACAAACCTTACTATTGTAACATTGTAAATTCTTTTACCTTTATAATGTTTGGTGTCGCTCGTTTTCAATATAGCTAGAAGAGTTTGACCGTTTAGGTATTTTAGATCTGAATCTTTGAAGTACTCTTCCTATGATTAATACGCACGAGTAAGTTTGAAAATGTTAAAATCGCTTAGATTTAACTTTCTTATAGACTGTATACTGTCCATTCTGAAGCATTAATATTTTAATTTATTGCCAATAAGAGAGTAAAAGACCTGAGAGAATTCACGAATTGTCCACTCTGGGCACTGATGACGATCTTCAAATTTTTGTCCAAATCTTGCAAACTGCTGTTCACGAACATTGAGATTATCAGACCAATAGCTTTTGTTTGGGCCGCTGATAATTGGTGCTAACAAAGAAATAAAGTAACTTATATTTCTAATTAAACTGTACGATCAATAAGATACTTTTTTTAGTGTTCGTAGCCGATAAAGTTGAAATTAGATTGTATCTGCACTTATGAAAGTATAGACGACTCATTAAAATACATGATTTTCATTCTGGTACGTGATAGCTAGAACTATATTGGAATTATAATTTTTTGAGTGAATTTCATTTTTATCAAAAAGTTGCATGTACAAATATGTTAATAAATAGAATCAGGTCAAAACTTTGCCCAGTAAGTGTGTTTAATGAGTAAACGTCATAACAGCATTTGATGGCGATAACAAGAAGATGTTAGATCTGTATCAGATATCATAAATATTATGAAAATGGAGATGCGACTAAAAATGGAATTAAGAGCTTACAATTTAAGCAATTGGAATGAAATTCCAAAATCAAGCTTTCCGTAATTTCTTGATGCGATTTTAGCTAAAACATGAATCGAATATGAGGATCAGTTGAGTATCATTTAATGTTATAACTACAGTATTTACTTATATGATTTTAACGTTATGAAGCACTAACTGCCTACATATATGTAAAACGATTTAGAGCTCGTTTTTAAATTTATGACTAAGAAAATAAAATAATAATTGCCATGGTTTCAGTATAGCTATTTTATTTGTATAATCTATTTATTCCTAAATGGCTATATTTGCTACGCTGAATTTATTTTGGTATATGAATGATAAGTACCGTCCGTATTCATACTAAAACACCATCAACTTATTCAATGGTATTATCATAGATCTAAAATAAAATTTACAATCGAGGCCAGTATTCATTCGAAAGGTGTACAGCATTAACCATAAATATAGAAGATGCTTGTAGTTAAGGTCAGTTCACTAATGCTAAGATCAACATAAACTTACTAAAACATGGACACTTATAACTTTTATATAGGCTAAGTGATCTTTTGGTTTCCAATCTTTAGGGCGTTGTGCTAGAGTAGGTTAAAAAGACATTAATATTACAGCAACATGTAACATAAAATATAAAGAGACAGTGTATAAGCATATAGGCACTTTACTATCAAGACAGTTAATAGTCCGTAGGGTACCGAAAAAAGTAAATTAATTGCTGATTTCTTTGTTTCAGTACTTATAAATGAAGACTGCATTACTTTACAGCTACATGACTAGATTTATATTATGAACCTACATTTTCTAATTGAAAGCCATACTTCAATATTGTTATGATAGATGTCTGCTTCAAATAAGCCATAAACCGGCAGATGATCGCTTGATTTAACATCCATCGCTGAGCCTGATCAAAATCAAAGAGTAGTACTACTTAAAATGCGAAATTAAATAGGCGAAAGATTCACAAGTTACTTGCGATCAATTTAATGATATACTATATTGGACTGATGTGCTACAGCATAATAAAGGCCAATTTTTGGAATTTTTCTTCGTCAATTTTATCTGGCAGAAGCAATTATGAATTACATAAAGTACGGTACTTGATGTACAATTTTAGAGGCAGATTAAGACCGAACCTATCTTGGTAGTAGAGGTGTAAGCTTATGATCCTATAAATGGATTTAATAGCGTTGTGTAGTAACAGTAGTCTCTAATAGATGGTGCAACTGTCCATTTCATTGATTTTCCCGATTGATGTTGCGTGAGAATTTGCGAATAGTATTTAAGCTTAATATGCAAAGTAACAAAAGGATTTCGGTAATTTATCGTATACGAGTAAGAAGTTAGACGGTTTATTATAGTATGCCTATCGCGGGATTCAAGTGAAAAGTTTATAGTATAGACACTACAGAGTACAAATCTTGATATGCAGTTTAAGCTTAAAGGAGACCAAAAAACAGTTCTACATATACTTTTATCTCAAGATTATATACTTATTAACGATAAGAATAAAGTGGTGATTTTATACTTAAGGTTCTTCTAACCGCTTACCATAGCATACAAAAGGTAGCATTAACTATATAATATCGCCTAAATAACACCGATATATTATGCTTATGTGATATTGTAGAAATTGATTAATAGCAATATCGTTACTTGCCATAAGCTAAACACTTTACTTTCTGCTGTGGATAAGACTTCCATAAAATTCGATCGCACCAAGAATGAGCGTTAACGATGAGCTAATATTGTATCGGATCAAAATCCAGTATTATTAAATAAGAAATATGGCTATAATCAAGAATAGCTATCAATGTTAATATGTTGCCTTATCATTGCATATATATTGTATATTTAAGGAAATAAAGACAAGTCAAGAAAGATAATATCCGTCATCAAATATTTCATTCACTCACCTTATTTTTACCTTTATTTTTGTAACACATGTAACGGTTGTTTGAACCAACAACCAAGCGATAGGTAGGTGCGAAATCAATTTGCTTTTCCTCTATCAATCACGAATAAAAGGGAATATTGTATTTAAAAATTGGTGAATGCTAATATAACGGTAAAAAAAAGAAATAGTTTGATTTGGAAGCTTAAAGATACTAAAAAGCGACAACTAATTTTAGGTACAACATCTATCAATAATATTTATACTCTGATACAGAGGATTAATGGGTCTTTGTGCTATGTAAAATAAAAAAAATTTAAATTGAATAAATCAACATACCCCAATCAAAAAAGATTATTCCATCGCTTTTCTGTTGATTAAGTTGGTCCTTATTCAGAAGGCCTGTAAATTGTTTATTGATCACTTTCTCATTGACTTCCTACACGTATAGAGTAATTTTATCATTATTATTACGGTTCAATGTCGATAATTATACGTGTTGTACCGTATTTGATCAATTATCATTATGATTCATATTAATTAAGACATGCAGCTACATCAGTAATGGTAAAAAGATTGCTATCATATCCTGCGACCTTATCTAGAATTTATATTAGCATCAGTATTACAGTAGTAATAATAGCTTTCCGTAAATTCTATTTTTTCTTATAATAATCAGCCAATTGATTAACTAAAATTAATGGTAATGTTGCAAAATGGAATTGTTTTCATTCATTTTATAGCTTTACAACCCTGTATTTTCTTATCTTATTATGCTAGAAATGGATAGTCTACAAGGTTAACCATAATACCTTCAATATGATTTAAACTTACGCTTATATTCGCATCAACACGGTAATTTAAATCTCCAAACCAAAATATATGATGAAATTGATGAGTGACATCTTGTAGCTTCGATTGAAAATTTCCTAGGCGCAAATTTTGGGCAATTCGTTGAACTTCATCATTTCGCCTATCATTGAAGTGTTAGTCATAGTTGATAAATCTGTTAAAGAAGTTCAGTAAGTTGATTTTCGAAGTTTTCAGGCTTTTGCTAGATATTCGTATATCTTACTTTACTAGGTTTTCTGCTCTTGCAGCCAAGTGACTATTAATGAAACAAAAATGGGTTTGATGGAGCTGAAAGGAAATGGCTACTGCACCTTTGTTGCCTAAAGAAAATATAAGAAATTATTGTTTCACAAAGAATAAGGTTTAGGTGAATTATATCGCACAGATCCAAGGTAGTCAAGGCGAAATAATAGCATGTAATAATTTACCAAATCTTGGAACTCCAGGTATATTACCAGTTCTAACAAAGTCATGTTTGATATTAGTGATCACTTTATGGTAATCAAGGCTACAGAATACTGCAATCTTCATTTGAACTAAGCCTAGTGCATCCAGCTATAAAAATAGAAACAGAGATAATTCTTTAATTTACCGCAGTAGGTTATGTTTTTACAGTCTGTTCCGTTACTTCGAATATTTTTTAGCACTATTTTATTCAGTTAAAAAGTCAAATGAATGTATCCTAATAATTAGACACGATATATTTCTGAAATTAGCTGTAATAATGAAAATTCTAATTTATAATATTAGCAAACTGATTTAATATATTTTTAACTATTAAACAAGTCTAGTTTAACAAATAAATACTTTATCTTGCATTACTATAAATACTGTATTATTTACTGAGTTTAATATGCATTATATATTATTTAAGGAATTATGCTGCTTTTGTCATCAACAAAAATTCTATTGTAGTACACTAAATTTTAGCTTGATGCATACGATTAGCTATGATATATTTAGGTAATAAGTATTTTATCTTATACAAGCTACATCGCCGGTTCCGTGAATGAATCATTGATCCCCTTAAATTACGTAGCTTAATTTTATATTGATCAATGCTTAAATTAATATTATTGGCAGGTATATTTTATATCATAAAGTTTGGCTGAGTAAAATAAGGTTATATACGACGCAAGTTAATATTCTTTAAGACTGTGTGTTCTCATGATATCGAATGCGCATGCAATATTTACACTACTAGACATACACACTTGTACGGTATAGTTTTCTCTAGCTGAAAGAGCTTAATATCGTAGCGGCGTCATGTTAAATTTTCGTCATCAATCAACCTCGGGCTTTAAGTTCAGTAATTTTGCAATGCTATTAATAATGTTATACTGTTATTACTGTACCTTTACACTACGCTACTGTAGATGCTTCTTGCTGCCATACTGAATGAAATAATGAACTGTTTTGGCAATTTGAAATAACCAGATACGTGCAGTATATTGCAAAATACTCAACATACTATATTTAAGAAAGGAATTTTCATCAGAAATTACTTTTATAAACTGAACATTAGAATAAAAATTGTGAAAGAGTAAGGATTCCTCTATTTCAGTGTATCGGCATACAGCTTACGAAAGATCCTAAGTAATATACCTACCTTCACGTAAAATTTTGCAGTCATTTGGTTTAATAAATTTTTCACATGATTAGTCCAGGTTGTAAGATTACTCATTCCACTCTCCTGAGTAATACAAATTACAAATTAATTCATAATTTAATCTAATGTTTTAAAATCTTAATGAAATGTTAATGCAAACTTATCCTATATATTACTCTTTATGTATTCGTACCTGAGTACCAATAACGTAAATATCATACCCTTCCTGTAAAGATGAAGATATATTGGTGGATCCTTGGCATGTTAGCCAAGGTCGAATATTTGGAGCTTTAGAGAGATTTCCACCTAACGTTGTTATTTAATACGATTCAAATAAAAGCGAGAATTCCTATTAATAATCGCTTATTTCTATTACTTTTATCTTTATCATATCTAAAGCCTTACTTATCATCATTAATTTAAATTATTATATACGCTACCCATATTCCATGTGCCAACAAATATTTTGACTTTTGCTTTAGGCGTCAAATCACTGCTGAGACTATCTAAAATACCGTAGAATTTGTCCAGATCCTGATATCGTAATAAATCGTATACAAAAGAATGATCAATCAATATGTTAGAGATTTATTATAGCAGACAATCTCCTCTAAATCAGCTAAAATCTATTTCTATCTTGATTTTTACCAAATGGTTAATATTAACAAATACAGCCATTAATGTACGAGAAGAGCTAATATCATATTATCACTACATGTTCAATTCATTAATTTTACATTTTTGTCATGGAATTCGATGATTTTTGGCCAATTTTCATGATGGTTTGCATAATTAATAAGAATACTTTTTGCACTCTCGTCTTTCTTTACAGTTCGAACTAAAATGAAATTAGTAGCAATAGTTCAGAAAAAATGCTACTAATATTGGATTACACTGCAAAAATTGGTAACAATCCTCTAATAAGTATTATGATCTGTAATAGAAGTAAATAATTATGAGATTTTTATTTATACATATTGTCAGAATATCTAGCTTCTAATAATTAAATTTATTAATTATTGGTTGCAAACGTTATAAGTTAAGAGAAGATAGAGACATCAATACTCTGCTAAATTTCTTATATCTTCCTGTAAACTTAAAGGAATCTACTGTATTATCATTTTAATTTATAAAATACAACTGGTTGTCATATATAAAGTCATAGGCTACAGAGATATTATACCTGATCACTCTATCTGAGAATCTTATTTCTAATAATAAACTTAAAGAAATCAATTATGCTTATTGCTGTAACTTATGAAATATATCCGACTATTACTTAGAAATTTATAAATTAGAAAAATGCTTACTAGTGATGTTGATTATGTCTTAACTAACTGACTTAAACGGGAACTTGAAGCTATCCATTATTATAGTCTCCAGGGCATTATTATAAATACTCAAAAGTGCACTGGTTTATTGATATATCTAATAATATATTATTCGAGCTATTAACTTAAGATTTACGAAAATTCCAAGACATTTAGAAATTACTTTCTGCAGTTGAAATATCTTCCATCAAGTTGCTACTTTGATGTTTGTCTTGAAAGCTAATGATTGCTGTTTCTAAGTTAGATAAAATAACCATTGATACATAAATGGTAATATCAGTTTACAACATTACGGAATATAACAATCTAATTTGTTCTACCTTTCCCTAAATTCAACTTTATCAAGACATCATTTCGTATGTTTTTGCTAAGTAGCAAAGTTGCATTAGCCTAAAAAAACTTAGTCCATGAGAACACTAATTTAAAGCTATCGTATATTCAATAAATCAAGTTAAATGAACAGTTTTTGGTTATGATAATGATAAAGCTACTAAACCTCAAAGTTTGGTTGAGGTTCTTGATCCGAGAACAGCGTAGATTCATTGAATGCGAACATATTTTGACCTTCATGAGAAGTATCTGGCTCTGACATGGTTTGTATTGGATTCGTATTACGCTCTAACGTAGAAAATTGAAGCTTGTCGTAGTTTTCATTATCTATGTCTTCATCGTCAGAATTACGATCTGTTCTTTCGGAAATATCAACAAATTCGTAAGATTCTGCATGATTAAATTCGTTGATATTTGTAGCGGCTTTAACTTCCATCATTTTATAAAACTAGAAATGGATAAAATTTATAACATATCAAATATCATCAACTATGCTTTAAATCACAATTTTATTTAGAATTTTTATTTGATTACGGCTAATAATCTTTGAAAGCATTATAAATATAAATCACTGTCTATATCATAAGTGAAAGGTTTATGTATATTAAAATTAATGGAAAGACCAATTTGATATGTGATTCATTCGATCACAACTATAAAATTTTTAAGCTTAAAGTATAAAACTAATATTGCTTAATCGTAGAGAGAGTCTATACATGCAGTAAAAAATAACGATGAAAGCATAAATTATAACAGAAATTATACAGGAAAATATATTTTCTTTTAAGATTTGACGTGACAATTTTAAAAATTATATAAAGCTAATATCAGTACATTCTCGCAGAAGAGCAGACATTTATTAAAGTGGGATAATTTACGCAATATTTATCAGTAATTGTATACAGTCTTCGCTATTTACTACAATGATTTAATATTATATAGCCTGTTTATGGTATATGATGTATCTAATTTTACAATCCTGTTATCTGCATGTGTTCTCACTCTAAAATTATAAATACTGATGATTTCTGCCTCAGATTTGTTTTGTTGCACTTGTTGGTGTTAGTATCTACTCACGTTACTTCACGACAGCTTACACGCTGATCTACTAGAAACTACCACACTGAACCTAGTTATTCTCTACAATAAATATCTCTTTTTCTAATAATCCCCGTATCATTATTGTGAAATGCCTAAGGAGTCCACGTTCGCAGACTCTTTGAACCCTCCATCGCAGTAATCATTGCTACGAATTTTATCTGTCTTAGTGATTTAATTACATAAATTGGTAAAGATTGAATATACAGTATATCAACCATCATACGTACTTTCTTATGGATTTCTGTTATGAGATTTTTGCAGACCTCAAACTGGCATACCATGTCACCTAATGTCATTTGACGGTTTTTCCATTCATCAGTACGGGTAAGAAACTTGCAGGGAATTTCCGATGGCTATAATCATAAGTACGTATACACTTAAAATAAAAGCTCTCATGATATTGATAGATAAAGCCAAAATTTTTATTAAAGCTTGCGATAGAGAAATTTGGACATGGTTAGTTATTTCGATAAAATTATAAACTAGTACTCCGTTATTCATCATAAATATTAATTATTTTATTCTGTTTTGAGTACAGTATGATATTAATTATTTTTAATCATTAATTTAAAAATTCCTTTCATTCTTACTTCTGTTAACCGCATAAGTACTTGCTCTAGATTCTTCAGATAGTTATAATATCCATCCATTTCCCTATCAGATGAGGATATTTTACAAAAATATTGTATCATGAAATCTTAATTCTAATAAAATAGAGGTATAGGCATTCATTATATATGAAATAAGATGGTTGATAAACTTATGTTCATGGGCAAAGATTTAAAAGTCTAATTTAATATTAAATTCAGAATATTTAAAATGCATCGTTTGAACTACCGATAGATATAATATGAAAATTTGTAAACTAATATGCTACAGATATTTTACTTAGTTGAAGTATTGCACATAAATTACTTTTTATATAAGCTCCTTAAAAGGTGATATAGCATATTAATTTCTGAAGATCCTGTGCTTATACTAAACTAGCTAAATTCTTCTGTGGGGCATACTTATCATCTACAGTAAGCATTTCAGGAAGGCATTGTTGCGTACTCTAATTTGTAAATTTTGATAAGTATTCTGATTTACGTAAGGATTATGTATATTTAGCATATAAGCCATTTGAAGTACTCAACAAAATTATACGGGATAGTATATTTATAAAATGAGGATATTTAAATTTTAGGCTATATTAGGTCTCATATAATACACTAAAGCGTGACATCGCAAATACAGATGTGGTTTAGTTCTAGATCATGTCAATATTACGAACTTACTTATTTACTTTACTAGCTAAGGATAGCAAAAGCGTCTCAAGGCGTTCACACGATAATTCTCCATTTTGAATACCTTCGACGTCTTTGTTAATGCCTTGCCTGAGATAGTCCTGCAGTAGTTGTGTCTCCTGGTAACCATATCTAATTGTAGGAAATAAATAAATAATGCTATGTAGTAAATCACTATGTATATTCGATGTCATCTCGAAAAAGCTATAAATTCAGCAATGTAATAGGGGAGACATGATTTACGTATTTATGAACCCTGGATGAATTATCTAATAGGATGTATCAAACTTTATTTTTAAAAGCGTATTATTGATCACAACAGTTTCTAGAAAACTTTAATAAGGGCCTACATCCACAATTATGATTAATTTTCCGATAACTCGATAAGCTTTGAATATATCAGTGGCGAAGTATCGTTATTTATTAAGGTGTATCTAGCAAGTTATAATCCCAAAATTGACTGTATTGTAGGTAAATTCTCTGATTATGAATAGCTATGTTATTGCTACCGAAATAAGCTTTACGTAAGTATAAGTACTAAATTCTTACGATAATCTTCCAAATTGTCTATGAGCTTCCTCAAAAACTTCATTATGATGCCGGTTGGAAGAAATACCTATACAATTTTAATATACCCAATTAAGTTAGAAAGCTGGTAGAAAATAACATGAATAGAACATTGGGTCATGCTATTGCTGCAACCATACGAATAGAAGTATATGTTCCAATACATATAGGCATGGGTATAATTCGGATAACTAATCAAACTATTTCATTACCAATTGTCAACTGACAAAATTTTAGCCCAGTAAACGAAAGTGTGGCGAGAATCGATCAGTTGACATATAATAATTTACTGTTAATCGATAGCATTTAATTTCTAGAGAAGTTAGAAAATACGAACTAGCTGAAAGTTATGATTATAAAGTGATCATGAGTTTAGAAATCTTACAAAATCACAGAAACGTTGGTTATTCTATAAAATTCTCAAATTTGCAAATAAGTGGAACTTATGAAAGTAGACTACTGCAATAAATGAAGATATGATTCACCAAAAGTATTCAAGAAAGAATATTAATAAGTAGTGACGGTTAGAGTTGAGCAATGCCTCAAATGATAAAACCGAGTTGTCCATAGCAATCAACTATTGTACTGGTATATTCAGGATTAGAGACCGGATCAACCGAACCTAATAATGAACTTAGTACAATAATTTAATTTATTTTGAACTATAAATAGCGGACAATGAAGCTGACCAATAATGATAAAATCTTGTAAATAGGCTGATAAATAAATCTTTAGAGAGAATGGTAACTTACTGTTTCTGGGAATCTTATCTATCCCGTAAACACCCTCCTCACGACGGCGAAAATTCAAAATATCGCTAACGTTGTCAAAAACCAGTTGATTGCCATCATCCTATAGGAATCAATATTAATCATAATTTAACCGAAATTATCTACGCAAGGAACTTTATCTCGTATTAATAGCTGCTAAGCTTTGGCTCATGAAGAACTAATGAAGAACAATTGAGAAGACGGTATGTAATTTATTGTTGAATTTCTGTATATCCTAGTATAAGCTTTTATTTTCACCATATTAACTACGATATTGCTTATTAACTACGGTATTACTGTTAGGAGGAAATTATTTCCATACCCATGTTGTTGACTAGACATGAATTTGTCGTAGTTATACTATTACTAAAGAATTTAATCAATTTGTTTCACATTAACAATTTATTTTTCTTCTCTCTGCTAATAGTTGCTACATATTGATCCCGAAGAGGTAGGTTTCCTTATGTAACAGACTTATACCAGAGCTGAATAAAATAGGCTTAAAATTGGAATCTGTAGTTAATAATCTTACCGCAAAGCGATCTCCTCGGATGATGTGAATGTGAGGTTTTCTAAAAGCAAGAGAATTCAGTTTATGGGCATGGCTAGTTTCTTTGGCGTCAAGCTGCTAACAATGTGCAATTATGCTGTAGCAATATACTTCATTTTATTTATTAAATTGTCAAGATATTTAAATTACGTTATACTTCAAGATAATAGATTTTAGTCGGTGAGGTTGATTACCTTTGATTAGCTGGGGTTTGTTCTCCTTTAATATTTTTAAATGGATTTGTTGAAGTCTTAATTGAAGATCCTGGCGTCAATTGTGCATCATTTGATCGAGGCTGATTGTGGGAATTGGTTGGAATAGGCTGAGGTAGTGGACGAGCTTGATGGTGATTTAAATGTGTTTCTGCTACATTAAGAGGGGTTAATGTCTTAAAGACCAATTTAAAGTTGTCTTTATAATAGGCAGTAACTGAGTTGAGGTCCGTAAAATATTTTAAATTTTCTGGGATGCCTCCAGGTTTACTCTTAAAGTAAAATGATGGAATATTGAGATGTTAATATTACATATTATTGCCAAGTACTGACGGTAAAACCAATACAGTAGTTAAGTTGTCTATTCTAACTCAAAGATATGGAATTCTAGGATTTAGATGATCTATTACTTACAACTTCCGGGACAATAATCCTGGTCGGCGTAATAATAATACGATGATGATAAATTTTCCCATCCCAGCTATGAATCACAAAAAGAAGAGAAATAAAGTTGAGTTCTGGTTGCAGCTTTAGGCGTAACTTTTACATAACTGGTTCGTATTATTCAGAATATTAGAGTTAGATAATTTCATCTATGAGATAGATAGATAGATATTTGCTCAGATCATTTAATTAAGCAGTATTCCAATTCAGTAGCTGTACAGTACTCGTATGTAAGAGCTAAAATTCGAAAGGTTATACGTATACTCGTGTTTTATTTCAGTATTAGCTTGTAACTGGACTTTACTATCTGCTAAATTTATTGGTTTAACTTCTATATTTACATGGATTGAATAAATTAGGATAGAAGAAGTTGAGTTGATCGACTTACTAAGCAGTAATGGTTAAATCGCCTTTAGCACTTCCGCTAGGCCTAATTACAAATGCTCCCTGCATTTCAGTTGCTTGAACCAGTTCAACAGCTTTTTCGGCAGTAAGCGATGGATCATAAGCTTGACATGACAACAACTTGGAATTAATGTTGGAAGCCATTGCTAGCTTGATAGCGTCTTGGATTTCACCAAATGAATCAATTCAATGCTACTAAATGATGAAGAAGTTATTAAAGTATCCATTTAATTTGATTTTAATTTCAGTATTATATTAAAAGATCAGTTGATAGTGTCAAAAGTTGTTCCATCTAGATGTCAATATATCATCTCGATCATTTTGCCCGATTCCGACTAAAACAGATATTTAAAACAGACAACTTGAGTAGTAGGATGTATGGAATTTCTGTTTATGATAGGATTACACAAACAACAGGTTGTATTAAAATAATGAAAGTCTCAATTGCTAGTCAATATATTAATAAATCAGCAAAAGATAGACAATTTTCTGGAGGAAAAGTGTATAACCTCGAACTTCCTTAGTGGACCACTAAAGAATGTATTGAAATACGATAAAATTTTTTAATAACTTTCTTCTCTATGATGCAAAAATAATCAATTTTATCACTTTCTTCTTTTACAATCAATGTGAATGTTGATCAGGCTAGTAGCTTAAAATACGAACAATATCAGTGGACATAATAGCTGTAAAATACTAACAAAATTGATGGCATTCACTCTTAAATTGAACTGCCAGTGTCATAAGCAATAAAGTGCATAATTTCGAGGTGATGCCAAGGTTTACAGTAAAGTATCTCAAAGATAATCTATCAAGATTTCCAATTCTTGATCAATTTCTTATTACTACATAGATCAGTTCTTCACCTAGAACTGTCTATATTTACATGACTACATTTACCTTTACTTCTATGGCTTGTACAAGTAAAGTTTTGTACAGTAGACTCAACTACTTCAGCATACGGGTAGATATTTCGTATACTTCACTGAAGCTGCTCTATTGCACGTTCTTAGAGTCTAATCTACAAACATAATTGTTTTAGAGGAGGCTGTACTATAAAGTAATTTAGTACTTACGACAAATAAAGACCAAAATTACAATTTTATTTTTAGCTTATTCGTCAGTCGAATCCAACGAGTCTTGTAAACCGAATTAATAATGAGCCATGTCTAATGGAAAGTAAAGAAATGGTTAAGGATTCGTCATCAACTTTAAATTTCTGAATCGAAAGTTCTCTTAGTAGTTATTGCCGTGGATAATCCTCAGCAAAGAAGAGTAGATTAGTATACAAGCTTGGAAAGGATGCCTCAACTCTTTCTATTTGTTGTTCGTGTATATGCCAAAAATAAATAAGAGACATTCTACTCTACTTCCGTGAACAATAACTTATCGTTCAGTATAAAAGAAATCATTAGCATCCAATAATATTTAGACAATGCCTTCCCATATTGAAATGTAAATTTTTTCGCTAGTCTCTCGGTCCAAAAGGGAACAATAACTTGTTTAATACATTGAATAACGTTTATGGGAATGAAGGACGGCCAACGTATACTCGTACATCGGCATTAATTTGATTTTGTAAACCAAAATCATGATAATTGACATTAGGGAGTACTTCCCAGGGAAAAATCAAGCTTATAGCATGGGGTTTCTGACTGCTATAAAGCATGACATCAATTTTTATGAAGAAAATAGATGGATTTAAGGTATACAGGTTGTCATTATGAGTTACATCACTATAGACAATGAATATTAAATATAATAAAATGGAATCCCTAGGTGTCCATCAGTAACAAAGATATTTTCCAACAGCCTACTTAGAACAATTCTTTGACCATAATCGTGCAACATCCAATTAATAGCATATATTATTGACGGGTGGAAAACTATAATGAAAAATTAAAATAGTTTCAAGATAGTAATTCATAAAGTTTCAGGGGAAGATGAATCCACATCATTATAATATATTGAACCATTGAGCGATGTTGCGGCAAGTATTATAGAAAAATGAATTAATTGATAATTATGCTAGTGATAGATCACTAGCAATCAGGATCATGATCAATATCAGATCAAGTTTCTTTCCCGAAATCGAAACACGATTTAATTACTATTCTTGGTAAATTTCTTTATTATAAGAGCAAAGCACATTTAATCAAATGCTATTTGATGGCTATAATATAGTAGCAAATACTCTAACTTACAAATTGTAACAGAAATACCTAATCTTTTTCGGTTACAAACTATAGTCAATATATTAGAAATTACTAGACTTATTTATGCTAATGGAGAGAATACTTTACATTAGATAGTAATCTTAATATAAGAATATCCATGTCTATTTACTCATCGACAAATAGCCATAGCAATTTTACGCTATCAAAGTCAATGACGGCGTAATAATATTTAAAATCGCTGCATAGGCTTTAACCGTTAGAGATCTGCATCTATACTGAAGGTAGCATGCATATGGTTTGCCTTTAGAAATACTACGTTCAGTTCTGTGTAGGTGACAAAGTAGGACTCTTATTGAACTCCTTGTATTATCTTTTTCATAAGATAAAGTTTTATTACAAAATACGAGCGAATACTTCTATATGGGAAGACCGAGTTATAAATATCATTCTTAATCAAAAATTAGTATCCGCTAATAGGTCTCTATGATCACCAGCATTTTGAATGTAAAAATAAGATTTATAGGTACTTCTGAGAGTAAAATTACTTTGTATCCATGAACAATTACTACGCTAATTTTCTAATACAAAAAATATAGCACTTGCAAATAGCATTTATATCGAAAAGCATAAAATATAATTGATCGATTGCAATTTTTGCTCATTTGCACTACCAGAGTAAGATTCAAAACTATTGACCACCATTACCAGCTTAATATGATACATAAAATAAAAACCATTCTGTCTTTTACCAGTTTTTAAAAATAATCTGCAAAATTGTTAACTACAAAATCAATATACTTATTTATAAACTTTAACTGAATGCACAATTAACAATTAATTCTCCTCGCCGCGGCAGTATGCACATATATATGCTTATATTCTCCGTAATATTATCTTTAATACATACATATAAAAAATTCATCTACATTTAATTTTGGCAGAAAATTTTAAAATATTAATGTTTAGGGCAGTAGACCGCTAATTTATATTTATCAATGTAAAATAAAATAGTTTTATTTCAACGGTGGTCTGTATACCATAACCTTATGGATGTAACAGCGAGAAGTATTAACGTTATAACAGCAACTTGCATGGAGTTAAAATTCTATCGCCCTTGGATATTAGATCATGTAGCATTATCGAGTGATATAACCACTAATTCTGTAATAAATGAAGATAAAGTTAAGGCGCGTACACCAATTCAAAGTAAGAATTGCATTAAATACGATAGTAACTATAGTTAAAACTAGTGCCCAATAATAAACTTACTCGAGCTTGCCAATCTCTTCCCCATAGAGTGTCAAACTTGCTACATAGCTTTTGCTTTCATGTGTCATGAAAGTTGTTAATGGAACGTGACAAGCGCCTATACAGAAAATAAATCATCTAATTTAGGGAATATGTAGATTATCATTAAGAATTTTTATGAGGTACATCTGTATGCAACCATATGGTGCTAGTACAAAATGTGCTATAAAGAGGTATACTTGTAGAGCACTAGGGAAATAACAAATAACCAAGACTTTATAATATCGCAAAGCACATTATATAATAAAAGTATAAATACTAAAGTTAATTTGTATGCGTATATAAGATTATCGCTACGTACCCAAATATTCTCCATTATCACTTGTTTTTAAAGATACTAAAAGCGATTGGCGTTCAAGATATTCATCAAAAGGGTATTTTGCTTTCATCTAGATAGTAAAGGATAGCAACTAAATATTTCAACTACAAGAAATGATGTTAGATAAACATTATAATAAAACCATTATCATCAATACCCTGTTAGGAAGATCAGAAGATTCCCACAGCGGACAAAGATGGATTTGATTTGATGGGATTGATGAATGGGGTATTTGTGAAGTAATTGAATTTATTTGCCATCCTGAGGTATTAGGTGCGCTTTCTACGGGATCTGCATGCGAATAAAAGCGTTTCCGAATCGCAAGATTTACAATTAACAAAGTCCTTAACGAGAATTAGATGAAATAAAATCGTAGATATTGCATTATTTAACATATTTCAGAAATGTGGTTTTTATAATCGATCAGATTATATTTACCTTCTAAACAGGACGAAACAAATTCTAAAGTGAAATGAGCAACATAGCGTTTAACTGAACGGATCTGTAAGTAAATAATATCTTATTTTAATATCATATACCGTACAATTGCACAGGATCTTACTAAAATGAATTAAAGTGAAAATATTTACTTAAAGATGAGACGTTAGTAAAAACAAATAATTAAGCTTTCAAAGTTATTAAAAGTAATAATTCGGTTGAATTGCTAATCAATCAAGATTTGACTTTAATTTTTGAAGTCAGATAAGCACGATAGTTAAAGTTTAATAGATTGATGATACTGAATATTGATGGGACGATAATCTCAGCAATGTAAGGCATTGAGGATCAGAACAATAGACGACGTACCGCAGCATGAGCATTCAATATTGCAATATACGCGGGCATCTTATGCGGATTATAATTGAGCTTTTTCACTTAAACGTGCGAGTTTTATAGTCAAAATTAGTAGTTAAAACAATTTTAAAAAAGTATATATATACACATAGAAATTTTTTTGTGATAATTTGTAACCTAGCAAACGTTCCAAATTTTTATCCAGTATTTACTAAAAATGCACATATTATTAATAACAATTACACACACAGTATGATAATAAGTTTCCGTAAACTTACTAATATCGACCAAACGGTTACTATTAACATCAGTTTGGTACAATCCAAAAACAGGCAAATGATCGCTTGTCAGTATATCATGAACGGATCCTACACAAATTTAAATTACGGATAATTATAGATGCTACGATATCTGATTGATGCTGTTGCACAAGTAAGCGTATTTCGTCTTCTAGCTAAAGTAGAAATATTTATAATTCACTCAATCACTTAATTTTCTCATACAGAAAATGTACGATGATAAGAATAGGCAAAATTAGCTTTATTGACTCCACTCAGTACCTTTATAGGTAGGTAGGAAAATCAAACAAGCTTGCATATCAGCATTTGTGAGAACAAAAGTAACAGTGACTTGATGCATCGTTTTATAACTATGACTAAATTATTCAAAATTCTTTGCTATAACAAAATCTAAGTGCTTTACTGCACGTATATTGTGGTAGCAGTCTTCGGTAAGGTATTACAATTTGCCTGCATATGTAGTTCATGTATACGTACTAATTTTTACTATGGACTAAGAAAGAAACTGCATCTAGTTTTGAGACAACTTTATAATGTCACGAAAGTACTAATAGCAAATCATACCGTATGATATACATTCCATAGCAAGACTTGGATACGACTTCCATAAGATACGATCACACCAAGAAGGTGTATTAATTGCGTTCTAAAAATTATATCTAAGATTAGATGTAGACTATTTATAAACTGAAAAGAAAAGTAAAACATAACATTAAGTTAATCATGCTTACTCTGCCTCCTGGTCTCCTCTTGAAACAATCATATGCATCATCTTTACCAACCACTAAGCGATAAGTTGGGGGAAAATTCAGTTCTCTTTCACCTGCATAATCAGTTATTTAGTTAATAATAAATAATCGCATAATCATATCCGATATCAAAACAGGTAACATTAGGTGATCGTTAATATTGTAACGTCAGTTCAGGTACCAATTTTAATAGACGAAATCATTTATTGTATGTTTTATCCCACGACAACTTATCATCAAATTGAAATGTCTAATTTTGTGATTAATCTAAAGCTATAGTCAGCTCGTGACATACGCCAATCAGTAAATACACTGCCATTCAACTTCTCTTGATGCAATTGGTCTACTTGAAATAATTTGGCAAAATTTCTACAGGAAATACCATTATTGGCTTCCTGAAATGATAAAAAGTTAAAAGCGCTACCTTAAGTTAACCTGTCGTAAGATATGCTAAAATTTTAAAGACAGTTTATCTAGTAGTGAATCAGTTTACAAATGAAAAAGGGTGCTGAATTAAATATAACTTTTCATGTTAATGAATTGCACAATATCAATCAACCAATTGATTGATCACAGATGCAGGGAACAAAAATTTAAAGGCTTGAGATATTTCCACTAGAGCTGAAACAAATATAACTGTATTCTTAAAGGCTACTAAGGAAGGAAATTACCGGAACAGCCATCTCTAATCTATAATTCAAATCGCCAAACCAAAAGATATGATGAAACTGATGTGTAACGTCCGTTATATTTGGATTTAGGTCTCCCAAGCATAAATTACGGGCAATGGCTTGAACGTTATCTTGTCGCCTATAGAATGCCAAAACTTGTGTAACTTTACTTCAATTATAATAATAAAGCCTTACCATCGGTTAAATTAATGTAAAAGTAATCTCTAACATTTTATTACACATCAATTGAAGTTAGTGTCATGAGATTGATTTTTACCTTTTCTTTTCTTCAACTCTCGCAGCTAAATGACTATTGATGAAACAAAAATTTGTATCGTCTAATCGAAATGATACGGCTACACCGCCTTTATTACCTACAAATATAGATTTAAAATACTTTCAAAGATTAATTCTCGATTATTTACAGATTGGTGCTGAGTACATAGCAGTAAGGGATCTTAAACGCTATTTATACATCAGAAATGTCATTTGTAAATCGTTACTGAAATTTTACCGAGTGTGCCTCCTGCTCCAGTCCTAACTTGAGCGGATTTAACGTCAGTAATTCGGAAAGCAACTTCTGGCCGGCATAATATTACAATCCTAATTCCCCATAAGCTATTCACTTGTACCTACGTAATTGATTAATTAATATCACGATATAAACTTCCTAAATCAATATTTATTATTAATTAAATTAGTTAATTTAACTACTTAAATTAATTATATAAAATATTAGGATCAAAAGATCGTCCTACCATACTATAATCCAAATTAGTAATTTGATACAATGAATTTTTCAATTTGTCAACCCACTCTGATTCGGGGATTGATGAACCCTCCTTTGTTTAAGATTAATAGTTGAGAAGGCTAACTTTAACGATAGATATATGGATCGTGATATCTAATGCATATATCACCTAACTAATTACTGATAGGAGCCATTTAGATAGTTTTTACTTTATTACTATACATCGATAGTGTACAGTATATCTACCTGTGTACCGAAAGCATAGATATCAAATGCTATATCAGCTTTCTTGTTCAGTTTTATGCCTTGGCCGTGACACAGCGGCCATGATTGTATATCATCTGGTGGACGTTTACCACCTATGATATGGCATTCATAAAATATCCATTAGTATCAATTACCGACTTAAAAATGTGCAAAATAGAATTTAGATCTGTTTGCAGATACCCATATTCCATGTACCAACAAAGATATTGATTTTATCGCTGTGTTTAGATGTATCTGGGTCTTTTAAACTCTCTACGCCAGAGAAAAACTGTTGCGCTGACTATTAACATAAACCAATACAAATGCAAAGCGTTATAATTTCAGAGGGTTAAGATTGCTGCTTTCTATAATTACTTGTGAGTTTATTTGCAGAATCAAACTTACGCGCGCATCTGGAAATCGAAAAATATGCTGCCGGCTAAATTTGCCTTTACCGAAGATTAATTTCAATTTCTGAAAGTCTTCCGGATCTTTAATAACGCGATAAACTAGAAAATTGATTGATTTATTACTGAAAATCTTAACAGTTCATTCGCCAGCGAGAAGATTGACGTAGAAGCGATTGCATCATGAGAATCGTTAATTAGAATAGTATTACTTTCTGAGGGGAGGGTTTTAGAAATAACCGTTCCTTCTTCCGAACTAAGCAAAATTTCCAGTTGTCCTACAGACAGAATTTACGAAAAATTTCAATAACGTGATTGACTACAAAAATAAGTTATTTGGCAGCAAATATTTATGCACGTTAAATGTTACTAGCGTATAATCCAAAGGGATTAGTAATTGCAAAATTGTTAAAATGTAAATATCAAGAGTATAAAACATACTCTTGCTAAAATCTATTTTAATTGCGGCTTCGGTGGTTTTTCTCTTTTCGGATAGGACAATTACCTAAAATGGAAGTTCGATAGAGATACAATACATTAAGATCAATCACTAAGAACTGTCTTTTAGAAAGCACACTGATTATATTGTTGATAATAAATTAAACGACTACGCTGTCAATATTTGGATAAAATGTCAAGTTTAATGCTCCTTTGCATCTCACTTTGTAAGATCGATTCGGCAAACGAACTTCCCGAGGTTCATCTGCATCCGGAGATTGTCTTGTAGCAGGATCATGATCATCATCTGAAGTCCTTGCTGGGTGAATATCGTCACTTTCGTTACTAGATGTATGATCAGTTATCATTGCAGAATCTCCACTATTTGAACCAGATGATGAGGGATTATCAGCATCAACGTCAGCTTTCAGTAGTTTAAAGAACTAGGTTTGAAATTTAAAACAAATATTTTCATTTTCATCTTAAAGTATGTATGAGAAGAAACGGAACGGAGTGGTATGATTTAATGACAATTGCTTCTTTAAAGTGAATCTCTCTTCGATATCAGTGCGTCACTATTTCAGTCGGTTTATTGATTCATTATACATGTGCATTTTTACCAAGTACGGCGATAAATAAATTTAATATTCTTATTTTACCTGGTCATTAACGTTTTGTAATAATTGCCGGCAAGAAGACAACTTATTGACTACCGCATCAACAGTCAGTTCCATGGGTGAATCATCGTTATCAGGTCGTATTCGATAAAGGAAGTCCAGTGAATCCGGAGCGGGCTAGATTGTATTGTGGAATATAGTATACAACAGTAAGTCATGGATTAATTTAAAATTATAAAAATTACTCGAGTTTAAAGTAATCCTAACGAATCAATATGTAAAAAATATTATACTCTAGAATTTACACTACCAGCTCTCAATGGTATAAAAATTCTTCCTAATTCACCTCGTCATGATTGCTACTTAAGATTAGCAACTCTATTAGCTTTTGAGCATAAAGTGTCTGTATTATACGCTTACAATAGCTACAGGGTCTAGCTTTATTCCATATGCTGTACATAAGTGTAAGCTACATAATTCTGCATAAAGTATTTATGGTTTTAATTGCAGCGCAAGTATACTGTATATGGCATGCATCACTTGCAGCAGCATCCTTTCAATTTCATCATTGAAATTATACAGTAATTTATTGAATACTTATCGTAAATTTCACGAATTTAAGTAACCGTAATACAACAGATATACAAATATAAATATACGGATAGTTTCTTTATAATCCGTAGTAGAGTAGTACAGTATATTGATTATTATCTATAAATCTGTGATATTAACCACTGTGACTAAATATGCAATATATTAGAAAGAATTAATTATTAATTATTAATCGATAAAATTTTTCTACAATAGACCGTTCTAAACGGATAATTACAATTATCATATCTTTATAATAGTTCTCTATATATGAGATTGTAATTGCTACCTTACCTGCGCAATCCTAGTTGTAATCTGTGCCATAGTGTCCAAGTAACCATTAAAGTGATCAATCTCGCTAGAAAATACGTATTATCATAAAATATTGGCTAACATATTTGTGATAATATATCATAAGAAAATGGTAATCTAAATTGCTACCTGTTCAGTTGCTTTGACAACAAAGCTAATAGTTTTTCAAATTTCGTACAACGACCGCTGTTATTTGTTTTAATGTCATTTAAGTCGTCTAATACTTCTTTTTCAAAATAGGTTTGCATCAATTTGGTATGTTCATTAGAGTATCTATATCGAGATTAGGTTTAGCTTAGCGCATAATATCATTAACAAATAAGTTTCATACAATGTTATCTACAACAGTTCTATACATAGCTGATATATTGACTTTTATCGGACCTTGTAACAAATACGAAGATATGTTTTTTGATAGCACATAATTAAATTAAGCTCACCCTAAGGAAGGTATACTCCTGTTAGCGATCTCTTTAAGTAATGTTTTTAAGCTGTTTTCATAATTTGATTCATCTTTAGAAATCAATGAAGGAAGAGTATATGAATCATAAACAATTTATTTTAATGTCAAAAAAGACAAGTGGATGATTTGCTACAACTAAAATATAGGCGTCGAGGAAATTGCTCGAAAATACGTGAAACTGCTAATGAAGTGTGAAAATCTTATTATTTTTAATCTCGCTGATCAAATTTGTGTATAACAATATAATACTGATATGAAATACGTGTACTATTGCGGTACAATAGTCAACAACAATAACTGTTAATATCTTTACGGAAATCAGGTTGAGCGATAACTGGTAAGAGCAATATTAAGTATAGGGTATATTGTAAAGTCGTGATGTTTATTTTAATTTATTGTACGCAATTAATAAATGCTATAACGTTTATTGGCTTAGAAGTAAAATAAGTATAGTAATAGAAATACCTTCTTCTGTTGGTGTTGGTGGAGAGACTGACTTAGTAAGGGGATGCGCTAAGCCTTGGTTAGGCTGCCTGAAATGCTTTACCAGTTCGTCCATACTGCTGAAAGTCTTTTCGGTAAATCCTTCACACTATTATAAACAAATAAACAGCTCATTTTTAGACATAAATCTCATATTGTTGCGATTAATTAGATGGCAGTGATATTAGTCACCTATTTTCTATTTTAACGGCCTTAATTACTTTGTACTGTAATATTTGATGCTAGTTGCTTTTAAAAATTAGGTGAACCTTCTGCAGTGCTAAATTTTATGTTAGGTAACTAATATTATATATAGCAAATATAACAGTAAGAAAATTCCAAAACAAAAGTAGGTGAAGTGTGTTATTCTTTATCCAAACACGCATGCATAAAGGTATTGCAGGGAAGTGAGTTCATGCATGCTTCATACTATTTTTACTAAATATTAAGCTATTACAACATGATTTAACTATCAGTTCTTTGGTACGGTAAATACATATAAAATTGATTGACATTTTTTATTAGCTGTTCCATTATGGCAATAAATAGTAAAATTTTAAGTTATCACTTACCACAAATCGGCCATGAAATACTTTTATCCTATGATGGAAGAATTTGTTGCGATATCTAAGAGTGTTATATATATATTAGAATAATGTCATTATTAAATTCATTTTCGAAGAACAATAAATCGACACTAATTACACATGTAGTGAAAAGACCGAAAAAAATGAACTCCAATTCTTTAGCGGTATTCTATTTATGATACTGTAGATTTTTTTACTAACATAGCTGTTAGATGTTATTTGGTATACTGTAACAGATTGATTGCTTAACATGATCCACAGATCGCCTTAAACGTTAATGAATATTACATTATTCAGATACAGATAACTGATATCGTAAATGTAAATCCCTTTTTCAATCATGGATTACTAAATGGTTCTAGTATTTTACATACTAAACTATCAACTCGGTACTATTTTTTAACAATATATTGTAGTGCTTTCTTGGTATTATCTTTCTTCATACAATCTACATTACTGAAAGGTTAATTATAGCTTCTTTGACAGACAATGTAGAGGAGGACAAACATCGTAAATCAATGATAATTATAAATTTAACGACAATAGATAGCTATCGTACTAGATAAAGCAGTTAGTACGTCTATCGAGTAAATGGAGTGACTTGAAGTACCATTCTAATAGTTAGTCAATGATCACGAAAAGTAGTACAGTAGTAGTATATATGGGTAAATATAACATGTAACTGTAACAAGAATTATATAGTATACTGTATTAGTGTATACAGTACGTAAACTAACTGCTTCATAAAAGACAATAATTTAGATAGTGTAGCTAAGGAGCAAGTCTGATTTAGACGTAAAATTACAACTATTTGACTGTTCCATGATTGGTTGTCACATCGAAAAGAAGGACGGAATCATATCGATAGGTATGCATTCCATATTGTCTATGCGTTTTTAAAGTGTGCTTACGATACAATTCCCAGCAGCTCATTTCCTATTGACTTAACTTATGATATGTTAGAGAGGATGAAACGGTATAAAGTAATCTAGTTATTAGAGCCTTACATATGAACAACTTATCCAATCGATCCATTACCGCCAAAAATGTAGTGTAAATATAGTGAATTAATGATATCGGATATCCTGCAGCGACTTAGGATAGGTAAAGAGTATTGATTATCATCTATTAGTGCTCTTCTCCTGTAGCTAACAATCCAATTTGCAGTCATTTCTTTGAGTATCAGACTGATAGATCTTTTTTAGTGTATTTACAAATACAGTCTTTAACTAGGGCCAGGAGATACTTAATAAGGTATACCTTTAGGTTTAAATTTATTCGATACACCAATACAGTGATTAATTGGTGTTATCCTGCAGATAATTTAAGACTTGACTTCGGAATCGAATCAATCGTATGATTGCTGTTGCGATTGCATGATTATATATCATATTAGGTCAGGAATTAACTCCTGATTTATAATTAGTTGTGCAAATTTTACATTTATCGTTCGTAGTATGATAGAGCAAGTTCATGTCTGATCATAACAGTCAGTTTTTTTAATAATAAAATCCATAAATACTGTACCTTATTGATAATGCGAATGTGCCCGGTACACGATGACTAGGTCTGATTAGGAAGGCACCATCTTGGTCTTCTAGTCTGAGTAGGTCTTCAGCCTGTTCATAGGAAACGTCAATGTAATAATTGGCTAAGTTCTCCATGACTACTCAAAATGACCTCTACCTAATTTATATGGACCAGAAGAAAGAAAACGAAATTAATAATAATTCGAAGTTACTGTAGCGTTGAATCAGGTAGCATAAAACGTGACTGGCAACGTTCACATATTAGTCGCATCCATAGTTCTAATGTGCGAATCAAGTGATATATTAAGAATTGCATTAAATTATGTAGTAATAATGTCGTGACTATCGATAATAATATGTAATTGATCCGATTAATATTGGAGAAAATGCAATTTTTTCAACATGTAATGAAAGTTTAATTGGATCAGACTCGATTCATGCAATTAACCTTCAAGGTGTAGCAGCTCGGTGACTCTGAGCGCTACAAATGATGATAAAATAAAGGAAAACTTTACGATACGTAACATATATGTTACGGCCAAAACCCGAAGTCCGGCCAATACGCGTAATGATAACCTATATATGTATATTTAGGATTAGTTTGCTCAACATGTTCGAAATATCAACAGAGTGCAGAGTGTATTAGATAAGATCCTGGAAATACTTAAGTGTCAATGACCAGGAACATCGATTTACTATTAACGTTTGTAGAAATCAGGAGAATTGATTTCAACCAATTAATCGTCTTATCTACAATACTATTTTACTGCCAATTGCTTGACCATTTTAAATTATTTACAAATTGAACATGAACTTGATTTATTCCGGTTGTACACGAGTATACTGCAAGTCGGGGTCTACTCTACTTAAGAGTTTCAATATTAGTATGATAGTCATCACAGGAAATGATCACTATTCTAATTTCAATGATACCATCTTGATAGCAAGCAATCAATCGATGCTGTAATCTAATGAAATATTTTTGATGGGCTCTTTAACACCGCAATGCTGCATCCTCAGTACAAAACTATGGAATTATGACATCCAGGGCAATAACGATTCATGAATAAGACGTTGCAGGCTTGATTAATGATTTGCTATGATTGCAACTAAACTTTGACAAATACTCACGCTGACTACGGTGCCAAATTCAATCATTTCAACGACTCAACAATAGCAACATCAGTCTCATTTCAACTTGCCTCAATTTTTCGATTGAAAAGCTCTATCAGGCTTGCTCAATATCCAAACTTTCGCAATATTCTCCTGATTACAGCGATCTTGAAACTCCAAATCACTGTTTTCACCCTTTTGTTGATACCGTCTATCCAGCAAGTTCTACTTTTATGCTTGTATGGCTCTGTCAGGCGTGCTCAATATCTAAATTTTCGCAATATTCTGATTACAGCGATCTTGAAACTCCAAATCACTGTTTTCACCCTTTTGTAGATACCGTCTATCCAGCAAGTTCTACTTTTATGCTTGTATGGCTCTATCAGGCTTGCTCAATATCCAAACTTTCGCAATATTCTCCTGATTACAGCGATCTTGAAACTCCAAATCACTGTTTCCACCCTTTTGTTGATACCGTCTATCCAGCAAGTTCTACTTTTATGCTTGTATGGCTCTGTCAGGCGTACTCAATATCTAAATTTTCGCAATATTCTCCTGATTACAGCGATCTTGAAACTCCAAATCACTGTTTTCACCCTTTTGTAGATACCGTCTATCCAGCAAGTTCTACTTTTATGCTTGTATGGCTCTATCAGGCGTACTCAATATCTAAATTTTCGCAATATTCTCCTGATTACAGCGATCTTGAAACTCCAAATCACTGTTTTCACCCTTTTGTAGATACCGTCTATCCAGCAAGTTCTACTTTTATGCTTGTATGGCTCTATCAGGCTTGCTCAATATCCAAATTTTCGCAATAATCTCCTGATTACAGCGATCTTGAAACTCCAAATCACTGTTTCCACCCTTTTGTTGATTGCGTCTATCCAGCAAGTTCTACTTTTATGCTTGTACTGTACTTTTATACAGTATAGTACAGTCCATTTAGTGGTTGGTTGCTGTTGACAGTACAGTACTGCACAGGATGGTACTTTGTACTATATTGTTCATCATCATAACAGGGACTACTGGAAAGAGGAGGAGGGTCAGAGTGTAGTTAAAATAACCAGCAAAAAAAAGGTCGGCCTCCATATTGCTTACGAAAGTTCATGATAATTATTGTTATAATAACTCGCCAAGAAAGCCGTCCTCTCCCTCTGGATCACCTTGTTTGCTAGCTTTTGCCGAGGGCTGATTGCACCCTGGGGTAGTAGTCAGGGACATCCAGATGCTAAATTGCTAAGTTGGTTTTGTGCAATATATTATACGGTTTCATGGATACCGTAGAGTAGAAGGAGTAGAAAAATGAAATGATCAAACTCCGTATTATTTTGCAATGGTGACGGTTTGACGTCCCTCTTGCTTTGCCTTTTTTATACAGTATAGACGTTTTCGAAATCCAACCTTCTTTTTCTGTAACAAACGAGCGCTTCTGTGCAAATGTCCCTGCGGACAGACATTCCAGCTTTATGGATGAGATTGAATTGCAAACTTTACACTCCAGTTTAGGCGTTATGACTGTTTACAGTAAGTTGAATTTCCTTGCAGAAATGATTAAACTGTACATTTAAATGAAGGTAAATTTGATTAGTTTTGATAGATTCCTAACCCACCCTCTCTCATAAACTCCCAGCTTTTATACCCTCGACGGCGGATTATACCGTAGGGTATCTGCAAAACCGAGCAACACTTGCAAATCCTAACCGTACAGGTCCTTGTCCTAACATCGCTATTTTATGTCATAGGTGTTGCACTAATCTTAGCACTTTCGAAATGGCAGTAGAGTACAGTACAAGCTGTAGTTGTGGTGAAACTACGCCATCATAAAACTCTATCTGTTATATCGATACCAAAGCATGATCATGGAGAAGAATCGAACAGGTTTACTAAAAACTACCTGGTAGTCACACAAGACACAAGTCATAAACTCACAATACTATACAGTTACTGTACGGAAAATTTCTCATTCGCAAAGTACATTGCAGTAATAGTTTATTTATTTAAGAAAATTAATGACATATCACCGCACGGTGGGACGGTATAGTCAGATCAGTATTAAAGTTAAGTGGAAAGGTCAGAGAAATTAGCTTGCTGTAAATGAATGCAGCAGTTGCTTTCAAAAATTGACAGCCATAACGATGATCTCACCTTTCATTTTAGTCAATTTTACGGTATCTTGCTCGCTAAAGAACGGAGTAATTGTATAATGCATCATTCATATTATAGTACTCGTATATGAGAAGACGGCCAAAACGCGTATAACAGGTTAACGTGATGGCTGTCAATAAATTTGATTAGGCTGTTGTTACTGGTAAAAATACCTTTCGGTAGTGAAAGACAGCTTGGCCAAGATTGTGTAGTTCCAATCCTAAAGTACACGTACATGTATTCTGCAATTCCATAGATATCAATGCCACAATTACTGCCATTAAACAATATCGCCGAACAAGTTGTTCGTGCGCTATCGCAAAATGCCTTAAACGCTGTAATAAACAAATCCCTAACGTGATAACAATTTTACGATTAATCAAATCTTGAATAAAGTATTTGCATTAGATAAGTACTTCAGTACTAGTACTAAGGCTAAACACGATATTCCATTTCTAAATGATGATGTAAATACACTTAAATACACGCGTAAACGTATCCTGAACCTCTGTCAAAGGAGGAATCGATTCTATACTGTAATATAGTAGCACAATCTGCAGTAGTGTTCATTAAAATAACCATGAGAATAATATTGCATTTATTATTTTTTTTGCCCTGTACACTGTACAATAGTAGACAGTAGTATTCTGTATCCCCACTTCTGCTCTAATAACGCTATTCAGCATGCCTTCCGAATATTATACTGTTTGGCAATACTGTAGCACTGTATATGTTATTATGAATGAATATATGGTTTGGTTTACTGTTATTGCGTGCGTGAAAATTCTAAAGTAGAGACTAGAGTAATGTTGAACACTCCTTTAGCATTTTTTGTAACTAGTGTACTGTTATTACGTTTTGGCATCATTTCAGCTATCGAGGAGTGCTAGCAGGCAGTTGCAATCATGAACTTTTGGCTTTTCCTTGTTGATCAAACATCCTCTAGTTCTGGAAGGGAAATCATATTGTGAAGCGGCAGACAACTATATCTATACCTGTAAATACTATAGACAGAGAATGACAAATATTAAAAATAATTGATATCATATTGAATGACGACCATTTTTTTACCACTTTTTAAATTCCTACATGATGTTATCAATTATGATTGCTTTATCACTAGTACTAGTTGGATGACTAAAGCGATTACGTAATGCGTACATGGCACATTTTTGATATAATCAAAGTATTTCTACTATCAGCTGGATGATTTATGAATGATAAGCTGGAGTGTATGAATAACTAGCAGAACTGTTTACATTGCCAGAGCTTCGTGATTGAGCAATGAAAGGTTCTAAATTTCTAGTAATCCGTGGCAATACCATACGATATGTTGGTAGGCTATACGTGTACTACAATACTGTATGTAGAAGAATACCTGTTTAAATATCTAATTTTTCGCTTGATTAAAAGTTTATGCTACTGTAATTATAATATATTCTTTCCAACTGAGTTCATTTATTTAGCCAAATATCATCTCTTGTACTGATATCGTAAGTTTTGCTCTATAAGCACGATTTGTGTACATATGTAATTGTTGGTACGATAGCTAAATAACCGTAATGAATGAAAAGGTAAAATTGAAATCATGCGATTATGACTATGAAGCTAATGGCTCACCCAAGAAGAAAAGTAATTTTGAAATCATTAGCATAACAAATAATTACTGCCAGAGCCGGCGACAAAGTTTACTCGATGATGACACTGATGAGATAGATGGTGGATTTCGAGGGAAAGGAAACATTCAATTCTCAAAGTCATTGATCAAGCGTCAATCAGTTAACAACTGTAATAACATTCAAGAAGAGGCAAGTAATGACAAAGTAAGCAATCACAGGACAGAAAGTACTTGTAGCCTGGCCGTTTCCAAAAATACTCATAATAGTGCAGTAATCTCAGATGTGGCAGACAGTGCCACTTCTACATCTCGCTTCAGGATAGCTAGACAGTATAATCTATCTGAAAGGGGACGATGGACTTGTCGAGATTATATTTCAAACGAGATCAAGACGGGTAAAAAATTACATAATGATCGGTTAATGAATGCTAAAGAGGAATGTAATTATAAAACAATTCAAAACACTAACAATGGCAATTCTAGTCTGTATCATTCAGATGATCTATCACTAGAATCGAGACGTACACTACCTGAAAATACAACAGTAAATCTATCTAAGAACGTGCCATCATTAGTCCCCAAAACTAATAGCACATTAGATCGAGCATTAACAACTACTGCCAGTACAAATATTGCCAATGCATCTATAAATAATAATGATCCACTTGCCAACCAGTCTAGCCCTAAGGAATCCGTTAACTATTTTAAAACAAATATCATCAAACATGGCCAGCTAAATTTAGGAAGAAGAAGTGAACAACCTGGAATGTTTAGACCAATTCAAGACAAGAATGGGCTATCTCCAACGAATATTGACATTATGCACTATCAACAATATGATCTAGGATCGCCTAATGACTTTCCTAGGACTATAAATTCGCCTCTTGAAGAAAGCCTAATATTTAGAAACAGGTTTGTTAAGCAATTGTAAAAACACTGACAATGGATATTATTAAAATTAGTTGTAATATCATAAGCACCATGAACACGTAGATTGAAGTGGATGTATTATGCTCATTTTGATTTAAAAGATATTTACAGACCTAAATTGTTTTATGCGCGTTTAGTCCACAAACTGTGCATCAAGACTGCGTTAGAGAAAGGGCATCTGTAAGTTGCAATGTTATGTTATATTTGCTTATTGTATATATCTCAGATTTTAAAACGTTAGATAAGAATGCGTTTAGCTCGTATAATTAATATGATACGGTATACTTGTATAGTCACTTCATGAGAAATTTTTAAAAGTAAAGCGAACATAATTCACTGATCTACTCGTACTGTCTTAACTAGAATAGAATAATAAATACTATAAAATTTTTATGTTCTATCTACTATCGTCCGCGATATTTTGTTGCAATATAAAAGTTAATAATTTCTTGCCATGTTAAGAAATGTTAATTCATGTACCGAGCAATCAGTCATTACAGTACGCGTATGTTGTATGAATTAATCATTACTGAAATGGCTAATTACAATATTCCTTCTTTCTTGCATTTTCTTGTCATTGAAAACGGATAAAAATAGACTAATTATCAATACCGTCAATATCAATATCGCAGTCCTCAGCACTTTTCGCCTCATCATCATCATCAATATCAAATAAGTAATCATGACCACTACCATACGATTGCCGGCATTGTTGAGGAACAATTACATCGAGTTATTACGCCACTTTATGAAGCTATCGATTACCAAGTTCAGGAAATTATGAAATTAAAGGATGAAGTTAAACTTTCACGTACGGACCACTTGGTGGCTAGTGAGATTGCCTTATTAAGAGCGGAAATCGATTCCTTAACGAAAGTGTTACGATGATTAATCGTACTTACAGTGCTTTTTGGAAGGAATTATGTATGCTAATCAGTGGTTGCTATAGCTGCAATTATATACCTGCGTAAGTATTTACAGTATATTTAATACGCGCATATGGTAGTATATACGCTTGGTTCAAGCTTTCATCTATGTACAGTATAAGCGATACGTTTTACTTACACACTCAATTGTACAGAAGGAAAGCAATCAAAAATTATTGCTTCTCTAAACTCCAATCTAAATCATATGATAGATAATAAAGAATTCGTGTATAGTCGTGTCTTGCTAAAGTACAGCGCTACTAAAAATTATTTAGTAACGCGTTATGTTAGTTAACCTATCGGTATAATATTCTACAATTTAGGTAACTTTATAACTGTAATAACCTCTAATATCGCAATATATAATTATTCCAAAGTATATACTATCATATCTAAGATTTAGGTAACTTTTATAAAACAGGCAAAAGCTTAAATTTTGATGAATACAGGATGCAGTACTATAACATCGTTGCTAAATAAATTGCTCGGTATGACTGTTAGCTTGTAAAGATGCTATCATTAAATAATTTAAATTATTGCAAAGACTATCTTGAATAAAATACCGAATACCTATCATATCTACTTAGGCTCTTAAAAAATTCAGACTAATATAGTTGAGGGCATAGATTACTAACACTTCGGTATTATACAATCGGCAATTACTTTTATTATCCGGTATCATTTCCTCATAACATTATTACTAAAATGTACAAGACCATCTCTTATATATTGCATATATTTATAATATGAAAAAAAATATAATTTTTGATAGCGTAAGAGTGCGATCGTTATGAAAGTATCCTATATTATTCAGCATGTTTCGATTAATATGTGTATATCGTGATTCGGACCGGAATTATGCAATTACTAAAAGTGATTTCATAATATACAGTAACAGTATAAATAACACTTACTTTTACTATGAACATTAGCTTTATACAGTATCATAATTAAATGGTACGAATAAACGCCCATACAGCCTCTGTCAATTAGCAAATTTGCATCTAATTCCCAGATTAATTGTAATTATTTGAAATTTAGCCCATAGCTATAGTGCGGTAATATGATGCCAGAAACTTGTAAAGTACATACTCCAATTTATACCATAAAATATAGAGCGCACACATGCAACGAGATAATAGAATTTTAAGCGTTGCATTAATTGCTCAGATATTAATTTACACTTGAATCAGCAACTAAAGCAATAAAAACTATGTTAGAGTACATGTGCTATTTTGATTTTAATGATGGCTACTTCTATTTTGGAACGGATTGTTGAAGGATTGCTTTTAATCGTTCTATTTCTTGCTTTAGATGAGCATTTTCTTCCATTAATAGGTGTAATTGAGCATTTTCCTCCTTTAATCGATGTAATTGAGTATTTTCCTCCTTTAATCGATATAATTGAGCATTTTCCTCCTTTAATCCATGTAATTGAGCATTTTCCTCCTCTAATCGATGTAATTGAGCATTTTCCTCCTCTAATTTAGCGTTTGAATGAATTAAATGGCTACAATGTCGATGCACCTCTCGCCTTAGCATATCAGTAATGCCATCCTAATATACAATAGATACAAATATGTGAATACTACAAACCAGAGTGATTGCCTTATAAAACAGAGTATAATTTCATCGGTACGATAATCGAATATGCATTTACCATGAATCTGTTAGTCATTTCATTGCATTCGTTATGCTGGAAGCTAAATCAAAAATGAAAGGAATACATTATTAGCAACGGAGAACTATATCAGCGGGGTTATAAGAAATTCTGTATCACTATAGATGAGTAGTTTACACGATATTTAACGTAATGTTTAATAAGCATATAGGAAATATCATATGATCAATCCACTGATTTATGGCTGTGTCAGTTTTTAACGGTGTTTTAATATACTAAAATCAGAGATCGATGATAGCGTAATCAGACAACCTTACTGATCACTATGAATGCTATCTTCGATGTACTGTACAATAATTTTTAATTAAGCAACCTGTGTTGAGGGCCAAGAATAGCGCTGTTGGCAACACCAGTTGAAAATTGATTGTCCTGAATAGATTGTGTGGGATTACTCAGATTACCAACGGGAAAATTGTTCTCCTGTAAAGGTGGCGGTAAATAATTTCCTGTAATATTACTAGTTGGAGCATTATTAATAGGGGCACCATTCTCGGTTAAAATAGGAGTATAATTGCTGTCAACAGCTTGAGACATGTTTGGGTAGCCAAAGTTCTCTGTCGAAGTAGTGTTGGTAGTAGCATTACTCTCTGTAGGCGATATCTGATTAAGCACCATATCATTTAATTCTTCTTCTTGAATACCTTCTATTCCAATATTGGTCATTACATCACTACCGCTGTTAGAAATTCCTGATGCTTGAGAAACGGTATTATTGACATTTGTAACATCGTTATTAACATACACACTGACATCTTCATTGCTTTCAACGATATTATTTGTATCGTTAGGTATATTTGCATTCCCAATGACAGTAAGTATTTCATTTTCTTGAACGATAGGCTGTTGTTGAGATTCGTTTTGTGGTAATTGATCTAATTGTTGCATTGTTGGTTGTGAATGTTGAGCTTGCACCTGTACTGATGATCCAACCTCATTCAGTTCGCGTAATGTCTGATCAGTGTACTGAAGCGCATTTTGTTGCATTGTATCGTTAGGTACAATTAAATCAGCATCAGGTATACTAGGATTAACAGGCTGCTGCTGTATATCGTCAGTATTATTAATGTTTTGTGACGGCTGGGGGACCACAGGAGACGGTAATGTTATTGAAGGTTGTTGTGGCTGCCGCTGTTGAGATGGTTGCTGTTGATGCTTATTGTTGCTTTCATCCAAATTATTGATGCCATCATCCACGGTAGTGTCACTGCCAGCATCTGATTTAATAATTTCCTGTCTTCTTTCTAGATAATCACGACAATTCCAGCGCCCGCGCTTGAAAGTCTTATTCCTAACATCAATAATTACACGAAAGCGAGAAGTCGGAGGAACATTGTGGCCATTTGTTGTTGCCTCGACTTTCTCTTGTTGTTCTTCAATAGGCAATAAAGCATTATCGTTTATAGTTAATGTACTATCGTTATTATCGTATACTTCACTATCTTCCAACTCATCGTCAACTACACTAATATTGACAATTTCACTTTTGGTAGATCTGATGCTGGTAATTTCAAAATTGCTTTTTTTCTTTTGTAAAATACTTGATTGAAGATTAATGGGTTTCTGATCAGGAGCGACTACAGCTATGGTAGATTCCTTTAAATCGCCCTCGGCCATGATGAAAGATAAACTTTCCACACTACTTGTAAAACACTTAACGATCTATCTTTCTTTTAAGAAACAAACGTGTAAATATTAATGGTTCGCTGTCTTATACCAAAGTTTGATTAGTCAAGGCTTGCAAACTTAGCTATATTGTACGTAGGGATTGCTAAGTATACTAAGAAGTACAATCTTGTGGGGGGGGGGATTTCAGTATTTGAACAATATTATCTGATAACGAAGGGTTCTTTTCTTTTCGATTATGACAATGAATTGTTTTTTAGACTTAATCCGTAAATGTGTTCGTATCTATCCAATTAGGTTTTTAAAATTTCCTGTCTTTTAAAGTTTTGCAACTTGGATGACGACCAGAAGTTATGAAAAATGACATTAAAAAAATAATCTCCTGTGAAGTACCGTTTTAATTTCTTTTTGATTTGAAATTTTTCTATCCCTCCTTCTGGTCAGTGAAGTCGGAGGAAACACGATAGCAGTCTATCGCGTTGATAACAAAGTTGAATTGAATTTGTCTGTAGATACTATGATAAAATGCAGTCTTGTATGTGCAATCTGCTTTTTCTTGATGCGCACAGTTTGAGACCGCAGAAGATCTTAATAATATTAATTAGCTATCAACCACAAAGTAGGAAAATGGTGCTCGATAGCAAAATAAACCTATACTAGGCCTACTGTGATAACAATACTACGTGGTTGAATAGTGAATGAGTAACACCCTGTTTTTAAAATAAAAAATAAAAAGCAATGAAACCTTGTACTGAGTATAGTTATGACTGAAGTCGTTTGGATTTCAAGACAACAGTAATCCAAGTTCAAAGCAGAACTTACTATCGCAGCAGTAAAAATAAGTAAGATTATGACAGTGATAGAGCTTTTCTGCGATACCAAAGAATGATCACCAGTCCAATGTCGGTCTATACTCTCGATACATAAAGTGCCTTAACATTTCAACATGGCCAATACAAAGTAGTCTAGAGCTATCCACTCCTCACAACTGGGGAGTGCCTTGATGTTGTGGCAGCTTGGTTTTAAGACGTTGAATAACCATATCGTCGATTTATTTTTTCGCCTTTCAACAACAGAATTTGGTTTATGAGGCTATATCAAAGTAATTTTCTTAGGATAAGCCAATCTGTTTAACGTAAATTTGATTTACTTTTACTTTGGTGTCGTGCAGTCAGTCACTGCCTTTCGACACTACTTTCTTCCTATTGACCTGTGTGGAGGCTTCAGTCTGCTTCACGATACAGTCAGTCACAGTATTGAAGTTTGGTAAAAGCGAACGGTCACACACGGCTGACGGGGGGGGGAACACGATCTGTGCCACTGTGCTAGTAGAGTACAGTATGAGAAACGAAGTGCTCAGTGCGATACCAGGGAATTCTCTGATCTAGACGCTATATTGTCCATTTGCTTGCATAGCACAGTATACAGCGGCCACACTGATTACACCTAGCACTTCAAATCCCTAACAATAAGTTTTTACAGTCAGCAACGACAATTTGGTAATGCTATTCTTCTTTCCTTTCCGAGAGTTGTGTGCGTAATATAGGACTTAGTATTAAAAGCGTTTTTTCCTGCGTTCTTTTGATACGTTGCAGTTCTGTACAGTATACTGTACTGTACTGTGACAATGAATTCATGATACAGTACAGTACTGTATATTAAACCCTTACTTTTACTTTGTACTGTAGCCGTTCGACTACTTGAACTAATGATTATGAAGAAATTAGACGTCGTACGCCAATTTGAATGACTGAACTATGTTGGTTAACTCTCTACTGATTGATGTATAATTTATCTAGGATAAAAAAATGATTTTTGTTCCAATTTTTCGGCTCAAAGTTTGGCGGCATACTGTACTGTACACTGTACAGTACAGTATGCTAGAAGCTTTTTTCTACCGTAGTCTGTACAGTACTGTACTATACTGCATCGATATAGAAAAGAAAAGAGAAAGAGATTGACTGAAACTCTGAAAGTGAAAAACGACCGTCCAAATGTGCACTACAGTACTGTACGGTAACCCAGAAGGCTTAGATAATACTGTGTGCCGTACGGTTCCATGTAGTCGGTCAATTTCTACAACAGCGCAAGACCACTTCAAGTCTTTCTCTTTCTACAGTACAAAAATCGTTCATCACATACTGTACTGTACTGTAGGTGATGTATCGTAGATATCGCAGCGCGAAACTTTTTGTTTTACAAAACTAAAAATTAACACTACAGTACGGGGATGCTTGTATCAAATATTGATGTTAACTCATGGATTGGACTTTTAAAAGATCCTTTTCAGGCTGCTTGGTTATAATACGCCACACTATTTGATTAAGATGGCACCGCATAGGTGAATAATGACTGGTAGATGTCAGCAGTCTACTAGCGACTACAAGAGAGTCTATTAGGTCTCTAGTGACTACTAAAGGCAGACAAAGTCCCTGATAGAAATAATTGTTGATATGCATTGCAATTTCTACTTTGGGACAGTAAACTAGTGTCTACGAATAGTCATCTTACTGTAAAAAAAGAATTTGGAAGATTCCGGTTGATTTGATAGATACTATCTATGTAAAGTTTTTATTTGGTTGGTAGATGTCAGCAGTCAGTACTAGGGACTACAAGAGAGTCTATTAGGGTCTCTAGTGACTACTAAAGGCAGACAAAGTCCCTGATAGAAATAATTGTTGATATGCATTGCAATTTCTACTTTGGGACAGCAAACTACAGTGTCTACCAATAGTCATCTTACTGTAAAAAAAGAATTTGGAAGATTCCGGTTGATTTAATAGGTATTATCTATGTAAAGTTTTTATTTGGTTGGTAGATGTCAGCAGTCAGTACTAGGGACTACAAGAGAGTCTATTAGGGTCTCTAGTGACTACTAAAGGCAGACAAAGTCCCTGATAAAAATAATTGATGTGCATTACAATTTCTACTTTGAGACAGCAAACTACAGTGTCTACCAATAGTCGTCTTACTGTAAAAAAAGAATTGAAGATTCCGGTCCATTTGATAGATAACATCTATGTAAAGTTTTTATTTACAGTTTCGAGATCAAGCATCGATCTCGGCTTACGATGCAGATCATAAATATCTTTAAATAAAAGACGATTTAAAGTAAAGTGTATTTATTACATTATCAATTACTATACTGTACTGAGATTTTATCTCTGTCGGTCAGAATAATTCCATGTAACGCAGTATTCCATAGAGCATGGAAGTAGTGTTTGTGAGATTTGCATAGAACACGATATACAGGATTATAGTAATAAATGAGAACATATGAGCAAGATTGGAATAAAGACTTTTGTTGAGAAATGTGGCTTTAAAAAAAGCCGTTTGTTTTAATTCTACAGCACGCTAACTGCTTTATTCATAAATTGGGAAATTAGTATTCCTGGGATTGGCTGGAACCCTTCTTGGAGCCGGCGATTGGTACTTTGCTCTTCTTGGGCAAAAGTACAGCCTGGATGTTAGGCAATACACCACCTTGGGCGATGGTGACTCCGCTCAAGAGTTTGTTCAATTCTTCATCATTTCTGATGGCCAATTGCAAGTGACGAGGAACAATTCTCTGTTTCTTGTTGTCGCGAGCGGCATTACCTGCCAATTCCAAGATTTCAGCAGCCAAGTATTCCATTACTGCTGCAAGGTAAACTGGAGCACCAGCACCAACACGTTCGGCATAGTTGCCTTTTCTCAACATTCTGTGTACACGACCGACAGGGAATTGTAGACCGGCACGAGTTGATCGAGATTTGGCCTTATTGCGAGCTTTTCCTCCTTTACCACGTCCAGACATGATGATTAGTAGATGATTGCAAGAATTCGATAATTACTGTGAACAATTTCGAATACATAACCAATTTGTCCAAAGATCATCCAATTTATACATTAAGGTCCGGATCGAAGAGAACCAATCACAGTTGATCACTAATTGGCTCCGATCAGGTCCGCAAATCCAGATCGAGCTGCCGGATCGAATTTGGATTGTGCGCACTGGTTCTAGATACGTTTTCGCGCTAAATACAATACTATACTGAGTGCAGTGGTAGTACTACTACAGTAATGCAATACGCGATGATGACTGCGAGAAACTTAACACATACAGACCGCTTTGCTGAGTACTGAGTGTACACTTGAAGCGGTACAGTATAGCTATGTACATTACTGTATTGTGTGAATGTGAAGTAAAGAGTTGTAAATTCTCCATAGCAGCAGATCCCATTTCTGACCTCGATTAATAAATTATTTTTATTATAGTATAGTAGTCCGCCACATTGGATCCTTCACTGTAGTTGATTTTAAGATTACCTTAAAGGTCGATTATTTCTAAAATATACTGATGTTCATGTAGTACTGTAGCCTATGTACTCATCGTGAAATTACGATATGTTGAAAACTTCCAGAGTCAAGCATGAGCTACAGCTATTGCAGCAGTTACTACCACAGGACATAATTTGCAAGCCAATCAATGATAGTTTGTGCGAATTCAAGGCCTCCATTGTTGGTCCACCAGCATCTCCGTACGCTGATGGAGTCTTCGATATCGAAGTGCGATTATCGGACAGGTATTCCACTTTTTCATGACAACAATTTACTATAATGACAATTCAGTTGTAGGATCAAGTGCATTAGACAGTTATGCTCGTAATTTAATGTTAGTGTAGTCACGTTAACCAGAATTAACGCTGCAGATTTATAGTCAATTTCAATTGATAAGATTATTTAATCGGTCTTGGTAATTCGACTATAGCCAACTGTGCGCCTCAAAGTTATAAATCCATATGTAGTTATTAGTCAGCACAGTACTGTATGTGCTAATCGTTGACAACTTGTAACTAGGTCACATTGCAATGCAAAGGCGCCTTGGTTTTGGATATTACATAGACAGTAAATTTAGATTGATCTGATTTTCCTACCAGGTATCCGTTTCAGCCACCATTAGTAAAATTTGCAACACCGATTTACCATCCCAATATCGATCAGAGTGGGAGAATATGCCTCGATCAGCTTAAAATGCCACCCGCGGTACTAGCTAGGCTCGAGCATAATGTTATACTCTTATCATTTAGTAGTGTATCTTAAATAATAAGAGAGTTTCTTAGATCGATAATGACAGTGGATTAGGCTCTCTGTACAGTACTGTATCTGACTGTAGTATTATTGGTAATGAATAGTCAAAAATTCAGTACAATATGTATGATAGTTGGCTGATTTACGTTCTTGAATATGAGATAACTTACGTATTTAAAGTTTAATCTTGTTTGTGATGAACGTGTACGATTAGGGGTGCTGGTCTCCATCGCTCAACATTGCTTCCGTACTTATTGCGGTTAAGCAGTTAATAAATGAAGCGAATCCTGATGATGGTCTTATGGCTGACATATCTGCACAGTACAAATCTGACCGTACAGAATTTAACGCTGTCGCTCGACAGTGGACAATAAAACATGCTATAGCAAAGGTAAGATGATACACAGTACATTGTTGTCATACACTTACATGTAATAGTATACAATTAATTTTATTATATTAATTTATCTTGAAAATGAAGGAGAATGATCCAACTAAGAAATTAGATGATAAATGCGAAAAAAGTGATGTAGATGCTAATGGACCTATCAACAGCAAAACTCAAGCAAGCATTGATACTGGTTGCAGCACTACCAGCACATCGAAAAGACTGCCGATGCAATTGTCCAAAAATGACAACAGTTTCATGGGCAGTAATAAAAGGCTAAAGCTAAGCTTAAAAGCAGCGCATAGAAATGCACAGGAATGATTGACTGCAATTAGCCTAACCAGTTTCAGAAAAGCAATTTGTAAATATTACAGAAATTTCGCACCTTATTTATGTAATGATGTATATTCTGCCATAAATCCTATTTATGTGCTAATATCTGTATATTGGTAATTGTCATGGTCATTTGAAGTCAGCTGTATAAAGATTGAAACCTAACTTTTTGGAAAATGTGCAATTGATTAGGTTTGGCATTTCTATAGCCTAGATTTATCATCTATTTCCAAAAATATACGTATATGTTGTAAACTCAAGAGTTTCGAGGTTTCATGCAGGATATGAGACGTACAGTATAGTAGTCATTCTTGAGTATCTCTATACACGTCTATATCATGCATATATACACTATTACAGTACTGTATGCAATTATTTTATTGGCAACAAGTATATAATACCAAATTATTCTAAAATAATGTAATAGCCAGAGCCTGAGATTGATCATTTCAAATTGATTTGTAAATAAAAGGAGAATTTTTGAAAGTCAAATGGTTGTATCTATAAAGCTACGTCAAAAACAAGTACAAATACCAGCATCATTGGTGTACCAACATACAACTGTAGCATGAACAGTAAATTGCTAGTATTGGTTAGGGAATGACTATGTGGAAATGTAGGCCAGACAGAAGGGGAAAATGACATGGTTTATGGTTATCATCCAAGTTGATCATCGATTATAATTTAATTTCATTTTTCAGGAAAATGAAGTCAAGCAGCTGACGAAAGTACATGCTGTAGTCAGCTCATTTACTGACGTTAGTAACATGACAGCTTCTTAATCGCGCTTGTCTATGGGATCCATTTCAAGTACCAAAAGCTTTGGATTTTTCCAAGCAATTACTATCGTCAGTGTGGATTTTTATGTATCCAGTAGGTCCTATTTTGCCAATGGAGCAGAGTAGAATTCTCCTTGGCATGATCTATGGTCAAATTCAAGCTCATCTTCATGATTGCTTGCTGACAATATCAGGCAACCCTACAGTACAGTACAGTAGTCTAGTGTACAGTACACTGTACTGTACTATACAGTACGGAAAGACTTACAGACTGTACTCTACTGTACAGTACAGTACAGTACGTCAGGTCTAACTCTACAGTACAGTACTACTACTACTAGTAGAGTACTGTAGTACTGTACTGTACTGTACTATACGGTATGGAAAGACTGACAGATTGTGCTATACTGTACTACTACTACTACTACTGTACAGAACTGTACTACTAGTAGAGGTTCCGGTACAGTACTATAAAAGGACGGTAGTACTGTACAGTAGTCTAGTGTACCTGTACATACACTGTACTGTACAGAAAGACTGACAGACTGTACTCTACTAGTGTACTACAGTACTAGTCGAGGTTCCGGTACAGTACAGTACTATAAAAAGACGGTAGTACTGTAGTCTAGTGTACTGTACTATACAGTGCGGAAAGACTGACAGACTTACTGTACACCGCCCCTATAGCAACTGTACTGCACTGAGAGAGAGTTTATTTGCGGTCAATCTTGGTTAGCGAATGACGTGAACGCTCAATGTAGAACCAATATGTCCTAAAGCAAGACACACCATGTTTACAGCTCGACTGATTTTTGGGCCATGATGAATATTTCCACCGTTTTACTTCGATTATTTCGACCCTTTATTTACTTATCTATTAGTATACGTTCTAGTTTGTCTATACTCGCGAGCTATGCTACTTCTCCATTGGTTATTGCAGCCATAGCCACCCTGGTAATCTTGATCATTTCTCACTTTTATTGGAGTAGTAGTAGTAGTAGTGGTGATGATCAGCAGAAGAAGACTAACGGTAATATCGATGATGCCACCGGTCCAAAAGCTACAACCAGGCGTAGTATGATAGGAGGGATTCCTGTATTGCTTGAAAAATTCATGAAACCTCAAGCCAAGGAAGATCTTATCCAAATAAAGATTAATAAACGAGTCGATGATGATGGCGAACGATGTGAATGGATTAACGCTGTCATTCGATGGTTTTATTTACAAGGACCTGATGTCAATCAATTGATTCAAGTATGGCTTGATGCTTTAAATTTAGAATTAGCCAAATTTAATCAGGTAAGAGGGTAGTGTACATTCTGCTTCATTTTTCTTCCTTTTTCAAATATCTTGTATTCAATGCAAAGACTACATCAATATGAGCAACTTTGCTTCAATCTCGTGTACGACATTAAAATGGCCAGGACTGGTCTACTGTCTCCCAATGATTTTGCAGTCATCAGCTTGATGGGTATACTTTTTTCATACATGTATCGCACATCGATCTTGAATATTGGCTAGGATTTGATCAATTTTTGCAAGTACAAGCAATAAATTGAATACAACATCATGACACTCATTTGCCCATATAGGTGGTGTATATATACTTTTCCTTACACGTAGCCAATATCTTTGTCCATTGTAGAATTATGGATCGGGATTTAAAACGGTAGATTGTAACATTACTTCTACAATCACACATAATATATCGTCAAGGGTGAGATTGCATTAAATTACTTCAAGACTAATACCAATGCAAAGTAGGGACTACTCGACTAATCTCTATCATACAAGACAGCTCTATATCCGATCAATTTCTAGCTTCTACCTCAAATTCCCTGCAATCCGTACTTTAGCCCAACTATCCTATCCAGTTACTGCTAACTCAAGTCTTGGATAGCATCAAGTTGTAGTCTTAAAATGCAATCGTCATGATTGCTGAAACAGAATATACTCACTCTTAAGGAATTGACCTTTACATTCTTAGCACGCTTTGTTCAAATTTTTAATCCAACTGAATGGATCAAATGAAATCCTTCATGCCTTTCAATGTTTGATTTCATTTTGGGGGGATAGACATAGCCGCGCTTTTACTACTATCCACTATAGTCGTATTAAAATAAATGTCTGCATGTGTACAATGCCATCTATTACACATATTCAAGTTAAAGCCCAAGTCTTCTCCTTTATTCTCATCTGCGCTTGTAGTTCTAATAACAATAATGCATAGCCTGCCTATTTTTTGGCTAGTATAGTACTTCAATTAATTCAGTATCGAATACAATAGTATATTCTTATTTTAATTCTATTGATTGATTCTTGTTGCAACCTATTCAGCTCGTGCAACATTAATTAACTAACGAATTTTAAAATTAATCAATTATGATAATCTATATGATCTTTAGAGCTAAATGGACAAGTTCATAATTTTTACATATATCACAGTTTCTTTACTATTCATTTTTCAAAGGAGTTCAACAGTAATCAGAAAATTGTACTGATCTAAATCAATTTTATCAGTTTTACCGACAGTAGGACTTTTTCTACTGAGATAGTGTAGTACAGTACGTATTGTTGTTCATGACCAATATAACGAATATAAGAGGAAACAAATCTTAGCCGATGTTCGGTAAATCACCTTCTATATGAAACATGAGCTAAGAATCGATTTATGTAGAAAGCATTACATCTATCGATTAATAAAGTGCATAAAATTGATACTCCAACTGCTCGGACTTTTAAATTTGGTAAACTGTACAGCACTACAATGTAAATACCGATATGCAGGTAAGATGGAGTCAATTATTTGCTGTTAATAGAAAGATGTTAGAATGACGATTAAGTCTATTTCATCGCAAAAATGATTTACTTTCATCATTTTTATATTATAATTTTAAAATGGAAGACAATGATTGAAAAATTTCATCCTTCAATTTATTCATCATCCGGGGGACTACTACTAAAACTCGCTGTTACTGTTATTAGACTTTGGAATATTTTTGACAAATATTTTCTGCAATTAATTAATTGAATACATTGTGAAAAAGAAGCATTCTAGATAATTGAATGAATTGTAGCAATGCAAGACAGTTAGATGTTGTTATTAATAATAACAAATGTAGCTATACATGAGCACTGTACGAACTGTAAAAATTATTATGCGCGTAAATGCAAATCATTTTAATTTACCAAAGTTAGTATATGGATTTTTTAGCTTTTTGAAAATTTATACAGCTTTTTGCTGAAAACTGAGTTGTGAATATCTTCAAAAATTCATCGTCATAGCTACTAATGTCCACCGATTTTAAAAGATTTTTGCCAATCAACATTAATATAGACTTTCTTTCACTAATCCATAGTTGATCGAGTACGTTGTCTCGTTCTTCTTTCATAAATAACTCGTTGTACTAGTACAGTAGATACAAATATACTATACACATATATCTATCGCATAAATAATAAAATTGTTTATTGCTGACCAACATATACATCTAATTGTTATATTTAGATTGAATAAAAACCAATTATAAGCCTAGATCTATAATATAAAGTATAAATACGATTGTATAAAATTGTCAGAAATGTATCAAATCAATATTCAGCCAAATAATGGCTATCACACTAGTATACGAGTACGTTGTACATTGGCACCTTGACTTCTTATAGCCTAGAATTTCTTGTCTACGATTTGTCTTTATTTACCAACTCAATGATTACAGGTGTATCCTATGTTTGTTATAACTAACCAGTATCGCACGAGTTTCGATTACCAAAATCATTTGTTTCCAAATTATTCTTAACTCATCGGTGTGTATTAATTTCTAGCAATTTACCACTACGATACATTAATAAGGTTAGGGCATTTCTTCATGTACTTTATCATGAGTGCTCGATCATGATTTTAGTAATCACCTATACAAAAACATAAATAAATTAACGATTGTGTTACAGAATATTTAAATTAGGCGTCTTGTCATCGCTGCTTAATTGTTGTTGCAGCGACAACATTTATGTAAAGCTGACGAAGTATTGCTTAGACGGTAGAAATAAGTCTTATCTTAGTACTTCTCATCAGTGTGGAATACGAGTAAGTTGCGAAATCTTGCTCTTTGCTAACACTGAATATTTTTTTAATCTATAATGAGTAATGAGTAAAAATAGATCAGTACAATTTATATTCTTGATCCTGCAATAAGGGAAAAGATACGCATAACGGTAAATAGTGTAAAAATAGATCAATGTCCTACAATGATTTATTCATCTCTATGGATATTACATGTTATTCAAAAAAGTTATTTACTCTTATTCTATTATCACATTGCAATAAGTAAAATAGATTAATGTGATGCGCTATATATTTCTTATATCAAGCATGTATTGTAATGCGTAAATAATGCATGTCTACATACGTATGTGCATATCGTATTTCTATTTCGTTATTGCTTTTACTAGTCTAGCCCATGATAAAACATTAAGGGCTGATTTATTTTTAATTGTCATGTTTGCACAATAACGTTATTGAGTATCCAATAAGGGCACTATGTACGATTATTACTTTCTTAATTAATTTTTATTCTGCTATTGTATTATTTGTATCCAAAGTGTAAGAGTTATCATTTAATGAAACTATGACGAGAAGTTCATATCCTATAACAACTTTAATTAATAATTTAGGTCTCAATAAAGTCACTTTTAGTAAGAATATTAGAACCTTTAATAGCTTACAGTTATGTAGTTACCCATTTTAGACAAAGTTAGGTACAGGGTAGGATAAATGGTATTGGCGACATATAACCAGTAACTTTATAGTTTGCAAACTTGAATTCACCAACTTTTTTCAGGCCTTTATACTTGACTTTTTTGTGTATTATACGCATGTCAAGTTTTATGATGCGGTATAATATCATTCATATGTGGTATCTAAAATCTGCTGATCAATATTATTGTGTTTAAATGGATATCTTGACATGATGAGAAAAGATAGATAACTGATGAGTTATTTCATGAACGATTGCTGGAGATATCATTCTATTTTTATTAGAATCAGACTTTTTGCGTTGTAATTAAATATCTGATAGATGAATTATAAATATTATAGAGTCTTAATAGCAAGTTGCCCTAAGCAGTATTTAAACCATCGCATATCTTATGCAACAATCCATGAATTTAATTAATCAACTTTAATTGAAAAAGTAATTCATGCTAATTTGCAATATTTTTTCTCTCGTCTTGATTTCAGTCTAGTGATATCGAATTAAAAATCGATCGTTTGCATCAAAATACCTTGCCTCCTACAATCGAAAGTATTAAAAGTATATCAGGAGCACGAGATGCTATGGTGAGTCTAATTTGCTATTACTTTAAGTTAATTATGTTTGTAGGTCACTTTGGGCTATTGTAACTTTAATGTTTAATTTCGAAGTCGGAATTAACCTGTACATCTCAAAAATTTTTCTTTCAGGAATTAGCAATACAAATTAAAACAGATGAATTAGGTTTCATTATTAACGTTAGCAGTAAAGATTATGATAATGTCCTATATAACGTTCTTGTAAAAGCGATAACGACTAAGGTAAATTTACTTCACTTGACTTTATTATTATTATAAAATTACATTAACGTGGACAATATATTTTTAGACAGATTTTGTTCACATCCACCTAAGATACCAGACGTTAATATCTATGTTGCTTCTGTTACATATTATATAAGTAACACTTGTTATTATTACTTTATGAAAGGCTATTTTACAATTAATTGTTATCGATGGCTGTCTAAATGTACGGATGGTAATGGCTGACGAATTCGAAGCAAAAATTGAAGTCCGAGCAAAAGATCTACCTGTATGATATATATTAGTGTTATAAAGTAGTGATGTTATATAACAGACAAGTATACAATTTGCCTAAAATTAATTTACAACTGAATCTAATCTATAGGAAGATACAATTAGTGAACATTTACTAGATTCCATCCGTTGTGCTGTAAAAGATGTTGTACTAAATGCTGTACCAACAGTAATTCTAAAAAATCCACTTGTAACAAGTCCTCCAATCAATTCACAATTTAAGGTATATTCAATAAATTTTTGAAATCAAAGAAAAATCTGATAATGGTCATTTCTAACTTCAATAGTTTGATCAACTGAAAAGTCGAAGAGAATCACTACGGACGGTACCAGTAGATGGGCGCATAATTATAACAGGTTAGTTTCATCGTTGTTTTGTATTCTTTCAAATGCCTTAAACTTTACTCTATTCATTTCATATTTTTTTTCCGTAGTTATTTCTGCGTGTGGGCTAATTGCTAAACATAATCACGGTAATGCTTATATATGGTTTCTATCAGAATTGCCACTAATAGTAGATCATACTGTCTTATAATCGCTTCTGATTGTAATCACTTAGATATAACAAAAACTAAATATTGTCATCAAAATTATTTTCAGGTCATAGCTGCCCTTATTGCGTTATTAAAATGGATTCTACTGTTTATAGAACTAAAATTGTGCGATTAACAGCGGATCCCGTATTTAATGAGCATTTTGTCTTGTATGTATTGCCATTAGTTTAATTCTTATCCTAGACGATAGCATCAGTGAATATGTCATGATCTATTTGATTTATATTTTATAGCGAGACAAATAGCAAGAGTGGAGATATTACTTTTGATATGTATAGCAGTGATACGCTGGCAAAAGGTAGAACAAAAGCTTTTCCATTCAAACACCAAGTTATCTACTTTGCATTGATGTGCCAACATTACACCATTTAGATACTTTTCTTGGGCGCACATCTGTATCCTTATTAGCAATTCAAGCTTCAGAAGGTCAAATGCATGCAAAACTTCCATTATCTGGTTTAAAACCGAATGATAATATTACTGGTTATTTAAATGTTGAGGTTTGTTGATAATATAATTATTTTAACAAAACATATGCTTAATATATCATACTGAATAAGAGTACTCGAAATTGGTACTCTCTCAACTTATGTTACGATGTTAACATCAATTATAATTATTATTCTGATATTAAATAATTCTTATGTTACTAGTATTCTTTTAAGCCTGTTGTTGCTGCTAATGGTTCTGCTATTCCGACGAATAAGTTAGAAATACCTCCCAGAAGTCGAAGTTAGTTACAAAATAGTGGCGATGTAATTCGTTTATGTTGGTTTATTATGTCGATTGTAATGATTGTAATTCTAAATGCAGGAAATTCGCAGTCAGAAGTTTCGATTTGTTCATCTTATGGGGGTATCCAGTTCGATATTACTGATACGTCCACAAAGACTTTAGCCAAGTCTGAAATTGATAACGTTAGTGTCAAAAGTCAAGCTGATACCGATAAGAACAGCGTCGATGATCAAGAAAAGGATAAAGATAGACATAATGTAGATTATTCTCAGGGAATTGGTGCGTAACATTATCCTATTTAAAGTTATAGATGTACGTGATTAAGATTAATTTTAATAATTTGTTTCTATCGATGAGTAGGTTTTACCATTCCTAAGGATCGTAGTACTGGTAATTTTTTGAAACGTGCATTTTCAACTCGTAAGAAAAAAGTACGCGATTCGACTGTAAATAGTAACTCTAATATGTTGTCTAAGCCGAATGAAGTTGTAGTCCCTGACATGGGTCGACCCATGAGCCATACATCCCTAGATAAACTCAATAAAGGTTCAATAGCTTCTTCTGCAAATAGCCATGATCAAGTTAGCGTTCTCTCTAACACAAGTATGAGCTGTTGATGAATCATTTAATTGACATTTGTTGATTGTAGATATTATTGTGTTATGAAATATTATTATTGAATGCTCGTTTAACGCTTGTATGATACCATAGGTTCGATTAACAAAGCTATGTCTAAACTTAGTTATTCACCAAACGGGTATTCATCACTTGTGATGGAAACAACAGAAAATGACAGACCAAGGTAAATTTAAATATATTCTTATTATGTAATTTGTTTCATAATGTCTGAGATGCAGCTGATGTTGTTGCTGTTTTTTTAACTTACTAGATACTACTTAATTCCTTTAAATATGGAACGAGATAAATCTTACAATATCTCCGGCATTAAGCTCCACGTCTACAATGATCACGTTTTTACAGCTGTTCACTTTGCAACGTACGAACTTCGTATATAAGCCTATATTTCCACTTAGGTTATATAATATAGAACTAACTAAGGAACTAATGAAGAATTTTTACCATTAATTATAATTAGACCCGTTGAATGCAGTGTCTGCAATAGACAACTATCAAGGCGAATTGGAAAACAAGGTTATCAATGCAGAGGTATATTAGTCTGTAATAATTACTTCAAATATCTTCAATATATAGATCATCGTGTAACATTGATATTTTAGGCTTAAAATTTGGTAGCTTATGTTGGATTTGAAATTTAATATGTAAGGTGATAATTTTCTGTTTTTATCTTTTATTGCTTTACTTAAAGATTGCAATTTAATTTGCCATAAGCACTGTCACTATCGGGTTACAAATTTGTGCCCGTCCAGTACCGTATCACAGATGGATATGTAAGTTCTAAAATTTTATGAGCGTAATATTTCAATAAAATTTACAATTGACGAGACATAATCTTATCGTAAATTGTAGTCTGCACTTGCATGATAGGTATTCATGTACGTAAGAAGAAAAACTGAATGTATAGTAATATTTTTATACCGATATTGTTTTAGGGTTATCCTCCAAAAAGGGAACGATCATAATTTAAGTTTATAATAGATTCCTGACAATTTTATTTCGTTCAAAGAAGACTAGTTGTATTACAGTAACGAGGCTTAATGGTCACTGTATTGATTGGTTTAAGTAAAAACGGTTTAATACAGATATGCGACAACTGTAGCCAGTTGGTGTCTGTCAACATTTCATTTAAGTATTCATGTTTATTGGTACACTAAAGTTTTAGATAAATCCAGCACTATTCATATAGCATGTGTAAGATTATATCTTGTATATGTTTTAGTTAGATACTGCGATCTTTTTATGGCGATATAATTTGACCTGATACAGAATTTTTTTGCTATTATTGCAAGGCTATGTTATGAGATTTATCAATAGACTTTCGCGATGGAGAAAGTAACCATTTACTTCGACGAGTAGCGCAATAATTAAATTCTTCGTTTCTTATATGAAATATTAATTATATGTATGTATGTGCTTTGATTTAAGTTATGTTATGGATGCGAACTTGTTGTTTATTATTATTTTTAGGTACAACATTTAGATTTCGAATTAATTATATATACAATTGAGTACAGATATTCTTTGCATGAAGTCTTTGCTATCGGTAAATGTTAGTGCTTCGAGCTTGTTGGACATGAACATTACTGGATTGATTATTTCGAGTTTTGGATTCGATTTTTATACGTGTTCCGTACAAGGACGGACTGCATATCCAGAATGGTTACTTAAAAGTCTGACGGAATATGCATAAAATAAAAGACCTTGAAATGAAATCTCATAGGCTAACTTGTCTGCTATGCTAGTAAATTATACTGCGAGATAATGTTGGCAAATCTCTTTCTAAAATTTAGAAAGTCCATTGGATTAGTTGGTAGTTAATGTGCCATACCGTAGTAGGTGAAAATGTAACAATTAAGAACTTCGTTATCTTCATATGCTACATGTGAATGCGATAGACGCATATCCAAAAAATACAAAAACTAGTTGTGGTATTATGCCAAGTAATACACTTATGACTGAACAAGGGTTATTGATTGGATTGGATATTAAGTTCGCTAGGTACAGTACAAGGAAGATATCGAATGATTAAATGAAATTATTATTGAAGAGTCTACAATGGGCATGTTGATTCTAACATTTTAGACTTATAAAGTATACTCAGAAATCCATAATCATTATACCGTATTGCGGTATCTAGGCGAAACTTAGAGTTTTTCTTTTATCTCTATCAATCTTACCCCATTCGACTAAGAAATACTTAATACAGTACAATAAATTTATAATATCTCGAGATTATTCAATTTCTACATCCTAGATATTACGAGTATGTTTATATATCGATATAAGCAGTTACGCTACCTTACTTTGTTTGCGCAATAAACATTATAAGCAAAGTATTGAAGCATTAACCAACACGATTTACCATTGCTGTGTACAGCATTGAACCTTCATTATTAGTATACAGCTTTCCTTGATATTCAAAATGAAGAGAAAGCAAATACGTATTTAACGAATTCATTTTATTTATTAAGTTTTCATTTTTTTTCATTTTTTCAGCAAAACTATGAATTTTACAACGCATAAAAGCCATATTTCTTATTTTTCTCATTGGTACTCCATTACAGCAAACCTGTAGATAATTTTAACATGAATCATAGGATGATATACAGTGATCGATAAAGTCCTTACAACTTGTCATCCATTCTAGGTTAAAAAGCCGTACATTGTCAAGATAGGCTAGACTACAGCTCTATTCTACTTTGGAAGAATGATGCAATGTCAAATTACAAACAGAGGAAATCTCTTCGAATACATTACAGTCCGTTTACGGTTAGAAAAAATTCATAGTGCTTAATATTGTTGCGCAGTGTGAAAACGGTCGTTGTTAAGAAAATTGAATGAGATTGAGTTAAAGCTTGCTTTGAAAATTAATTAGCCTTGCATATTGATGGCGTCTTACTATCTACCGTGTGATATCCTTGCAAACCAGTCTATACTCAAGAAGAATAACCATCCGCGATATTGAGACATCAAATAGAACATGAGTGTTCACTATTCTTCATTATATTAATAGAGTATTACTTTTCAAATTCGAATTTTGGAAATTCGGTTAAATTTCCGCCACCGAAACGATTTTGAATTCTCACAAGTTCATCAGCCATTCGCCTTTCCTCCTCGGATGTTACATCGACGAATCCGCCACCAGCTGTTTTCTTCTTCTGATTGTATTCCTTTAATTTCTCAATAAACAGCTGCTTAATAGGATCGATTTTTTGAGCATTTTTATTAGAGCCTAAGACCATTCCACTGGAGGCGATATAACGTCCAACCAGTAATCTACCACTTGAAAGAGTGCTGATTTGACTCTGGATTTTAACCAACCGCAACGCCATGACAGTTTTTACTGCAAACCAGAAAAGGGCGACACGAGCCTTAGCCTCTTCGGAGCTTTATTTACGCATGCGCTAACGGATACACTACGAAGACGGTACGATACCGCAGAGCCGCTTCTATTTTCCACCTTGCTCAAAATAGCAATAAGGAATTCACTCATTGCTTAGTGTGGTCCTAGACTCTTTTTTTAACCTGTACCGGTACGATGGGATAACTGCGCATGACTTCTGGGTATCTACAGTCTACAGTACAGTGCAGTACAGTAGAAATCTGCGGTACAGACTTACGCCGGACGGATGGGTGGTACAGTACAGTACTGCCATAAGTTGCCAGTACTGCACATTGACTATACAAAACACTATAAAGGCAAGCACGGTTTGCAAGCAATCGCCTGATTGATTTACTAAACTTTGCTTGCCAAGTGACAAACTGCTATGACTGTAATATGGATAAGGAAATTTTAGTTATCGATGGAGCTTGTGGAACCGAGCTACAACGGCTTGGTTACGATGTCGATGTAAGCTATGCTACTAACTTTATTCATTTATTAAATAGGGAAAGACCTCATCAAGTAACTGTACTTTGTAGCAATGACTGGTGCAGTTGAAAATATAACTGCTACAGTACTGTAATCGAAAGCAAGCGTGGACCACTAGAAGAAAGCTGGACGTGGCGCTCAGACCCTTCGGGTGGACGGATGTTTGTTATACGATAGGCAGAAATGGCGAAAATAGTAACTTGGTATGGGATCGTCTGGATCTGTTTTCTTATTCACTGCTATTAATTTAAAAGCATGTTATCATCTTATGTTGACTGCTTTCAAGCAGAAATTAGTAAAAGTGAACAGGATTCAATGTAATATTACTTAATGTAGAAAATATAAGTTAATTACTGAATCGAGCATCTACATACTGAAGCAATAACAAATGTAAAGTGTTTGCAACATTCTTTAATGATAGGTAGTTGAAGTATCCGTCGGTCCTGTCCACGTTTTCTTCTACTGGGTCCATGTTGAATGCTAATATGCCTGTCCTTGTTGATCTCAGTATTGTAGTTTTTTGAATTAAATATAATTATTATAGGCGGTTTCCTTCATTATTCAAATAGAAGATGATAGGATTCATATATGGAGGGATTTCTTTTCAATTTCTTTGCAATAAAATTGTTTAGGCAGATCCCCTATGGAGTGCAAGCTTATTGCTTACAAATCCCCAAGTTATCAAAGATTTACATACCAGGTACAGCTTACAAAAATGGTAGACCATAGTTTAACTCATTATAGTACAGTATATTACCAATTCCAGAAAGTATATCATCATACACTTCAATATCAATCAAGAAGTAATACTGTACTATGTTATAATAAGCCAATTATTATAACTGACTACATGAATAACCGATTACCTTCATTGGTCCATCAATATCACCACTGGTATTATCAGATAATATAATAGCTAAAATGCGACATTTCTGCATGACAAATATCTAAAAATGATGATATAAGTGATCGTTATCATGGTGCGAGATACCTTGTATAGCTCATCAAATATTTTCATAAACTTTATGTTATCAATTTTAAACAGTAAATATCCGCTATGATATCGTATTTATTCGCACTAGCCTGCACCTCATATTCGATATCAATAAAATTTTGGATTTAAATTTTGCAGGTGATATATAATTATATAATCAGATGTATTATTTTCGTTTACCATAGCTACTTAAATGCTGGGGCAGATATCATTTTAACTGCTACGTATCAGGTATGCTATGTCTATGAAATAGAGTGGATACGAAATATTTGAACTAAGATTAAGTCATACAGTACGCGCCAAATAGTTATACCATATCATGATTATAGCATACTGTACTAATAGTATATCATCTGATTTCATACTGATTGCTAGCATGCATGCGGTATTTCTGGAAAAAATATCAAATTTTAGGACAATCTTGCATACTTAATTACTGCATTAATAGCATAGTGCAAAACATATTTCTATAAATTATCCCATTTTATCCAGGCTAGCATTCCTGGATTGGTACAATATGCTGATTTAACAGAAGCTTCTGCCTCCGCAGTTATTGCGATGGCTGTGCGACTTGCCATTGAAGCCCGCGACGAATTTTGGGCAGAACAAAAGGTTAAGGAGTAACTAGTTTATCAAAAATAGTAGTGAAATTATCTGTAGTAGAAGGTGTTTCCAATGTAAAAGTTCGGATTTATAACTTCTTCATTGAATATTTTACTTACACGAATAATATTGTTGTTTTGGTACTTGTAGGCTTGTAACAAAAATGGTACATTATTTAATCAACATCAATATAGTATTAACATAGCAAGATTAGACTTATAAAACATTAGCTGAATTCAAGATGGTATGGTAAAAGTATCGTATCGCTTATACATTCATCATGCAGTTAGACGCCCAAAGCCTCTGGTTGTTGGCTCAGTCGGCCCGTTTGGTGCTTGCCAGCATGATGGCTCTGAGTTTCATGGTCGTTATACAGATGAAATGACCATTGAAGTACGCATCGAATATAATTATAGCTAAGATTATTACTTTAACAGCAAATGATACGTAAGAAGTTGAAATAATTTCGTGAAAAGCTATAAATAAATTATTCTGAATTAAATGTTAATGTCACATTATTAGGAGTTAAAGCAGTGGCATAAACCGAGAATCATGGAATTAATACAAAACGGAGTAGATCTTATTGCTTTCGAGACCATCCCAGCAGAGGTTTAAATATTATGCATTATTAATTATGCCGATGTTGCATGTAGATGATACAAATGACACTATAATACTACAGAATACCTAGTAAACTGTATAAGTGATAAGTGTGATGAATTACTTCACAGAAAGAGGCGATCGCATTAATACAGGTACTAGAGACATTTAGAGGTGTGAAGGCATGGCTATCGTTCGTCTGTAAGGTACCATAAAAAGCTGATCATAATATATATAAAGTTAGCAGTTTTCTTTATATTTAAGTTATTGTCATTAATACAACTGTGGTTGATATGTTTATAGGATGATTTACATTTAAACCATGGAGAGCTATTTGCTGATGTGATGGAGCGATTCCGAAATCATAACCAAGTAGGTTTTCTTTTACTTTGCAACTTTGCACAGTGTATTGTAATTATAATGAAAACATCTAAATACCTGAATAATATCAACATAGATTGTTGCAATTGGAACTAACTGTACGAATCCTCAAAATGTTGACGTAAGAATCGTCTAATATTATTGCAGAGTTAGAGAAATTACAATACTCTTTGTCTGACGATTTCTTATCTATTACCAGAATCTTATTCAATCCTGCAAAAGATTAGATGCTTACGATAAGCCATTTATAGCATATCCTAACAGTGGCGAATCTTGGAGTGTTGACAGGTGTATTAGATGAGATGCGACCCTAACATAATTATACTTTAAGCACATCGAGCTATTAAACTATCTATAGTACGTTATTACACTTGATAAATATTTTACTTTTATTTGACCAAATTTTAGATGGGATCCGACAATTCCACCAGTCGAATTGAGTGATTATGTACAAAGGTGGATAAAGAATGGAATTAGATGGATAGGTTAAAAGAGACTTGCATATTTTTTCTCGGTGATTACTTTTGTATTTACGCATTACAATCATTCTACGATTTTTAGGTGGTTGTTGCAGAACTACCCCATCAGATATTCTAAAGATTCGAAATAAAGTCGATGGAATTCCGAAATTAAAGGAATCCAAAAGTCTAATCTGATACAGGAATAATTCCTACGTAAATGTCACCACTGTACTCTATGGCCATATACATCACGTCGGTATAACTAATTAATTGATCGTTTGCATCTATTTCGATGCTATCAAGAAAACAGCACATATTTTCACGCTAATATTTATCGAAATGACATTGTGTAATTACAGTAATATCTATATAGATATCTATATAGTATTCTTTATGTTCATAAACTACTATAAATAGGCGGCAAAATCGGTAACTAAAAATTTTAATAATCTAGACTTAGCATCAACATCTTGTATCACAATCTTGTACTTTTTGTAGTTTTGTTAAATATCAGTAATTATCTCCTATAGCATAAAACGTAACACCTGGGCATAAAAAGTAATTTCTTTGATGTTATATTTTAAAGCAAGAGACATAACAAAATTATTCAACAACAGATTGAAATTTAAAATATTTACCCGGTATTATAAGACCGAGAATATAGATTTATAAGTTATAAATCGGTTGTATCCATAAAGATTTTTTAAAGCTATCTAAACGCAAGTATAGTATAAATTATTATATTCAATCATTTCAATAATTACGTAGCTTTGCATAACTTTATAATATATAAAGCCGAGACTAGTATTGAATTATAAAATCTACAACATTGGCTATTTATGAAAGGCATATGCCGTATATCATTGAAAGAGAAATTCAATCAATTTTAATAGGCTGTACAATCTAATAAATAAATTTTTAGTATTGAATTATTATAAACTACAATAAAAATGAAGCAATCGTATTACTTTTGCTGCGATATTAGATCAATTTTCTGTATCTTTACAAAAGTTATTGTATGAAATATGTAGTATAAAGTTAAACAGCCGGCACGGTAGAAGTAGGCTTTAAGATTACATCTTGACCAAACTTCCATATAGCAACCCTCCAGATAAATGGGGCAATTAAGAAACTTAACATGGTGATAGTCAGCATAATTAAGTACATCTAAAAGATTATTAAAGATGAGAAGTAGATCCCATTAATTTGTTAGATACATTTTAAACTTACGTTAAAAAATATATTGTAAGAACTAAGTGCTGTAAAGTAATAAATCAATATCTGATACTGAAATTATTATGACAACATAAATCAAGATGATTACCTCGCGAGAAATAAGACCCATCTCTTGTCCTCTACAACCTAAAACAAAAGCAAATTCACTAATTTGTGCTAATCCAGCTCCTACAATCCAATGGATATTATATGTTCTTGGTAGCAAGCACGTCATGACTGTTACTCCAATGAGGAACTAGAAATATAAACGATAAGGGTATATTAAGCTTGAATATAGATATCGTAAATTCAAAATCAGTTTCTCTCATTACCTTAGAAAAAACAACCGCAAAAGTTACAGTCAGGAGAATTGTCCACTCGTACATAATAAATGTTGGAAATAAATGAAGACCTGAAATAGGTAAAAACGCACATTTTTCTAAGTTAGCCTTGGCCCTACTAGAATAAATTGAGTAATGATCTCCAAAACACGCAAAAGTAAGTATTGCTATAACCTCACGATAATATTCCTGATTAGAACTGTAATTTTACAACTTACCCATACATGTAAAAAATATACATGCAAAGAAATCACGTAATGGTTCTATCAGCTCTGTAATCTGTTTGAAAAGTCAATCGATTAATTTCGATGTATTATTGTAATGGTATGCTATACGTATTATCACTATTACAGCTTTATAACCAGTATGATTTGTAACTATTTGCCTGGCGCTATCAGGCTACGTTTACTAATATTTATCAATGTACAAAGAAGTTAATTATACCTTTTCAGCCATATGGTGACCTTGAGCACTTATCATAACACCGGCCATGAAACAGCCAAGCTCCATGGAGACATTTAGAGCATCCGTTATCTAATAATAGTCCAATACACGCACATAAAGGAATAAGTCATAATATGCAGTTAATTTGTAATTAAACCAGGAAAATAATTAAAAATTGATTGCCACTCATTAATAACTTGATTCTCCTCTTACCAGTAACATGCTATACGCCAATGCTAGTGCTGCAATGCATAGCATTTCATTGCTATTCAGATTTTGAATTAGTCTATAATGTAAGGATGACAAATATAATTTACAGTTAGCTTTGATCTTACTATAGTATAGTATTTCATCCAGGGCATACATTTTGGTCCAGAAAGAGAAGTAATTTTATAGTTTTATAAGTATTACATACATGATAGAGCAATACATAATACATATGATACTATCTATGAATAGATTGCCACACCTTAAAAAGACGTATAAAAATAATTGGAAATGATATTTTTAGTTTCAAACCTAAAAAAATGGCCAACAACGTATCTGCTTAATATAAAGCACAATAGGACAAGGCCAACCAATGATCCAATTAATTTCAGGCAGACCATAACTGTACCCATGGCTCCACCGTCTGCTGTTGCTGTTTTTCCAGCTAGCGCAGGCAAGATTGCAATTAATAAGCCAAGCATAACATCTTGCATGACGAGAACGCCTAATAAATGACTCTCATAGTCCTTTTCTGGGCATCTTCCACCTACGAAATAAATCAATAAGCCAAAAATGTTGGATTGCTTTGATTTAGTATCAAATATCCAAAAATTAATAGGAAATGCTCACAAAGAGAATAAAATATTTGAGTCAATTATTTGCTAATTAGTACTTTTTAGTCTCATCATACTAATGGATTAATTCACCTACTTTTAATAGACGGACTGGGAGGTGTATTTTGAAAAAATTTTACAATAAGAGGTGTACTGGAAATAGATAACGAAGCTGCAACAAAAAATGTCTGATTGGGTTTAATGCCGAAGATAGCGCCCAAGATGAGACCACCAGAAACTAAGCCCAGTAGTTCTGCAGCTGTGCCAAAGACAGCAGTCTTCCATATCTATTCGAGAAAGGTAAGCCGTACGTAAGGAATTCTTCCGTCTCATATATTTATCTTAGCAAAGTATATAGTTGATTTCTATTAAGGTCTACATACCCTTTTAACACGATCTGGTGAAAATTCCATGCCAACAACAAATAAAATATACAAGACACCAAACTCTCCTAAGGTTTCAATTTGAACTAAATTCTAATTTAATCAGAAATTTAAATGATTGATTACAATTATTAAATTATACGGAAAAAAAAATATATATTTCTACAAATGCAAATTCATGTTACCCGAGATGTGCCTCTTTAAAAGGAGATATAAAATGGGGATATAAAATTTTATATCTATACTATAGATTGCGGCTTTGCAATATCCAAAAAGGTATAGTATGAGAATTGATCAAATACTGGATAAGCGAATAAACAACTGATAAGGAATGTAATCCCTCATAGAGAGTAGAGTATCATCGAATTTTCAAATTAAGATACTAGTCCATGTTAGTAAGGTAATGCATCGATTATCGGCTGATTGCAAATTATCTCTATCATGAATTTTGTCGCAAAAGTAGTTTGTGATATTGCCAAATGCTTTTCAAGTTGATTAAGGTAAATTCATGTATAAATATGCATGAATTTTTCATTTATGCATATTTAGAATAGCGTAGAGTAATTTAATACAGTACTTCAAGGATAGAAAGATAGCAGACATGGATGACTCTTATTTTACACTATCATAAAATAAAAGGTAGAAAAATTGAACATTTATATCCTTTAATTTATGCTATCTTATAGGGGTAGTTAGTGAGTTGACATCATAACGATAGGAAACTGATCGCTTTAATATTCAATGGATGTTTTGTTACATAATATTTGATGAATGAAAAACTGAATCTTTATAGCGGTAACTTTTTCATTTATATCGCCATGAAATAGCAAATACAAATTCAATATTGGATATTTATTATCTTGATAACTGAATCCTATTTGAATATTTTGATGATTGCTAAAAAAATTTGGGACAGGTTTGAATAGTAGTGTAAGAATTATGTCTGAAAGAGAATCTTTCAGCGTACATATTATCATTTTTAACAACTAACAGCCGGTTACTAACCTTTAATGCATTTTCTCCTGATGGGCCAAGAATCATACCGCATAAGATAAAACCAAACATGGCTGGTAAGGTTAATAGGGAACAAAACCATCCGCAAAGGAAAGCCATTAAAATGATAAAAACAATATCTTGTATAAGATGGTGATCTTCATGTGGTATAGTAGCATCTTTGGGTTTACTGAGGACATATTGATTACTTTTAGAATCAATCAAAATGGATAATCCGCGATCTTCAGCTCCATCTTCTTGGCTTCCTTTCTGATGTTTGGAATTGTCCAGGGCGTCAGCATCGACTTTAATGACAGCTTGTATTCTTGCACCTTTTAATTTTTTAGTCTGTTCAAAAATATCTTCATGCAATTCTGCTTCTAAGCGATCAGCAGCAACAATTAAACCTTGTACGACATCGTCCATAATTTTCCCCATTGCACCAGAATCGTCACTATCGGTTGGATCAGTTTGATTTTCGTATTTCTCTACTTTTTCAACAGCGTCCATATAACGTTCAGCTTGTAGAATAGCATTATACTCTTGTTCTTCTCTTAATGCAGCTTTACGTAATGATTCTAGTCGTCGTTTAGATGCTAATTTAAAGCCTTCAATGCTTTGATAGCCACCTCTCAAACTTCGTCGTAAGCTATTTAATGAGCTGTAAAATGTTTGCTCACTTTCACGTAACTCGCGTACAAATATACGGAAAGTATTGGCACGAACCCGTTTCTCTTTTTCACCTAATCCTTGATTATCTTCTACTTTATGGATCGCTTCACCTAATTGATTAATTACTTTACGATTAGTTTGTAGTAGAGATTCAACAGCGACACATGTTCGAGCATTCCAACGCTTAAAATAGCGCGTATCATTCGCTTTGGATATAGATTGATTATTTCGGTTTGATTTATGCGCATTGGGCTTATTCTTGTTAGAAGGCTGATTAAAACTGATTCCTAATTGCGAATATAGCGCTAAAAAGAGGAATGCCATCAACAGCCAGGATGATCGTCTAGTTTTCAACATGTTAAGAAATTGTCGAACGCAGCAACGCCGGTATGGATTGATTATTAATTTTCTGACTAGAATAGTCACCAGTTGCCTAGTTGAAAGAAATTCAATTAATCAAGGATATCTTTCAAGATCAATTGATGTGATTTATTGCCTGTAATCTATATCCTACGGCATTTATATTAATTATCAAAGTATGCAACAGCTACATCTTCGTGTAGACATATAGAGTATGTTTTCGCAGGATAGCAATGTCTTTCGTATGGCTGTATAAGCTTAAAAAGACTATCAAGGCAGCTTAGTTTATCATCATTTTATAACACTTTTATAAAACTTTTCATAAACGTAGGTTTGTAAAAGTGGTGATTTGAATAGCTTATGTTTCAGCAAGCTTAGTATGCAAACTAAAGTAGTGCTGCTCGTCGTTTTATGAAACTTTTTCACAAGAATAGACGGTGCAGTAATGTCCAAGCTAGCCTAGACAAAGTTGATACTCTTATGACTATTTCTGATTATGATAGTTATTTCAGCGATATTGAAGTTGATCAAATTTGACAAATATCACTATTTTCTCTTCACAATGGCAGAATCGAGAGTAGAACATTTTTTAAAAGAGTAATAACAGCCAAAAAATGCTCGCTTCTCCTATGTTATTAAATGATTAATATTTCCTCAGATTGGCAAGTCGCTGATGGGTGAGGAATATTTAACTGGGTTCTAATATCATAGAACTAACCAAGTTGATCATTGCAACCATCTAAAAAATTACAAACAAGTCGTTGCGAGATTGAACTCGTATATCCTTTCTTTTAGACTATCATTTCAATCTTAACGATACTAAGAATAAAAGACGAACTTCCGCTTGCAGTTAGCGTATTTTATATTTTCGGAATACGTAAAGTTGAACATCTAATAGATATAGTGGGTTTGCGACGATAAAATGGGATTGAATCTATACTATGGATGGAGATCATCAATTATTGATTCTTACTTCCATGTTGGTCACTGTTAGTCAATTCTTAGTACAAAATCACTATTAATGATGTCAAGGTAGAAAATATAAATGTTTCACGTCATGGATTTACCTTATGCTTAATAGTAACATCTGCTAAATACTATCTACGTTGTAACGCACTGCTGACTATAGTCGTTGTCGATTAACTTTTGCATCTTGTTAGATGTACGAAAGGGTTACAACATTAGAGATGCCTTTTTGATATCTCCACTGCCTTTTGATCGGTATGAGATGATTAATGATACTTTCTATTAGCTTAAAACTGATCAAAGATTTCGAATTAAGGGAGGATACTTGAAACAAATCACGTTTCTAATAAATAGAAATGCTTTTACTAGGTATACAATAGCCATATCAAGACTGGATATGGTTGTGTTTGTGTGAGCAAAAAGCAAAATACCGACTCAAACTTAAATTGATTAGTAAATGAAGCAAGATATGATATCGTACAACCATATTAGAAATTAAACATTGCACTATAGAAATATGAAAAGTCAGCGATTAGAATTGAAAATAGTTTAGCAAATGAAGAAGAATTGATGTGTTGCAACTGCATCAAAATTAAACTTAGAACTATAGAAATAAAGAAAGGAAGAGACGGCTTTGAATTCAGACTCATTTAGTAAATGGATGTGAAACGGCATCTTAATTAAACAACCAGAGCCTTAGAAATAGGCCTAGCGATGGTTCCAATTTAAAATTGTTTAGTAAATGTAAAATAAATGTTGTGTGCTATAGCTGTATCAAAATTAAATTATGACAGCATAAATTATGTAAAGGTGAAATGAACTTAAAATTGTTTCATGTGTCAATAAAAAGTAAGGTAGTTATTCGTGAATAAGAGAAATTAGTAATTCTACATTGACGCTAGTTTATTGAATTTCAAGTAGCTTTTAAAGCTGTAACTTTAACACTAATTAATAGCACAATATTGGCTCGGTATGATTTACATATATATTAATTAATAATGATAGAAATTGGTTCGCGTAAAGGTAAAGAAAGGCTTTAAAGGAAGGTATGATTTTGTATTACTTTCTTCAACAGCAGCGCCGATCATACATGTATTACAATCTATCATCTTCTTTTGCAACATGAGTTAGTAGTGCAATAACTGGTAGCGGAAATGGGAAAGCTTAAAAAAGTGGGATGTAATATTTTGTTTTTACCTCTAATTTGAAACATCCACAGTATATCATGTTATGATCAATCGTTATTTAATTTCAATTCACAATTAAGGAACGTTATATACAAAGTGAAAGTTAAGATGAGTTTTACAACGTTCTCACTATAATTTCTAGATTATATGGATAAAAATGAATTATCCTTTTGTTGGTGAATGAATAATAAACTAGTACCATGATAAAATTGAACGCTAGTACTATAAATCTAAGCGAAATTGCCTAAGAATGCCATTTTCTTAATACAATATGAGGGGAATATTTGTTGAAATAAAATTGTCGATATTGAAATAATAAAAGAAAAGACGGATAAAAGTTATTTTCAATGCATAAGAAATAATGATAAAAGTGTATAAAATTAAGAGGGAAAATTATTAAATTTCAAATGAGTTTACATTACTAGAAGAAAATATCGAATAGCTACCATTAAAATGACTCAAAAATTCTACCTTTTCTCTGTAGAATGACTTGAAGACAGAATGGTCGAATAAAATAATTATTTAAAGGAAAGAATGTTACAGAAATGATGTATGACATATGAAATTGGTAAAGTAGACGTCATAAGTTGGAACATATGGTAGTACATATGGTTAGAACTATTTTTAAAAGAAAATAAGCCGAGGATGATATGAGGCAATAGGTTGTAGATCCAACTGTGCATCGGTATTTTATGAAGTGGTACTTACCCTTCCGACATTGACTAAGAGAATTGGCCAGTATCAAGAAGGATGAGATTGTTGCGTTGATTAATTAGCTAAGTACGCCAATTTAACTAGATTATCGTATCATGGATCATTTATTGCAAATCAATGGATGATTAATAATATCAAGCGCAGTCCGATAGGGATAATTATGATAGGTAGTAGATCAGTAGGATTAGAATGCTAATCCGTTAGGAAAGAATAAGACTACAGTACGGGATGGATAATACTGTGGTTAAGCAACATGAACAACGAAAATTAGTAATTGTTTGGCCTAAATATGTGCATGAAATATTCCACTCAGTAAAGTAAACATGTATGGGAAAGTAGCGCGAGCACAGGCTTCTACTACTAGCTTTCATGAATAAAACTAGCGAATACCTTCTACAGCATGTCGCTACTTTCTATACTTTTATAGCGGCAACAGCGCGAGATTAAGAATTCTTTTCTAGTCTTAATCACTTTGTCGCGTGCTGCACCATTTACATTTCATACATGAAGTTGTTCTTCTTATGTTGAAAATGATTGTACTGTATATATACAGTATAGTATGATTAGTCGTTCGACATGCTATTATAAACTAATGACCGAAATTTTCTTTCTTTATTACAGTTGTTTTGTGATATCACAATTCTGATAGCATGTACCACAGCTTGTTAAATCAATGAATTTTTCTTCAATTGATTTATAATTATTGAAATTGAACGTATCTCTTGACTGCAAGATTTTGTAATTGTGCCCATTACTTCTGTGTTGGTGTAGTATTTTATGAAGCACTTTATTCTGGAAGAATCTTCCCTAATAATACAGTGTACTAGCTGATTGTAATATTAGCTGGTCGTTGCTACTAAATTGCGTTTTCTAGCTGAGTCAGATATAGCTCTGTGATGGTTTGATGGGTAATGACAGGCCTAAAGTTACTAATATTGCCGTACCCTAAAATCGATTTTAGTATTCCTAGGGTTTGAATGTATTTTAGGGAAGAAATTCGATTGCATTTTACAACAATATATTTGATTTACCATGACTATTTCATTATTGGCTTAATAGGGAAGAATATTGGCGTTGAATCAGGGGATTTGGTTGATGTCCTAAAAAGCGCTCTATTTTAGGTGTTGGCATCGTTAATTTAATTTAATTAATGTACTAACCAATTTCGCTTGGGCAGTCCATTTATTTTACTTTACTTTATACGGGTGTACAGTAAATCGTATGGAGTATAGTCCATAGTTGGCCTAACTAAACACCCTTGTTAATAAATACATAGACACAATATTCATTTACTTTAGTTATTTCTAGCACTTTATTTATTGATACAGTATTGCATTAATTTGTTTATCTTTCGGTTTAACCAGTATTTCAAATTGACATCCTTGCCAAGTATGAGGTTGAAGAATTTCATTTTTTTAGTAGGTCGATATTGATGTTTTAAAAGTGATTCTAGTTGGATATTTTTCTACTTTTCACGATTGTAGCATCTGTTATGCAGTTGAATGCAAGTCAGAAGGACTTGTGGTGGCTACGGGTATTTTAAACTGGATTGATCTTGTCTCTACCTCTCCATGAAATCGATTCAATCATGATGATAATATGTGAGCTAGTTTCATTCACTCTACAATTTCTTTTACTCAAGTCAATATACCTTGAATAAAAAGAAGGATACTGTCATTACTATGCACAATAACATAATTCCAACGGTTGCATACTTGGTATACGCATAAAATCGTATCGATTCGAAAGCTACAGCAGTCATGAGGGTGGAGCATTATTTTTTCAAAGGCTTTTACCCAACTATAATGGAATAGACTCTGTACAGAGGCATAGTGAGGCACAGACCAGGAGAAGAAAAGCCAGATTTGCCTTACTGGCAGCCGGCCTACCCAATCTTACTGATGGAGGCGTTAGAATATAGTTTATCTAGCGTATGAATTGATCCTGTTGATTTTGCTTGAGTTATGAACGTCCACCTGAGGAAGAAATCTCTACCTCAATCATGGACTACTCCCAAAAAAGTTGATTGCTGTAGTATGATAGTCTATGACCGAGTTGACAGCGGGTCGTATTATCCTCAATGATGATTAATTGATAATAGATCACTTTGACAGTTTATTTTTCCAGTTTTATGCCAGTTCACGTCTATAGTCTTTGAAAAATGGCATAAAACTTGGAAATTTGGCTGTGAGAGTGGCCATCATAGAGGTAAAATTGTATTCTCCTATGGCTGTAAAACTACGACATTAATTCATTCAAGCCATTTCTGCTTCGTTAACGTCTTAGTACTGTCACTATGCTGGTATGACCTTGCTTGACCTGACCGGATGGAGTGTGACAGCATGCTACTGTCACGCGCCGGCTCGTTGACGATAGGAAATGAGTTGGAAAAATGAAACTTCATCGCTTTGTATCGTACAGTACTGAGCAGTGGTCTAGTATGCAACACTGACTAGCACATGCTAGAAGTTTCCAATGGGACACTCGAGAGACGGTCCTATAGGACGTTTCCTCGGTACCGGACCGGATCGGTATGACGCCATTTTGGTGGTGAACCAGTGCGAACGTGGGGCGTACGCTTCACTCCTATACACGAAATCGACCAACGTAGGGTCCAACATTGGGGGGGGGGGGGCTGAAGCCAACTGAGGCTGACACCAACGACAACGACAGCAAATCGTGCCGTGCCTTCTTGGCTTCGTTGCTACCTAACACCACGATCGGCAGGAAGCGATTGACGCTACTCGTACGTCTGTGGTACATCACTATCGTGCTCTTCTACTACAAGTAGGTAAGCCGCCATGATAAATCAGTGGATCAAGTAGAAAGCGATTCCTTTCCTTCATTTCTTCTTGATCATCAGCTTTAATGAATCAGCAGTGGCATTGCATGCATTCCTGTAATTGTCGTAGCCTAGTTGATTTCATTTCCAAGTGCATCGTTGCATGAAGACAGACTAGTAGAAAGCGATTCCTTTCCTTCATTTCTTCTTGATCAAGGTCACGAGAAACGTTGATCATCAGCTTTCATCAATCAGCAGTGGCATTGCATGCATTCCTGTAATTGTCGTAGCCTAGTTGATTTCATTTCCAAGTGCATCGTTGCATGAAGATAGACTAGTAGAAAGCGATTCCTTTCCTTCATTTCTTCTTGATCAAGGTCACGAGAAACGTTGATCATCAGCTTTCATCAATCAGCAGTGGCATTGCATGCATTCCTGTAATTGTCGTAGCCTTGTTGATTTCATTTCCAAGTGCATCGTTGCATGAAGACAGACTAGATGATTGTACTTACTTGTTGACCATCACGATAGAGTAGCATCATCAAGTTGAAAATTCATCATCCATAGGCAAGGTCTTAGCAAGGCTTGAAGAGCTTCATTTCCAAGCCAAGTATCGTAGTATGTGCAGTAATCGCTATTGCATCATCATCGCTCCAGATTCAGCAAGATAGTGTACTATACCGTAGAAAGCACTTGAAGATTCAATGTTGCACTTATGGCAAAGTAGCGATCTGTAGATAGATCCACCATCAGCCCACAGGATCCATTCTACTCGTAGAGTCATTTTGGCCTTGACCAAAAGTACACTGAACAACTGTCGATACATCATCCAACCAGATCGATTCTATTCGTCCAGTAGAGAAACATTTTGCCTTGCGCCATAGTAAGGATCTGCAGCTGGATCATCCAATCAACACGATAGATTCCATTCTATGCTCGTGTTAGCAGAGTCATTTTGCCTTGTACCCAACTACCAACTGGTAGATAGATCATCCAATCAACACGAGATAGATTCCATTCTAGACTCGTATCAGCTTTGTCATTTTGCCTTGTACCAAACTACCAACTGGTAGATAGATCATCCAATCAACACGAGATAGATTCCATTCTAGACTCGTATGAGCAGAGTCATTTTGCCTTGTACCAAACTACCAACTGGTAGATAGATCATCCAAACCGATCGATTCTATTAGCAGAGTCAGTTTGTCATTTTGCCTTGTATCCAACTAGCAACTAGTAGATAGATCATCCAATCAACACGATAGATTCCATTCTAGACTCGTGTCAGCAGAGTCATTTTGCCTTGTACCAAACTAGCAACTAGTAGATAGACGGTCTAATTGCATAGGACATCAAATTACAGTACTCCTATTTTATTACGATTATGCAATTTCTCTTACTTGCAAGATGGCCTTGCAGACATCATGGTTGATGTCGAGCTATTTGAGGCACCATCATAAGTTGACTATGTTATACCTTGAAAGATTCAAAACTGCCATGATCTACCCATAATAGTCGTGGACAAAAACAGCATTGTAGGATACATCCATTAGACTAGTGTAGATACCAAGAAGATCCTATATTGCTAGAGGTAGTGAGTAGATGCCTTGTGTAGACGTTGGAAATTGTCATGCAGATCATGATTTGCTTTCAGCATTAAGATTGAACATTGTAATGACATTTGAGCCAGAATAACTGCTGCAGAATACATCATCGGATTCAATATTGCCATCCTACTACTAGTATCCTTGAAACCACAGTATGAAGATAGCCATCATAGCTCATGTGAAAGTTTTCAGACTAGGTAGGTATTTTCCTATCAGCCACTAATCGATCGTTCATGCATTATTTCTACATGATATTCGTGTTTACATGCAGTAAGGAGTTTTAAAAATATTCCACAGTAATACCTTGCACACAAGCAGTCTATTGATTGATGACTACATCCTATTTTCAGGACACTACCCTAGTTTGCAGTGGAGTATCTACATATGGTAAAGAGTCTACAATTATTATTTTTCATACTCTAGACGTAGTCTTACCTTTCATACAATCACAACATAAGCAGCCTATAGATGGATTTGAAAATCAATCTCTAAGGCCAATAATTGATGATTACCTCCTATTTCAGGACACACAATAATCCCTACCCTAGTTGGTTGTTGAGTAGTATATACATTCAGTCAAGAGTCCATAATTATTATTATTTTTATACTCTACAATAATACCTTCCATGCAATCGCAACACAAGCAGTCTGTAGATGAATTGAAGATGCAAAATCAATCTCTAGGATCAATGATCGACTGCTTGATATTTCATGACATAGTACATGGATCCCTCTATCCTAATTTGCAGTTGATGACGATAAAGAATATGGACATGATTCCTACTGATTGGGCAAATGAGTTGTGGGGATAATAGGCTAGAATGGATAGGAAACGTGTCAAATGGCCTAATTCAAGGCGTTAATGTAACTAATGCCTATTCATTTGGATAGCATGACTGTTAAGCTTGTATCCGATATCCTAATCGCGTAGACATGATATAAGTCTAATGACAGCTCTGACTACCAGAAGGAATCTATGATCAATTGATTTGCCTTACCTGGTACCCTTTCATGAATGTTTAGCACAACATGAGAACCTTGTTAATAATTCGATTCGATACCATCATGGATCAAGCATTGCCTCATTTGCCTGTGATGGCGCCATAATGAAAATGAAAGCCAAATTAACACGTGGACTAGTTGTTAATGGAATTTATTTTTAACTCTGCTCCCTTTAATTCTCCACTTTGGAGTTGTTATTAATCCAATGGACAAACAATATCCAACTTGTTAATTATTTATTTGCAAGAAGACTGTAGTAGATAATGTAGATTGCTCTCATCGCTATCCATTTCATTCTAGGTGGCTGACAAGAATGTCGGAAAAAAGAGAAGCATTTGTAACCCTTGCTACCAATGACAGCTATGCTGTAGGTGCATTTGTCTTGGGAAATTCTCTTCGCAATGTTAAAACAACTCGCGAATTAGTGGTTTTAATCACCGATGAAGTTACCCATCATTACCGGTAAGTCTTTGATTTTGCATTGATATTTATTCATGTTTGCTTTATTACAAGCTCCATTGGTAGCGAAGCTCGTACTGTACGTATCTTTTGACCGAAATGATGGAGGAGGATAACTTTGGTTTTTAATCCTCATCACGGCCTATTACTAATTCCATCAGTTTCTTTTTGTGCCACTACTTTTACTATGCATAGTACTACAATGATAGAATAGAATAAAGCAGATCATGAAATGGGTCTTCATCTATACTTGCTGTTAATAATTCCTCCATCTATCGACCGATAATGCTGGTATAGAAGGAGAGAATAGTTCCTTCCTCAATGTCGTAACCAGTTCCTTTTAGTTATTGAGAAGGAAAGAACTAGCTTTCAAATTTTACTACTCGTCTACACAGTAGAATAGAACTACAAACCTCTTGCCAATCGTTCATGGCGCTGAAATGCAAAAGGATTTATTTGCAATCGGAGTGTGTTAAAATAGTTTTCACTCGTTGAAAATTTCCATCTGTATAGCATCAAGGTTATCCATCGATTCCAGCGTTGTGGGAAATGGTCTTCCCATATTCGTAACGTATAATTCAATGTAGATTACTATATAGAGCATCAATCGATCGCTCTAATCCAAGGTCCTCCTCATATTATGGTATTGCTTAACATGACTACAAGGATCCATTTATCGTTTTAGCTATCATGATTAAATGATCATCTCTGTGCGTAAAAGTACATGACAAATCTATTTCTTAGCAGCAATCGAGATACCTCTTGCTCTTTCCTTTCCTACCTAACCGATTAAAAGTTTGGGATCAAGTCAAGTGAAATGGACTTGATCCAAAGTTTTCACCAAGGGTCAATTTAATTTTTTATGACATCAATTTCTATCTGGATTCTGTAAAGACCATGAATCATTTCACTACGTTGATCAACATTTTTCTTCATCTTGATAGCCTTGAGGTTTCAATAATCATGGTATTCATTTTTGAAGACATTTTTTTATCTTCCTCATTTCTTTACCCTTTAAAAATTGATTTTCATTTTGAATTGAATGGTGAACTATTCCATTATACTGTAGATTGCAAGTTATAGCCGTCACAATCTAATTTTTTAGCATCATCTCCAAATCGAGTTCATAAACTTGGTTAGAGTACATGATAATCAATTAACACGAAATGGCCGCAACATGGGCAATCTAAATTTCAAGGTGTTAGATTAACAACTTGCAACAACATGCGATTCAATTTATCCGTGGTACATGTTCAACTTGCACCAAGTAGGATGAGGATAATACTCTATTTTATTGAAGAAGTTAGCAACGATGTGTATAATGTTATCCTTTTATTATTTATAGATTCGATGGCAAATTCAAAGCCAATTTTTACATTGTTTAGAGTAGTCAAAGTGTTATAATCGAGTTTTAAACTTCACTTTATTATTTACTTAATATTCTAACCTATCTCCGAATATTAATTTTCCAATCAGACCATTCTGCCAAGATAATGATCGATTTGTATCACAATTTCTCCAAGGGTGATTTGAGTTGCTTTAACGATGGAATAGACTAGCTTAAGATGCTAGAAAGAATAATAAAAAGTCTTTCTGAAGCAATTGAACACCATCTCCCGAATGTGTTATGAATATTATGGCAAGTTTAATGGATTAGTAGAGTATGGACAAAGTTGCTTAGCATTACATCCACTTTATGATTAAAATCCTAAAGCATGATTGTGTAATAAATACGTTTATTAGTAAAGGACCCAAGTTAATAACTCGGCCTAGAGTGAATGCAGTGTTTATTTGAATTAAGTACGAATGAAAAATATTCCCATTTCACGCTATGTTGTGATAGTAATCTTAACGTTATCATCGTAGGGAATCGAAAGCAATATTTTAGCGTTAGATTTTCCATGTACTGTATATCGAGCAAGAAAATGATGAAATTATGATTAATGTGGCCAAAAGTTCATACTCTACTTGTCGTACAGGTCCGTTCGATTACTGTACAATCAGTTAATGAATAATTCTACATGTTGATAAATTCAATTTAACGATCTACATTTTTATACTTTGCAAAATCTGACTTTCTAACCTTGATTGTGGTAACTGCGTCTTAGTTGATTCAATACTGTAGTAAACTTCGTAAAGGATCTGGTTTTAACCGATCACTTAAGAAAGTTCAGAAAGATCAATTCGATAGCTTAGCTTCTCGTTAATATGATACTTCAAAGAGAATGGAGAAATCGTCTTGAACGAGACAGTGGTAAAGGGAAATGGAAATTCTAGGTTATTCATCAATTTTAATTTTTCATTTTATCGACACATGAAGGAGATCCAATGTCCTTTGCTTTTTCTACTTCTATGCCATACAAATGTTGTCATTAATAATCCTCGTTAGAATATCCATTAATAATTCCTTGACTTCATCTCCATAAGTAATGTCATTTTCTCTGCCTTTTTTAGTTTTCAGTCATCTACTACCCTTTTGCAATACGTAAGCTCATCCATCTTTTAACTTAACTATTACCATACTAAATGTTCTCCTTTTTCATTTAATTATTTACGCTATGCTTGACTACGGTTGTTCCTATTAAAATTGTAGATAGAAAGTCCACAAAATTGACCTACTTAATATTTAATTGCATGATAAGACTGACAATAGTGAGATTATATTGTGCAATGTAATGGCCATAAGATCGATTGTGTTTCTTACCCTTCCCTTTAATCCTATCTAGCAAAGTGGATGACTTATTATGCTGTTTCTTGTCAATTTTAAATAACTGGTTTAGAGTCTTTTGAACCGTGGGGAAAATTAAGACTCCACTTTTTGACCTACCCACCAAACTTAAAGTTAAAAATGTTTTAATCTTATATCAATTATAATGGACATTATAGATTCAAAATAGCGACATGTACAGTATATATGGAGGTTGGATCAAATGAGAATTAAGCTATAATCTAGAATAAAGGATAAAAGGGTTACGGAAAATTCTAGGGTTGTTAGGGCAGCTATTAGATTACGAATGATACTCTTACCCTTAACGATTAGCCATATAGGCTAGAAGAGAGAAAGTAAATAATCTTTATTAACTGTAACTGCTAATATAAATCGAAATTGTGTCTACAAACATGTAGACTGCTAGTCGAAATAGTAAATAAAAATTTTATCGGATAGTGGATAAAAAACCAAGAATCAACAATCTCATCTTCGTAATGAGGATAAAATACTCTAATCTTTGACCGTCTACACAGTTTTAGGCATCGATAATTCCAAAATTTTATTTGATATTGGATAGAAGCTATTCATCAGTCAATGAGTTGTAAATCCCATTAAAATAATTCATTCGAATAAAAGATCGAAAGAGTAATCGTCTATAGATATATAAACGTTAACTATTGGATAGAACCCCAAAAGCATTTCATGAGAGGTACTATAAAATCCGAACTGTAAATTATCTACCGTCATGTGGATATCAAATACATCCATATTTTCATGGAATATGATTTAGAAATCACCGAATTATGGATCCCATAACAACAGTTTAAAATCACAAATGACTGCGCAGTTACCAACATGTAATAATCAGATTTTACTGAAATTTTCATACAATATTGGATATAATCTGCAAGAATCGTAGTCTCCTTATTGCGATTGATGTAATAAAAGAAAGCTATCGTTACTAACAAACATGGGGATATTGAATTTATCGATATTTCTTTAAAAATGGATGATTTTTGGATCATGTTATAATTAATGATAGAAAAAAATCCAAATTGTTGAACTGTCTAGACAGACACAACAATTAAAAATAGAACCTTACAAATCATGACTGTAGTTGAAAGTTGGAGCTCATTGAAAATATCTTGATGCAATAATCACCGGTGTATTTTTACTATAACAACAATTCTAACAACCGTAATGGTGCACCCAAACTAAGCAGCTACTGAGATTAATTGCTATATTGTTAATTACTGTTAGGTATCGTTTACGCCATGTCTTTGATATTGTCAAGCTGGTTGATCCATTCGATAGTGGTGACGAGAAGCATTTACGCCTTTTGGGTAGGCCCGATTTAGGTATTACACTAACTAAATTGCATTGCTGGAGATTGACTGAATTTAGCAAAGCTGTATTCCTGGATGCCGATACCTTGGTTATTGGAAATATTGATGATTTATTTACCCGCCCTGAATTATCTGCTGCGCCTGATGTCGGCTGGCCTGACTGCTTTAATTCTGGTGTTTTTGTATATAAGCCTTCCATGCAAACATATCAAACAATAGTAGCATTTGCTTTACAATTTGGCAGCTTTGATGGTAATATATATGTACAGTTTCTATAAAAGTAGACAACATAACGTTTGTTTTGTATATCTTCTTCGCGAGCATTATTAATTTTTGCTTGTACTTGGATAGGTGGCGATCAAGGATTATTGAACGAATTCTTCAATACTTGGGCCACAAGCGATATTAACACCCATTTACCCTTTACTTATAATATGACAGCTACCTCAGCATATTGGTATGCACCGGCTTTGAACAGGTAGATATGGCCTTCGTATAAGAGTAGATGTTATTCCTCGATACATAATAATAGACTTTTGAGTTCTTTTTGGTAGCACAGTAGTGTAGACTACACGTAATAGTTTAACTTATCAATTCACATGATCTATAAAATTGAATATTAAATTCTTTAAATCATGATATTGTAGGAAAAGCAGTTCGTAACTGTGAGACGTAATTATGAATTGGATCATCTAGTAATTATAATTCAGCTATACTTAAGAAAACCGTTATGCGATTTATTAGGTCTTACCAGTATCTTTAGCAATTTAATGCTTCCTTGCACCGCTGAACAGATAAATCATACTGGAGTCGTGTTTTTTTTATTTGATCTTAGATACTAAGTGTAAATTTACAATAAAAGATCAATCTAAAGCCTTTTTCTTTTCTACTTATCAATGTACACAAATAGTCGATAACAAAGATATGCATGGATTTATTGCTAGGTTCTCCAAGGATATAAAAGTGGTGCATTTTATTGGAGCCCTTAAGCCTTGGCATCACCTCTACAACAAAGATACTGGCCACTTAGACTTAAATGAAAAATTTCAAGAAGGACAGCAACCATTTCTTACGAATTATGTGCAACGTTGGTGGGAAATTTATACGGCTAGCGTTAATAAATTACCTTCTGAAGTAAGTATGCAGTCACCAGTTGTGTTATTGAAGTATGATTTTAATCTACTTTATGTTAGATACTTACTTCTTATAGTGTTCTAAATAACATAAATCTTTGTATTTTGGTTTTAATTTTGTCGTATCGACAGCTCAGAGATGAGCCAGAACGATCTTGGTCGCACCAAGTTACGCAAGATTCTACCGAAAGCATTGAATTAGATATGGCTGCCTTGAGCTATGCTAATATTCAGCGAAAGATGGAGGAGACCATGTTCCAAAGTCATCCATCGGCGTCATCTAGTAACATACCTTTACCTGCTCTGTCTTCCTTAAATAGTGGTACTGTACAAGATAGTTTTGGTTATGCTGCTATACAACAAAAAATGAATGAAACTATCTCACGAAGTGGTGTTCAATCAACCAAGAAAGAGAAAATATCAAGTCCATCCAAATTAATTAAATCAAACGTAAACGAGCCATCTACTTCAGATAAATCTACAACGAAAGTACCATCAGCCCACGATACTGATGCACAATCTCTAGCGCCAAAAATAGGTCAGGATGCCACTACAAAATCATCATCGACAAAAACATCTACCTCGAATAAAGAAGCTAAAATATCCGCAAATAAAGGGACAAGTTCGCGGTAAACTAGTGGCGTAAAAATGACTAAAGCATCGAAAATTTCTAAATAAATAAGAAATATTAAATGAGTGATAGTAATGCTGACTAATTAAGAAAAGGAAAGGGTTTTTCATAAACAAAGATAGTTAAGATGTAAATTTAACTGTAATAACGTACTCTATATAAAGTTTTGTTCAACTCATTCGGAGTAAGGGTTAGTATATCGTTCAATTTCTGTGCACTTCACTAGATTTAAAATTAGCATCATATGATCGTAGTTGATATTATAGAGTTCGTTTTCGAATTCAGGTTCTCTGACGATTTCACTTGTACAATTTAGTTGAAAGTATTTAACTATTTATCGTGTTTTTCACTAAGGTCAAATTTGTTTCCAAACTATCCTAGACAGTGCTGTCGTGTTTTCATGAATGATCGCGTAGTAGAATGTAATAAAATATATATTTTTCTTCTCAAGTCACTTACAAGTTATCTACAGTTAGTGAAGTTAGTCCGTTGCTGTAGTTTACTATTCCTATACAGGATTGATTAGATAATCCTAGATTTGTCCAGATTTGGGGATTGACCACAACATGATAGGAGATCGATGG